GTGTGTGTGTGTGTGTGTGTGTGTGTGTGTGNGNGNGNGNGNGNGNGNGNGGGGGGGGGGGGATGTTGCGATGAATATACATATACTCTAAGGGTGGAGGAATGTGGAGGATCAAGTAGTGGATAGTGCAGGGTCGTGAGGTGATGAGTGGACCGGACCGTGCCTGAGATAGGGAGAGGTTGCGAGGGGAGGAAGGAGGATGTATGCATGTATGCACGCATGCGTAGACCGTGTCGTCTCTTCTCTTCTCCCGTTCGGCTTCGGCTTTTCTCACTTCTCCTTTTTTCCTTCCACACCTATCGATTCTGACTGTGACCCAACGCCAGTGTCCCTCTTTCGCAGACGTCATCTGCATCCGCACCAAGTCGCGCACTTCGATGTCTACGATGCCATCGTCAGACGCGGCGCAATCAACGAAACTCACGAGGGTACGTACCACACCCCTTTCTTCGTTAGTCTCTCTTTCGTCTTGTCTTCTTTCGGTGGCCTTTAGCGCATCTCGTGCCCTTCCATTGCTTTGCTTTGATATGCAATAGCATCAAGGACATATGGTGTAACAGGCCCAGCACGCTCGCACAATATATAGTTCGAGCATCAGAAAGACTAGTACTCTTTAAATTCTTGCGAGAGGGTCCGGTTCGAGTCCGGATATGTCCAACTGAAAACATCTCATGCCCATTTTTAACTGGCTGTTCATGCGAGATGACGAGATGTGTCCATGGGAACTGACTGGCTTCCTGGTTTCTACTCGGGCATTGCTTTGTCTCGCTTCGTTCCCTCCATTGGATCTCCGTCACTCTTTGTCATTTGTTGACAATACAATATGGTCTTACAGTAAAGCAACATCGTTCCTTCCCCTGTACCTCTACGGGCATATGGTGTGGTGTAACAGGTTCAGCACGCTCGCTCAATGTCTTCATCCGATCCGTTGTTCATTCTCGCGAGATGCGAGATGGGTCCGGTTCGAGTCCAATGGATGGGAACGTAACCGTACCCTTTTTTTCACTTGGTTTGGTTTCCATGCGAGAGGGCGGGATGGGGTATGTACGCTCTCTTCTGATAATCGAACTAGTCTAAGTGCAGTCGTCTTTATCAAGGCTTTGCTTTGTCGTGCTTCGGTTCTTTGTTGGATCTTCGTCACTCCTCGTCGATGACATGCTCACAAAGAAAGACACCTGGGTGCCTTCAGTACGGGCATATGGTGTATTTTGACCATCACACTCGCATGGTCCCTTTCCCTTTCTGCGTGAAAGGGAGTGAAGTCTGTGAGGTGAGTCCGGTTCGAGTCCGGATGCCCGCTAAATATAATTGACACGATTGATTTTTTATATGTCGTTCATGCGACACGCGTGGCTCCTCTCTACTTGCCTTGTTTCTACTTGGGCTTTGCTTTGTCTCGCAGCAAGCTCGCTCCGTTCATCTGTTGGACATTCCCCTTCGTCGGACCTCGGTGACATGCTCACAAAGAAAGACACCTGGGTGCCTTCAGTACGGGCATATGGTGTATCTGGATCGTCACGCCCGCACGATCTCTTTCCTCTCTCTCTATGAAAGGGAATGAAGTTTGTGTTGGGAGTCCGGTTCGAGTCTGGATGTGTTCAATAAACAGCGCCTCAATTTCGGCCTGCTTTTTGCATGACGTTCATGCCAGATGGCCGAGATGATTATAGAGGCATACGTTTGTTATACGAAGGTTCTTTTGTCTCGACGACGGCTTCGGTCGTCCTCACAAACCAAGATCTTATTCTCCCTTCAGTATGGGCATATGGTATATTCGGACCGTCACACCTGCATTATCCGTATCCCTCTCCAAGTGAAAGGAAATGAGGCCTGCGAGGGAAGTCCGGTTCGAGTCCGGATATGTCCAATGTGAGGGTACAGATCACACTTTTTTTTACATGTCGTTTATGCGAAATGGCGGGATGACTATGGAGGCATGCCTCCACGGGCACTGGCTGATCTCGCCTTGAACGTTGCTTTGTCTCCCGACGAGGGCGGTTCATTCCGTCGTCGGAATGTGGTCACCCTTTGTTGACGATATGGTCTTAAAGCAAGACCGTTCCTTCCCTCGGTACGGGCATATGGTGTATACGGTTCATCACACTCGCGCTCAGTGTGTTCATCTAACTCACCAGTCATTCTTGCGAGAGAGTCCGGTTCGAGTCCGGATATGACCAATGTAACGGGATTCTGGTTGCGCATTTTTTACATGTCGCTCATGCGAAATGGCATGATGCCTATGGAGGCATACATACGTCCATTGGGACGTTCTTTTTTGGATCTTCGTCGCCCTTTGTCGGTGACATGCTCACAAACCAAGACTCCTTTCTGCCTTCAGTACCGGCATATGGTGTAGGCGGTTCATCACACTCGCTCATGTCTTCATCTGACGCGTTGGTCATGCTTGCGAGAGAAGTCCGGTTCGAGTCCGGATATGCCCAATAGAGAAGTTGAAATCGGAACTCGGCACAAAACCGAAACTCGTGTTTTTGAGTGCTGCTTACAACAGATGTTACGTTTTTTTTGTACACTTCAGATGCGTAGCTATCAAGCTATATTCCTATATTTTCTCACATTTGTTTGAGGACATGTTGAAGAGGAAACCCAAGTTTCGGTTTTGAAACGAGTTCCGGGAATTGCCGATTTCAACCTCCCTAATGAAAGGGCGATGAATTCATCCGTTTTTTTACATGTCATTCATGCAAGATGACGGGATGACTGTGGCACGCGCTTTCTGGAATCCGCCTTCTGGTCTCTACTTGGGTGTTGCTTTGTCTCCCGAAAAGTGCGCTCCGTTCCCTTTTGTTGGTGGTCGCCCGGTACTGGGCCAATTCCTTTCTTGACTCAGTACGGGCATATGGTCTATTTGGATCATCACACCTGCATCATCTCTTTCCCTTTCTACGTTAAAGGGAGTGAGGTCCATGTGAGGAGTCCGGTTCGAGTCCGGAGATGTCCAATGCAGGTGGCCAATACATTTTTACATGTCATTCATGCAAGATGGCGGGATAAACATGGCGGAATACGTCCATCCATTGCATGTTCCTTTGTCGTCCGACAAACGTGCTTTGTTCCTTGGTTGGATCTTCGATATTTCTTGTCGATGAAATGCTCACAAACCGAGGGCACTTTCTTCTCTTAGCGCGGGCAAATGGTGTATTTGGACCATCACTCCTACACGATCCCTTTCCCTTTCTATATGAAAGGGAGTGTGGTCTTTGATGGGAGTCCGGTTCGAGTCCGGATATGTCCAATCAATTTGAAGAATAGAGGTTCTTTTTATATGCTGTTGATACGAAATGGCGGGATGGATGTGGCACGCGTTTCTCTGGAATTGGCCTCCTGGTCTCTACTTGGACGTTGCTTTGTCTCCCGAGCAGTGCCTTCCGTTCCTTTGTCGGATACATATCCTCTCGCCCAGGCTTCCCTCCGTCTATAACGTGCTTAGGCGCTATAATTCCGTATGTTGGTACGGGCATATGGTGTAGCAGGCTCATCACACTCGTACGACCTCTTTCTTCTTCTACGTGAAAGGGAGTGAGGTCCGTGAGGGGAGTCCGGTTCGAGTCCGGAGATGTCCAATAAATATACTTGACAGTATTGATTTTTTACATGTCGTTCATGCGAGATGGCGGGACGGATTTGGCGCGCGTCGCTCCTGTATCTAACAGAGGAACAACGTGCTTTCGTTCGGTGGATTAGGACTCTCTTGCAACCTTTTTGTTTTGTAGATAATTTGTCTGGTCACGACTCGTTTATCCCCCTCCTATAAGACTACTCGTGTCCCCTTGTATACTCGGGTTTTATTTTGATGCCAACCCCGCCCGCACTCATAACGCAGAGGTACATCGATGGAACTCTTTTCTCCCAATTCGATTCGTTGAAGACATCCCCCTGCGCCCCTTGCCTTGCATCATCGCACATGAGAGCGGGTACGCAGCCTTTGCTTGTGAATACATAATCCAAGTAAAATGCGTTCTGGCTTACCTCGTATCTCTGTGCTTGTTTTATTTTCTCCTTCTGCCTGATGCGTTCTGGCTTACCTCGTATCTCTGTTCTTGTTTTATTTTCTCCTTCCGCCTGATGCACTGCCCTTTCGGGCCCTACCCTGGTCCCTTTAGCCATCAGTAACAGAAAATATATTGTTGGCCATTGGATGTTAGTCTGACGATAAACTCGCGCAGGGCTCCGCCACGCTCCGCCCCGCGTACCAAAAAACCTTCTCTGTGTCCTGGGGGCCCGAGGGAAGGAAATACTCTACTTCAAGAGCATGCCTCTCCTGATGTAGATCGGGCTATATCCTACATATAATTTGGCACGGAAACATGCAATATTGACTATATATACTGATTTCGTGCCACACCGCCAGCTGTAACGAAGATGCAAACGTCTGTGGACCACCCGGCCAACCTTCCTTGCCGGGGCGATCCACAGACGTTTGCCGCTTCTATGATCGAGTTATACAGATACAGCAAGTAGGGCTGTATTAGGAATGGGCGAACATCGGCCTTATTTATGAGCTCGAGACAACGAGAGGGTGGAGGAGGTCGGTCATTCTGGACGCGACGGAGGGTGCCGGCAGGAGAGAGACTAACTATATCTGGCTGTTTGACGCGAAAGTCTCCTAAGTTAACAGACCTTGTCCCCTAAGGCTAAAGGGACCAGGAACTTGTGAAGCTCTTTGTGAAGACCACACATTCCGCCGATGGAACAACCATTTTGCTCTCCATCGTGGACCATTGTGAGCTGGCTTGCACGGCGCAACTTGGAGTCGTCATATCATACTACTTGTACGCACATCACTAATGTCACTGCAAAGCTGTCTCCAGATCCATAGCACTCCGTCGTCAGTACGAACTGCTGTCCGTATACTCAGACTATTTATTTGGTAATAGGACATGAGTAAGCGGCGATATGTAGCTGATGGATATCATCATGTTGGTCCATTTGCGTCGAGGATCGCACCACTAATGCTTTGGAGCCAGATTTGCGCCCGAGGTAAGGTTATTTAAAGAAGCGGTATGCCCTTCGTATTCACTCTCTAACTCTCGTTCCACCTATACTCCCAGTACATTTAACCGCCCAGCGAAAACTATGGTCAAAGTTGCCGTTGCCGGTGGATCAGGCCACATTGGCGCGAACATCGTCGAAGCGTAGGTCACTCATAATACTTTCATCCTACCATGTACTGCATGAGATTTGATACGGATGAATTGGATAAATAATCTCAGCATCCTGAAGACGGGAAAGCATACTCCAGTCATCCTCTCCCGGTCGACCAAGTCCAGTGACTCGAAAGTCGAAATCCGCGTAGTCGACTACTCTGACCACTCTAGTCTCGTTTCCGCACTTCGGGATGTCCACACCGTGATTGTGACTCTGTACACCGCTGATGCTAAAGAGGCAGTCGGAAGTCAGGTCGCACTTCTCAACGCCGCGAAAGAGGCAGGCGTGAAAAGGTTCGCACCTTCGGAATGGGGAGCTAGGGTGAGCTTTTGCGTATCGCTTTATTGGTGTGTGATCTCTCGTTACGGGGAAGATGCTGATGCGCTCCATGTCTCGGGTATCAATAGGATAATACTGGATTTTTCTTCAATCACCCGAAGCTCGAAGTTTGGGATGCTGCGAAACAGTCCGGGCTCGAAGTCACACGGTTCATCCCTGGGTAATCCCCATTTTTGCAAAGCCTCCATTCAGTGACATATACCCTACTTTGAGATCCGGCACACTTCGGCAATGGCTGACCCATACTGGACTGTGATGTAGCATGTTCATCAACCTTTTCGCGGGAGGATCCAACCTCCCCTCCGAGAAAGAGGCTCTCTCGCACTTCACTCAAGGAAACTTGTTCATAGACGCTCGCGCCGGCACAGCAGACATTCCTGGAGACGGCACAACCAAGGTCACGTTCACCTCCGCACAGGACACAGCGAAATTCGTCGCCGCGAGTCTGGACCTGGAGACGTGGGAAGAGGTGAGCGGGATTTCTGGAGAGGCGAAGACGTTTGATGAGGTGGTGGATGTTGTGGACAAGATTACCGGGAAGAAGTTGACGAGGACGTATCTGAAGGAGGGGGGTGGAGAGAGAGCAGAGAAGCTATTGGAGAACAAGTTTGTTTCTGAGGTACAGAAATCATTTTCATCTCGTCTACCGTTCTTTCTTAATTGACGATTGTGTCCAATTAGGTCTCCAAGTCTATTGTAGCTGGCCATTTATATGTGGAGCCTACGCTAAACAGGAAGCTCCCTCATCTTCGTCCGCTCACCGTGGAAGAGTATCTTGGGCACTACTGGGAGGGTGCGGACTGGTCAACGCCGGCAGCGTCTGCGTAGAATGTGCGTTTGTGGTCTGATTATCGAATCTAAATGTATACATTGTGTTCTCATTGTTGGTGAGGTTCAAATCGCCTCATAGTACTTCTGGATAAGTACATACGAGACTCCTAATAAAGAGGGTTTTAATCAATATCAGATTTTTGGAGGAAAAAAGCAAAGTATAGCAAAGGGTGCATGAGATGAGCCTTCACAGCGAGATTTCGGTATGGACGAGTCATGAGGACGCTCTCACCGCATGTGCTCCGACCCTTAGAGGCCTTCTGTACATCATAGCACAGGATCCTCTTTTCTGCGTCGCAGAAATGAATCATGATTAAATTCTGCCGTCACAGCACATATATTGCCTTTGTCCGGACGAGTTCAAAGCGTGCAGACAACTGGATCCGGCGCTGTGCATGATGAAGGAAACCCGGTGGCGTCGATATCTACATAGGCGGCTACATCCGAAGGTCAGCCCCGCTCCGACAGACTCCGACCAAAGAGACTCACGAGTCTGTCTTTGCTTCGTCTTACTGTACCATTTGAATCGGTTCGCCATGTCACGGTCACAGACCTCCCTCTGGTGGGCGAAATCTGGACAGGTCACAGGTCACAGAGGCCCACCTGGCGAAAAAATTTCCGTGACCGGGCGCCTTCGGCGCCATGTACCCCCTCGAAAACCGCTCAAAAATGAATAAAAAAGGCGAAATTTCCAGTTCGTCACGCGGCTCCGCCGCGTGCTGGCGTGGCGAAATCTGAACTTTTCGGTCACAGTCACAAGGGGGTGGCGAACCGATTCAAATGGTACAGTATTCGAAACCACCAGCAAAGGTGATGCCTTCGACTTCTTTCATAATGCTGTCCTTGGGGCTTAACAAATACGTCCCTCATCTGTTTCTCCTATTCCCGTCTGTGCGCACTAAACAGACCTAAACCCATGTGGCCGGGGATGTATCGAGCTCTCTGTCGCCGCCTTGCTCATAAGTCACACCCTCTCAGCGTCCCGAGTCATCAACTACAGAATTCACACATTTTTTACCCTCAACGTGAGTGTCGCTGCTCACACTTGCCGGCGCGTGCCATATTAACCGAGCTGCTACACAACGGATGTCTGTTTCTACGGCTACATACGCACACTCTTCGCAAGCGACGTTCAGCCCTGGGACTCGTCTCTTATCCTTTGGCCCTAGCATCCAACAATTTCATATGTCCCCACTATGTCGAACAAAAACTTCGCCAAATTCGTGTATAGATCGGCGCGTAGAAAGTCATGCGGAAGCAAATCTATTGACTCCTCGTCCGTGGAGTCAGGAGCCTCCTCTCGTCCGCCTGGCAGCCATCTACACTCTCACAGACAGTCCTCATGCTGACCTTCGGACCGTCACCATGAAAGATCCTTAATTGTACTGTAAAAATAGTGGTGTATAAAGACTAGTCTAGCTCCCGTTCTTTCCTCTCCTCGGATCTTGCAGTTCTGATCATGCTACTACACCACTCGTGAACAATCTGTTCAGAAGGATGTTGTCATTCATCACCGGTGGGGTCTAGTGGTGTGGTATGGATTCCTTTCTGTGCGTTCTCCGAACTACCGAGATCGCTCGATGAATATACAGAGTCCATGACGCGAATGAAACTGGTGCCCTACACAATCATTCATGCTACCGTATTTCTCTTGGCTCGCGGGTACTCTTCGGAACATTGATAGCAAAATGCAGAAGAGATATAATCTCGTCCTTCCTCTTCTCCGTTATTTTCGTGTACACGGTAAGCCCCTTTATCTGCTCTTTGCTCCTACGGACTTGTTCACTTTCGAGCGGCTATGTATTTTCAACCCAGTATCGGAACGAAACGCGGTATGTATGACACCATTCACAGGAACCACTTGCCTTTGGCATCACATTCGTCATCGAAAGAAAACCATTATGATACGTTCCATAACGTATAAAGTGGAAGTATGTATCGTCTAATTTCTTCACCCCCTCCTCAATCGCAGCACTTCCTTCCTCCCACAGTTTCCAAATGAAGATTCTTTCTGCTATCCTTTTCGTGGTACGTATTTTTGTTTCCCACTCTTCACTTCTATGTCTGACCGTGCCCGTTATTCTCCCTCAGTTTGTTACCGTTGTGCTAGCGGCAGGCCCCGCCGCTGTGCCGCTCGGCAGTGCGGGAACGTTTGCCATCCTCGCGAAAGCAGCAGTGTCCACCGTGCCTCCATCATCAATTGGTGTTTAATTCTCCTCTATGGTGTCTATCTCTAAGGCTCACGGACCATGGTATTTGGTTCCTAGATGGAAACGTCGGCGTGAGCCCCTCGGCATCAAGTTTCCTCACGGGCTTCGCACTCACAAAGATTGGAACATTTGCCACTTCGACTCAAGTTATTGGAGAGCTTCTCGCTGCGGATTTTACACCGCCAACCCCAGGCCAACTGACCACAGCAGTCTCGAACATGGAGACAGCTTTCGTTGATGCTGCAGGCCGGGTGAATCCCGACTTTATAAACCTCTCGAGCGGTGAGTCCACGTCTATAAGTGTATTCACAACAGAAAAAGTGGGTCACTAACCCCTCCGTATCTACACAGGTAAAATTGGTGGATTAACGCTCAGCCCTGGCCTATACAAGTGGACCACCAGCGTCTCTATCCCCTCCACACTTACTATATCTGGTACCGCATCCGATAGTAAATCATGGATTGTTCTCTCTTCCTTTGGTTTTAATAGTCGTGTTTGAACCGACGTTGACGTTATGTGGCTCATAGCGTGGATATTCCAGATCTCTGGAGGCCTCTCCTCGGCCGTGGGCGTCAGAATAATTTTGGCTGGAGGCGCGCTCGCGAGCAATATTGTCTGGGTTGTATCGGGTATGTCTAATCTCTGGAATTCCCATAGCCTGTGCCATTGTTGTCGAAAGACTAGACTAATACTTTTGACGTTGATAGGAGCCGTCACGCTCGGCGGCGACTCCCATTTCGAGGGCGTCTTGCTTGGTGCGACGTCTGCCACTCTCATTACGGGCGCGACGATGAACGGGAGAGTGTTGGTTCAGACTGCAGCTTCGCTTCAAAAGGCGACTGTCATTCAGCCATCGTAAAGCACCATGCGTCTCGGCCCTGGGCTTCAGCTATTACATTGTCAATTCTCTTCTCCGGCTTCTACCCCAACCCGTGCATTTCGTACGATGATGTGTGCACGTAAGGTCTCCTCCACGGCATGTCTGTCTATAGGCTATCATGGGTTAGCAGGCTGAATCAAATTGGTCGGTAGCATTCAGCAGCTGGGCCGTTATCCTTTCCTCTGAATGGATTTGAGTACTGTTATCTTTTGCGATTAGACTTGCGTCATATATTGTGTACCTAGCATATAGTATACATACTTCGCTAATCGAACGGATTACAGTGAACATTGGGTACGAGATATATCCCTCCACGGTTTCCGCTCAGAAGTCTCATGTCAACAGCAAGACGTCGACACCCATGATCAAAGCTCAAAGTGGGTCATGTGTAATTCATAAATCAGTGCATAGCTCTACAAACACGAAAAGACAGTCAAAGTTGCCTCCCAAATGCATCCTCTTCCTCCCGCCTCATCGCCTCTCTATGTCTTCTCCTCATAGCTGCACCCGCGTCCCAAGACCTTCGCTGCCTGCCTCTACCCTCATCGTCTTCGACCCCCTGACCGTCCAAGCTAACCCTTCTCCCTGATCCCACTGGCCCTCCAAATGCAGGCAGACCATCGACATCAATCACTGCTCTTGACGAAGGTAGTATCGACCCGTCCCTGAAACCCGTATCCGACTCCTCAAGATCCCGGATTTTGGTATCGGTCGCCTTCCTGCTCTCCTCTTCTTCCTGCTCGATGTCGTCTCGCACCCGACTCGCACCCTTCTTATCCGGGCCCATTGCTTCCCTTGTTTCTAGCCCAACGGCATAGTCAGGCTCCCTGACGGTCTCCAGCTCAATTGTGACCACCATGCCCTCAGACCCACCCCCGGCACCGGCACCTCTGCCCCCTATTGTGTTCGTCTGGCCACGTTGACGGCTGAAACTTGACTTGCTGAAGGTGGCGAAGTGAACGGAGGAGTGCTGAGAGTCTGTACGGGGTTGGCGACCGAAGAAAGTAAGCCACGATAGGGGGAGGGTATGTAGGAGGAGGGATGTGAGGCCTCGGATAAGCGCCTATGAATAACGCGAGTCAAATCAATGAGAAATAGAGATGACCAGGACGATAGGATAAAGAACATAGTAAGATATAGCGTAAATGGATGGATACAAGACAAATGGACGTAGACACGAAGAAGCGGAAAACGCACGGGATCGGTAGCGGCGAGGAGCGCGTAGACGATAGCTCTACCGCCGTAGAGGAAGTCGCCTTATTGACATGCGTGAGGTTAGTGCATGCATAGATAATAAGTGACTAGACGGAGCTTACTGAGAGCCATGATGTCGAAGTCCTGGAAGATTGAACATGAGCTGGATGTGATTTCCGTTTGGACAAGGGTGCGTTGTCTCGAGACGAGATCGCGACATGGGGTAAGAAGAAGACTCACTGTCTGTGTCTTGATCCCCTGACTGATCGTCGAATGCAGAGACGTCATGATAGTGAGCGCGTTGACAAGTATGGAAGCCATAGGATAAAGCGCTGTCGCACAGAAAGGTCAATGCATTCAAAATCGGAATAATCAACAAGGCCGTTCAAATATTCAAAGGAAACACTCAAAAACGTGGTGGAAGAGAGGGAGAATAGCAACGTACAGACGCGGGCAATGATGGTCTTGAAACTGTTCGCGTGGATGATCTGAGGGGAATTGTACGTCGTTATCCCACCAGTTTGAGATCGGCTTTGTCCTTGAGAGGAGGAGGACTCCTGACTGTTCGTGAAGATTCGTTTCTGGCGGATCTGGACGTCATTTAAAGTGTTACCACATTGGAAAAAGTGAGACGAGAAAGGTCATACTCCGAATGACATAGGGGCGGGTGTCGAGATAGGGCGGAAGTGGAAGGGAAGAGTCATCGGACCATGCACGTACATAATGCCTAACCATAAAGGTTGTCACCGCTATTGAGGTTACGACTTCGCCGAGTACTGTTAAGCCCGTCCAGAGCATTTGCGTGCTGACCTGGGAGGGAAAAAATGGCCGAGTGGGATGGAGATGAACAAAAGAAGATAAACGGAGTTGAGAGTACGAACCTGCCACGCCAATCGCTGTGACATATCACCGCTCGTATACCAGCATACTGACTCAAGCGGGTCCCACCTGAAATCACAGAGGACGGTGCAAACAGGCGCTAAGCATACGAAGAATTTCAAGGATCAATATCACGCACCCGTATTGACCCGCAGCGTACGCCGGGACGGTGAGTGCAGTGGACATGAACGTAGATCCGATGACGTAGTATTTCTTCATCTTACGACCGTCGACACCGTGGACTACAACAAGCCTGCGATGATAACGAGACGCGGTTGAGCACAGTGTCAGAATTAGCCATTTTCACTGCGGAACATCACTTCGCAGTCGGGAGTACGAATTGGGTGGAAGTCGGATAAAGATGAGCTCTGGATACAGGTGGACGTACTGAAGATTAAGAGCAATGGAGAAGAACAAGAAGTTCGAGAACTGTAGCGTGAGCTGCAATACGGAATCAGAAGGTGGATAACGGAGACATTAGATCGACGACCAACCTGCAGAATGAAGACCGAGAACCCACATCCAAAACTTGGACCTGTCAACTGGCCCCCGATAGCACTCGCAATGGCATAGAACAAGCTTCATGAAAGCAAATCCCGTAATCGATTCGCCACATAAGCGAAAATGAACCCTTTTATAAGTATCCATAGTGACAACAACCAAGAGGATAAAAAGCACGAAACTGAAAGAGATATAAGAGAGTAAAGCTCACTTCCCCACGAGTGCTAACATAACGATCCTAAAGCTCACTCTGTCTAGGTGATGTCGTGATGGCTGGTGCATCCACACAAGCCCAGCAAGAAAGAGAACCAGAAAGCAGAGGCCGGCACCCACTGCGGAGGATATGGCCCATAGATGATTGCTTCAACCAGCGAGCAGCGATAGCGGGCGAAGAAAAACACCACAACAAGTAAATAAGTAGTATTGATATTGAATGGGCTAATAGATTAGACTTTGAAGCTGAAGTTGCACGTACGCGAGGTTTTGCTTTTCCAGGGTATACTCGAACGCCATAATGATTGGCCTGATGTATGAGACCACCTCTGGCAGTCAAGTACGTGCTGAGTCCCTCACGTCGTAGTGGGTTATCCAGCCAGTTGAAACCAGAGAGGAAAGTGCCGCCGCCGGCGGAATAAGCACGAACCGCAAGCTTAGAGAGTTAGTTCAACTGGAGGGGGTGATGGTTAGAGGTGGAGAACCAAAAGAACGGATACGTGGTGAGCGCGCGTAATTATAGTCGTAGCTTGATGCTCGTGACCGTCAACGGCCTAGGAACCGTACCTACTGGACCGTAAAATAATACAAATATGAACCTCCCCAGCGCATTTAGGACGGGGAAGGCTGACAGCGAAGCGCATACATATACAGCTGAAGCCGTTATTTGAGCAAGTCGGTATCGTCGGGACAAGACCAAGCAACAGCCAATCACATTGCATACCGTTGGATCGTGGATCTGGATTCTAGTGGCTCGGGGACGAGCTAAAATTCGGGAGTGAATTTGTTTGATCCTCATATTGTCCATCGTGTTCTTATCTCTGGCGATAGCGGTCCAGGTATTAATTCGGTCACCAGATGAACGTCAAGCGGGGCTCCAGGGATACATATGTGAGGCTCTTAAGTGCAAGGTCGGAGGCGGTATATGTATGGCACCACAGCGAGCGCGAAATAGGAGGGAAGAGCTCGAGGGGATGTGGCGGACGTCGAAGGCGCTTTGACCCGGAGGATCGAGGATCTGAGCATTTGGATCTGGCAGCACTTGGCGGTAACGCGGCGACCTGAATATGTCAACTTCTTTTCCTCGTAGTCAGATAACAAGACTCGGCGCGGACAGGATGTAAAAGTCATCGTCTATGACATGGAAGGTGAAGCTTCCAATACCTTATTGATTGTAGCTATTGACAGAACTCGAATCTTGCTCGAATCGGATCACAGCGGGGAGCTCGACTGCAGAGGCGGTGCGAAGCCGAATGAAATCCTCTGCAGAATCCATATATTATAATGAAGGTCAGCATTGGTATGTCTTGAGTGTGAAGGGAAAAATCGCTAGGACGTCGTGGACGATAAGAGGAGGCTACAGATGGTTAGACTCCGTTCAAACTTACCCTTCTTGCCTCACTAGCCATGCGACACTTTGCGTTCTTTCGCGAATCTCCTCCCCTATAGACAAACGGTGATTGGGGTCGTTTGTTAGTCTCCGTAGCAGACCTCACACAAGGCAGTCTAGTCGTTTGCGAGCTTCGGGAACACAAAAGTATCACGCACACGTACCCAAAGCGTTTTCTGAAACTCCCATATCTGCATCAACATCTCATAAGTCTCATAAAGCCTAGAATACACCTCCCTGAACAATTGCTCAGCCTCCATGATCATATCTTCCGACATTCCTATTAAGTAGCTTCGGTACACCCCGAGCGTCGGAGGCCAGTGGTGCTAACGCTCTTGAGTGAGCCCGAGGCCAACTGAGCCTCTACGCGAATGTGGAACCGCGAGCATCTAGCATTGAACACAGTCAGATGCTGCATACATTGTTGCAATGGTAGCTGTAGTATCTGTGGTGATGCAAGAGTCTCCGCGTCCGGGGTGTTTTCTGGATATCCCCAGCCATTCGAGCTTCCCGAGCCCTCCAAACTGGACTTCTTCAGAGCTGCGAGAATACGTACGCTTGAGTTTGTCGGCTCCGTCCACCACCGTGCTAGAGAAACGACCCTGAAGGGCTAACACACAAGTCATGATATCGTCGTGAACAAGATCAGCAAGATGCTCGAACTTCATGGTTGTGCGGCTGGGCAGGCCGGGCCACTCCAAGATGCAGTCGACTATGTGGAGAGAATCATCTAGTGCGACGCCGATATCGAAAGCGTGGAGGCGTGTGGCGAGAGGTAGTCTAATATCGTTGTTGAGAGTCAAGAAATCTTCCGCGGACGCTGAGACGAAGATGTACTGAGAGTCAGTATGTTGCATGGACCATACAGGAAGGACGTATGTGGATGGGGGGATAAGTGGTACAGATGTCGAGACTAACCAAGTTCATTCATGTGGGTCTCGAGGATCCCTTGAGAACGAGCACTCGCGTAGGAAGTGGTCAGAAAGAACACTCACGAGTTTGATACCCCAAGAAGCGTCAGGCCACATCATTTTCCGCTTTGAGCTTCCTCCTCGTCTCCAACAACTGTTCCTTCCTGAACAACCCCCATCCAACCTTCATCCACGAATCTCGCATCATACTGGCCGACCCTCCCTTCTGCAAGCTCTCTCTAAACCTCGCGACCTTCGCATACAAATCAGTCGAGATCTAGTGACAGTTAGTTTGAGTTCAGTTTCGACATTTATCGATGAAGGAAGGGATGCAGCTAGATTTCCCTTAGAGGCGCGTGTGGAGGGGGAAGTGACACCTTGGATGTGATGCAGGACAGGGAGCGTAGCATCGAACTCAAGCATAAGGTCCTGATACTCGGAAGAGGCGCCACGGCTATCGCTCAGCAGCTGCCGGACTGTGCGAGCAACGCCAATGAGAGACAGTATATCACCGAAGGATCCGAAGCTGAAAGCGACGAGGGAGGACATGGACGTTTGGTGGAAAGGAATGTTGCACAGGTATTGGGATATTTATACTTATAAAATCGATCCCATGATTCGTGGTAGCAGCGGCCCTCAAACCTCGAAGGTTGTGACAGGAACACAACATCGATGTTCATGTGCAGCTTCCCGCTTGCATTTAGGTCAGGATACTTGGAAGATAAGTGTCTGCTGCACAGACCAAGGTATGCAATTGTAGTACCATAATCTTCTCCCGGAGTACACATGGTTCTTTTAGGAAACAAGTTTTTGCTGTGTACTTACGAGCTCTCGAGAACCTAGGATACCGATACCAGGAGCCTTGCGAAGACTCAATGACGGGTATTACTCACCTGGACGACGCCATTGTTGAGGCCCATCTGGTAGCATCACAGAACCTGCTGCTGGACCACTGTGTCATCCAAGTATGGCAGAGACAAGGCAGAGACGAAGAAAGTCGCCGGCGCTTGGAATTGAGACTACAACCAGATCTTCAACCTCGCGTGGTTGCCACGCGTTCGTCACGCGTAAGCGTTCTGATCGGTTTGAATTTCCATCTGTCTTTCACTCTCATCGACATTCGTTGTCAACTTCCCGCCTGTTCGACAGCTATAGGTAATTCATATCTATCGGTCCTACAAAATACTCGGAAACACGACAGTATCCGTCAAAAAAAAAAAACGAACTTTGATACGAGACTAACTTACTTAATCCGCAGACATGACTGGGACCGAGACACAGACGCAATGGCGATTATGGTCCATGCTCTGACCCTTGAGGATGACAGTATTAGGCCAACATACTCCCGTTTTGACTTATGAGTGTACTCTGTGGTTACAAGAGGCCGAGATTGTTTTGGTATGATTAACGCTGATAATTCTAGTCCAGTGAGACGAACGGCAAACATATTTCGGTATCGGTAGAGCTACATATTCCCATATAAGGTGCGATTTCGCAAGATCCGGTTACGAATACGGGGGCTCCAGCCAATCACATGCATAAGTCGCCCGTATTCGTAGCTCTACATTTTTACCGAACAGGCCCTAAAACACAAGTAATAATCGTAAACGCGTATGTGGTACTAATATCCCGTAAGAAGAATCCTCAGTGGCGCTGCCTGCAGACCTGTGTACACGATCTGATTAACTTCACTCGGGGGCACGACCTCCCAGGACCCACGTCCAATTCTTATCCTTCCCCTTCCCCTTCACCATCCTCCCAAACCCTCTCGGCTCCTCCAACTCTCCGATGGAACTCTTCAATACCAGCCCCTCTGCAATACAAACTTTGTACATCTCAAATTTGAACCGCGGATCCTTGCTGTCCGGAGTCGTAGGACCCTTCGTCTCCCTGATATAGGTGTCGTAGCGGACAGTGATTCCGAGATCTGGTGCGTGCAAGACCAAGAGAATACCTCGCTTCGCCAACTTCGTTCCCCACTTCTCGATTCGAGCCTCGTGGATAACTTTCACGGTCTGGGGCTTGAGCTCGATCCGCTGGCGGAGCTTGACGTTGACGTCGTCGAATTGCAACATGCCGATGTTGAGTACGATGAATGCGAGAGCAGGATTACCGTCATGATTTAAGCGGGGAGAGAGTGTGATGTAGACGTAGAGGTTGGAGCAGTCGAGAGTCTCGAGAGAGACTCCGGGTTCGGTGAGGGCGTAGGAGATGAGGGCACTGTGAGTTATGATCGCGAACGTCTCCCTGTGACAACCAGCGAAATCGCGCAGAAGGCAATGCTCAGGTGGGGAAGACGAGGGTTTGGCGGAATGAGGCCCAGTTCCCCTGTGCTCTTGCGCTCGGCGGCAAACAGACCTGATCATCGTATAACATCCGCCACCATAAATATATACCATCAAGAATATAGATACGGCTACGTGAAAATGACGACGTACTTGTGCTGACGCCAGCCCTTTCGCTGGCATGCCTTGTCACAGAAGGAGACAGAACGACATCCGCTACAGACGCGAAGTGCAGCACCTTGGTCTGGCGTCTTTCCACAAGTGGCACACCCTTCGTATCTAGTCGCAGGACGGAAGAGCTCGGGCATACTATCTCGCTGGAATGAGCGATGAAGCGTTCGTGATTACTCAGAAAATGGGGGTTACAAAGATACGAAGAACTGATGGCGCACCTCGGACGAAAAAGTGGAAGTTGTGGAAATCAGAAACGACGAGGGACTTTTATACTACGAAGGAGGCTTGAAGGCGGATCTTCATTCGCACCATGCTGAGCTATAGTAGAAGACGGACAATGATGTCATGCGACCAGCACCGTAGCCGCATCAAGCTTAAAAACGGAAATAGAGACTGCTAATCAAGGCAAGGACTTCAGCGTGTCGGAACCGAAGAAAGATATAACTTATGCAGCGGAGAGATGCCTAATCCGAGCTGTAAATTCCGAGAGTGAACTTGAAGTTTGAACGCATTTCGGTATTCTGTATTCGAATCGCACGGTATTCCAGCATATATCGTAGTGGACAAGTTCGACAACATAAGTAAGTAGATGAAGGGTTGTGGAAGAAAGACCGTTCGGACGCACCCGGTGATGAGGCAGCCACGGAGCCACCAACTTAGCTTCCGTAGGTTGGAGGAGTAGGACAGGATTTGGCGCACACGATGAATAAACAATTCGTTGTCTTCGAAGGGATTCTCGAAATGTGTGTTGCACGACCATTCATTTGGCGAAGGCATGATGTGATGCGGGGAGAACGGGGAAGTCGAACACTTACTTGACGCACATAATGGGATTATTGATGGGGAAGTCAAACAGCTGGCGAAATATGGACGGGAGGTACAATCTCTCGACTCGATGGTCAGAAACAACTTGATCTATTTATTAGAAGTCTGGTTATTGTTGGAGCTTAGACGCCATCAGAAAGGTATCAATTCCCAGTGCAGCCAAGACACTTACACGACCATGGCCACCACGACACTGAACGTCGCTTGAACCTGTCAAACAAGAGAGAAAAGTGAGTGAAATGAAGCCTCTTGTCCATGTATCCCAAGGAAACAGGTAGTCAGTCAATTTTCCATTGAAAGTCATCCCAGAGCAATAGATCCAGGTTCATGCGATGTCGTATACGCTCATCACTGAGAGCAGCCAAACAAGATGAATCACAGACCTGTCCCTACATCATCTTCCACAGTGCACATAAGTTTGGATAAGACAAAGAGCCATATGTGAGATGAAGGAAAAAAAATTCGACGTGCCCTCCATAGCACAAGATGAAGGGTTATTATACCGCTGCAATCTCCGTACGCGCTATTCATGCAAAACCGCTACCATTTGGAGTACGTGAAGGTGCTCATCTGAGTCAAGCCAAAGGATTCGGACTCGCTATTCTCGGAGCCGGTTCTTTGTCTGAGACAGAATGAATGTTACTCTGTTACAATGAGCATTCTAGGGGATGCACGCCGTATAAGTCAAGGTCCACTGAACTCGTAGCCACAAACGCTCAGAGTAATACTTGATAGAATAGAGCTGCGCCACTCAAGCTCCACCCATGATGGGAAGGAGTTCTGCGAGCAAGTCGCACAAAGCAGCTGCAGCTCTCTAGTAGTCAAATCGAAAGACCTAGGCAGACACTGGCAGACGCCTACCGCTGACTACCTCCGAGACGATGATTCTGGTTATGAGTCAAGAAGAGGCCAAGCCTGTTTTATCGCGGAGAGTGTTGTCAGAGGCGAACAATGGTGTTCCAGAAAGGCAAAGATATCGTCATTTATCGTCATTGTCGACCAAGTGGACGTCGGAGGACCTACACCCAGCACCAACGAGGGTGATGGCAACGGCAGAGCATTGTGTAGCGCGTACTTAGATGTCGTCATCGTTAGTAAGCCAAGCATTCACGACCAACGGCGGTTCCGTTGTGGAGTCACTAGACTGAGTCACAAGCGTCTACGCTCAGATTATGTAGAGAGTACTGCTGCAACGGGGCTGGGTATTCACCACAAAAGGTGACTCATAAAGAGTGGGATCTCCCATCTCGTTACAGCGGAGATTCGTCTCCGAGAAATGATTTTCAAGAGGCCATATATTATGGTGCGGGGTCGAAGACAATGCATAGGCTTCAGATCGGTTCTTGGCCCTCAAGACAGAGGTCGTGACCGACGACTACGTTCTCACCGGCGTGAGGTAGCAGACAACGGCAGCAAGCACAGCGTCGCCATCAGGGAATATTGTGGGTAGGCGTTGGAACCATCATCTCCGAGAGAGCCACCTTCCATTGCACCGTTGGAGGAATAGTGGCGTGCGATACTCATGGCGGCCCCGTGAGTGTCGTAGCTAGATACTAGCAGATGCACCCCTCAAGAGGCCCCAGAGATGTCAAGCATTGAGGTCGGAGAGCTGGAAACCAGAAGACTGTGACTCGACCTTGAAATTCGGGAATGGCAAGGATGAGCAGACAAAGTTAGGCAAGAGGGGGTACGCAGCCGCGTCGCCAGCACGTGATGTTGATATTCCAGCCAGCAGCCGGAGTGGCACCCCTCCTGGATGGGCCACATCCGTCGAGTTCCCGGAATACTAGTTATATTTCATCTGAAAGACGGCGATCCGAGACTTCCAGACCATAAACCATACCTCTACATTCGATTACCATGGACGTCACCGTGTTTACACAATTCATACGGCACTAACGGGGGTTGACCAGTCTGCACCCTCCCAGTACTTGCGAAGATATTGCTCAACGGTGAGTGGGTGGATGTCGGGTAGTCTGTTGTTCAAGGTCGGTTCCACGACCCAGTGGCCAGCGACGACGGACTTGGTGAGCTGGTGCACGCGGGATACCCAGAAGGGAGATCATAGTGAAACGACGTGGAAAGGTGGGCTTAGTTAGCGACGCAAAAAAAAGAGACAGCAGGGTAAGATACCGAAGAATAGAAGTCCCTCTCTAGCAACTTCTTCGCCGTCTCGCTATCACCCTCCTTGAGGTAAGTCCTCTGTAACTTCTTCCCAGTTATCTTCTCCGCGACATCTATGACCTCATTCCACGTCGTCGTCTCTCCCACGATACCACTCTCGTCCTCCCACTTATCGAGATCCAGGCTCGCAGCGACAAATTTCCCAGTGTCCTGAGCGGAGGTAAACGCCATCTTCTCCGTACCGTCTCCTGGAATGTACACGGTTCCGGCACGGACATCGAGGAGCAGCTTTCCAGGTTCGAAATGGGCGACAGCTTCCCTTTCGGTGGGCAGGTTGGATCCACCGGCGAACATGTTGATGTAGATGCTTTTGGTGCGGATACAGTGTGTGAGGTCAGCATAGGTGTAAAATGATAGACATGGCGTATGAATGGGAGCCTTAGGACGGATAGTAAACTCACCCTGGAATGAACCGCGTCACTTCTAGCCCAGACCTCTTCACAGCGTCCCAGACTTCGATCTTGGGAGGGTACACGTAGAAGGTAGTATTGTCCTGTTCGCACACACCGTACCAAATAGCGATCACAATGAGCATTTTGGACCATTCATGAATGAACCGGAAAATATCAAACGTACTCTGGCGGCCCACTCAGACGGCGCAAACCTCTTTACGCCTACTTCTTTCGCTGCCTTGAGGAGGGCGAGCTGGCTTCCAGCCGCTTCCGTCGCATTCGCGGTGAAGAGAGTGACGATGACGGTGTGAATACCTTCAAGTGCGGAGACGAGGCTGGTGTGGTTCGAGTAGTCGACCACACGAACTTCGGCTTTCGATTCGATGGGCTTGGACGACCGAGAGAGTATGATAGGGGTGTGTTTTCCCGCCGCGAGGATGCTATAATTTCACGTCAATGTGCATAACATCGCAGTGTTGGAGAAGAAGTGAGGCGATGGAGAGTCTAGGTGACGTACGCATCAACGATATTCGCACCGATGTTTCCAGACCCGCCAGCGATTGCAACTTTGACCATGTTTTGACTATGCGAGCTGATTTGAGGGTGCAGGAGTATGATGGGAAGCCTATCTGAAGTGAAATGTTGGGAAACAAATCAGTGTTAAGTACGTCCGCTGTGAGCGCAATGGACACCGCAACAAGGACGATCAGCAGATCCATTTCGAGCATGGACCACTAGCATGACTAACGACAAGGATCTGTCAGCTTCCCTCATCGAGAACACGTAGCTTACTCATAATAACTTGGCAGAGGAGAAGTGGGTCTTAACCAGCAGTGTATCGTACGCAACATATTGTGACGACAAATAACCAAAGGGAACGTACCATATAGAGTTCGTACAGATTGCGCCTTTTGCCTAAGTTGATATCACTCAAAAATCGGATTCGTGTATGTTGGGGAGGCTTGAAGAGGAAGGGCGGAGGGAGCAGTGATATCTTCCAGCTTAGTAAAGTCGATATGGAAGGCTGGCGTTCAAGGGGTGAAATCTGTGGTTGCGGTGGCCCGTTTGTGACGGTCCAGTTAGCATCGAAGGCGTGGAATGATTGAGTGGCTTTGGCGCACCTATTCCCGAGGCAGCGTCCACATAGAACTGATCAACAATTTCAAGACCAGATGAAAGGAAAGGGCAGAGTGCATATGGCGATCGCGGGCAAGGTGGAGAAACCGACAAAGGCAATCGTAGGGGTGACAAGACCTATACTGGCTAGCGGTGATGGCCTACGATCAAAGGCAGCTTCAGAGCGAGATGATGCAAACATGGTCCGTTTACAAACATCAATAAGCACTAGAGACTAATAAAGAGCATGATATATCGCACATTCTCGTGTACCTCAACACATCCACCAAACTTGCCTTCAATGCCTCTTTTGGCTGTGCAGAGGTCTGCCTAGTACTACTATTAGCTTGACTTCAGTATATAGCGTGCGAGAACCGTACGCCGTGATTCGATTCTAGAGGAATGAACCGGGACGAACGGCGAAAAAGACAAAGACGAGCTTGAAGAAGGAGAATTGGAGGCAGGAACTTGAAGGAAGGAAGTTTGGCCGGCAGAGAGCAGGCGTTTCTCGTGTGCAGAGTACGTCTCCGAGGGTGCGAGTGCAAGAGCGATAGATAATGATAAGGAAACGAAAGAATGAAAATATGTAGTGCGGGTCAGAAGAGACTAGAAAGCACTCATGGTGATCGAGGCAGAGTCAGGTATTGACCCAGCCCAGCTGAAGCTGGAGTTTGCCTCGGAGATGAAGGAGCAGGAAACTCGTAAGGACATTCGAAAGGAATAAGGTTGACGCTGACGTTGTAGCAGTTGTTATAAGTACCTGTCTACAGCGCATCCTGCTTGATACACCAACCCGAGCGAGCGTCAGTCATAACGATCCTGTGCTGCAGATAGGAGGCCAGACAGACAGACACGTAGTTGTGAGAGTCGAATCCCTCAACTTTCAGTAGACACGGTGTTCCAGAACGATCGAGAGAAAGTATTATTATAAAGCTGGTGCATTAGATAGTTCGGATTGGGCTGCGATGAAGAGAAACGAGGAAAAGATACGAGGGGGACGGACTGCAAGGCACCGTAGGACCTCGAATCCCGTCTCTGAGATTGTACTTTTGTGAACAATAATGAGTTGTCGTAGAGGAATAACTAAGCTGAAGATAGCAGAAAGACTGGCGACGAGGAACTTTCACGTCCCTCAGCCGCTATCAGACAAAGCGCTCATGGGAGCAGGAGACACCAGATGAGCGCGGAGAGGCAACGAAAGAGGATATAAAGTTCATAGATGGAGAGCGGGGAGCAAAGACGAAAAGGGCAGAGATAGACGATGAAAAGAATAGAATGAGAGAGCATAGCCATATACGAGGCTGAGGACTGACGAGAGCTGGGTCGGGCTATACGAGCAAGACAAGAGATGCGACGGCGACTTTGATGGGTTATATAGGCGTAAAGCAAGATATCGATTGAAGGCCAGAGAGGTGCGGTTGAGCATAGTAGAGAACAATCGATTGAGATTCAGGCGACGTCCTAGATGCTGCCAGAGCTGAGGGTATCTAGGATTTCCTGTGCAGCGGATAGCGCGATTTACACAGAGCAACAAGACATCCTGGAAGGATCTACATGATGCTAGCAGTCTCTTAGGAATATAAACATCGCATACGATTGCAAGAGGCAAGAGGGAGTCTCCGATATGAACCCTCGTCAAAAAGTCCGCTCTTCCTGTAGGAGTGATTCTGCGCGCCCTGAATCCACATAAGCCGTACTGGCACAGTGAAGAAGAGAGTGAAAGCGCATGATAATGGGACGAAGATGAAGATGGGACGAGGATGGCGGTTGTGAATAAAGATGTCCTGTGTTGCCACGACTAGCAACAAATTTTGAACGCAGTATGACGTCATCGCTCTCCCTCAAGACCGTTGAGCTCGACTCAAAGCTTCAACCTACGATTTTGTCCTGTATTTTACACTCATGTACCACTTGTTACATCCTCATTCGAAGCTCTACAATTTCAACAATCGAACAAAACCCGTAGCACGCCACGCCACACATTCTTCCTCGCCACCCACCCTTCCGTCCTTCCGGCGCTTCCCTTCAGAACCTCTCCACCAAAGTTCACATTCGGCCTTCCGACCAACTCAATCCCTGTGAACACAACCAACCGCTCTAAGCAACTCGCCAGCACATCTCAATCACAAGGCCCAATCGTCTCACCCCACCCTATCCGAATTCGCGAACGAAAGGGAGGAAAGGGAGGAAAGGGAGGAAAGGGAGGAATCCCGCACGGCGTCAGCGTCGGAGGTAGATGGATAACTCCGCTCTTGTTAACCCTGTTGCCTCTGAATCAAGTGCGTCTGTTCCAGTCGTCGTATCTTCATTCATTCCGGCCAGCTCATCTCTCTCTCTCGCGTACAATCGTCAAGCTCCCAGTACAGGATCATGGATCGAGTAGACTCCCCACCTCTCTGGACTCCCCCAAATCCCTCAGCCACACGCACCTACGCCCTCCTCCGCTCCATTAACGCTCGGCACCAGCTCGAACCTCCGCTAAAGACCTACGCAGACCTCTATCAGTGGAGTATTGATCATGTGGATTTGTTTTGGGATGCCGTATGGGACGAGACGGGTATCATAGGCGAAAAGGGCGCCGCTTCCGATGCAGGAGAAGGCGGTGAAGGAGCAGGAGCAGGAACAGGAACAGGAGGGAAGGGGCAAGGAGGAAGGAAAGCACACGTCGTCGACACGACGAAGAAACCATGTGATAATCCTCCATGGTTCAAAGACGCGAAACTGAACTGGGCGGAAAACATGCTCTGGTGTCGGGACGAGAACAAAATCGCTCTCATCGAAGCTCGTACGTCCCCCCTACCACCGCCAGTAATTCCTTCGTGTGCGGGAATTGAGTCTGACATTGAACGTCGGACACAGTCGAACCAACCCCGCAACTCCCCACCCCGCCCCTCCGTCGCGTATCCTACGCCGCGCTCTACGCACTCGTCGCGGATCTCGTGTCGGGGCTGCTTGAGCTTGGGCTGCTGCCTGGAGATAGGGTAGCGTCGTATTCGTCGAATTGCATCGTACGTCTCTTTCTCCATCTCTCCTTCTCTTGATCTCTTCCTTTTTCGTGTTCGGGACGGGAGAAATGCGTTGGCTGACGGGTACGTTGTGGCGAGCAGGAGAACGTGGCGGCGTGTTTGGCTGCGGCGGCGATTGGTGAGTTCTTCGTTGACTGCTACTCTACTCTACTCTACTCGGATACGAGATTTTGAGAGCTGATGGGGCGATGTGATGTGATAGGTTGCATCTGGGTCAGCGCAGCGGCAGACTTTGGACCGTCCGGCGTCCTCGAACGGTGCGTCTCCTTCTTATTAGGCTTGAGCTTGGGCGCCTATTATGCCCCTATCCTCGCCTTCCCTCCTTCCTTCCTCCCCATTCTGCCACCTGATTCCCAAACTCGTACATCCACCTTCTATATATGACTTACAATAACGTCTATATATAACCCACGAACATACGACCACGTCCTAGATTCGAACAGGTCAAGCCGAAAGTGATATTCGCGGTCGATGCGGTCGTGTATAATGCCAAGGTGCACCCACACCTTCCTAAGCTCGCTTCTCTACTCTCTGGTCTTCAAGCCTCCTCCATTTCCCCCTCTGCCTCCTCCACGTCGAAACCTACACCAATTCGACCCACAGTCATACTCATATCGCCCCTTCCATCCTCCCTAACCTCCGGCCTGCCTACGCTCGAAAGTCTGGGGTATGATGATGTCGTGCGGTTTGAAGAGTTTCGGAGGAGGGGGAAGGAGGCGGGAGAGAAGGGGCTGGGGAGGAGGGTGGATGTGGATGGGAAGGGGGAGGGAGAGGGAGAGATTGAGTGGTGCAGGATGGGATTCGATTGGCCGCTTTGGGTTTTGTTTAGTTCGGGGACTACCGGTACGTCATTGCGTTTCCTGCCCCTATCCCTGCCTCTGCCACCTCCTACCCTTCCGCTTCTTTCTTATTAGTATGAAAGCGTGTGTGATGGCTGACGCAGTGGATGTATGCGCATCTAGGCAGACCGAAAGCGATCGTTCATCGGGCGGGGGGGATGTTGATACAGGCGAAGAAGGAGCTCGTTATATGCGCGGATTTGAAGCCGCAGGACGTCTTCTTTTATTATACGACGACGTGCGTTGTTCAATTCCTTCCAACCCGTGTATTTGTCTCGCGTCATATAAGTATCTCCCATACATTCCGCTAACCCCTCCCTCCCCTCTCTCCTCTTCCATCCAATCACGGCGCCGAAAACCCACATAGCGGATGGATGATGTGGAACTTCCTCATCGGCGGTCTTTCCGCCGGCTCCACCCTCGTCCTCTACGACGGTTCGCCCCTCAAAGAGCCGGGTTATCTCTGGAGGCTGGTCGATGAGCTGGGTATTACGATTTTTGGCACGAGTGCGAAGTATTTGGATGGGTTGGCTGTGAGTTCTTCTTTTTCGTAACCTACACAGAGCCTGTCGTCCTTGCCTATCCTCCCTTCCCTCGCCGGCATGATTCCTTCGTTATCTTCCATCGTCATACTTCCTTCGCCGGCGACCAACCGGCGACCATCCCCGCACGTTCCTCCATCCCCTTCCTCCCTCCTCTTCATATCCTTCTCTTTCTCCCCTCTTCCTATCATTCCTTCCCTGTTATTCCCTCCCCCTTCCTCGCTCCCTATCCTCCCTTGCCCCCGACCGTCCCAACCCTTCCTCCTCAACTGAACCACGTCCAACATCCCACGTACTAATCTCCCATTCCCACCCACCTACAACAGAAATCCTACCGCCCCATCGCCCACCACTCCCTCTCCACCCTCCGCCAGATCCACAGCACCGGCTCGCCGCTCGCGCCCTCCCAGTTCGATTTTGTCTATTCAGGGATAAAGAAGGATGTGTTGTTGGCGAGTATTACGGGCGGGACGGATATTTGTTCGTTGTTCGCTGGTGCGTCAGGTGCTGTTTTATGAGAAGCTTCGGTTTTGGTCTTGGGTCGTTTGCCACTTCAATTCCTCATTACGTTCTATCCGTCCACTGCCCGTCCTCCTCTCTTCCGACCACTGCATTCTTCGAATGTTCACTCCGCGTCTTACACACGTTCCACATCTCACTCCTCCTCTCCGCCCCCTTCCTCCCTCCCTCTCCTCCGATACTTGAAACCGCGCATATACTGACCCTCCTCCTTCCTTCCCTCCATTCCCCTCTCCCTCCCTCCCTCCCCTCGCACATCCTTCCCTATTCACCTTTCAAAGGAATGAACACCTCCCTCCCCGTCTTCCGCGGCCAACTCCAAACCCGCATGCTCGGCATGGCCATCCGCGCCTACACCCCCACCGGAACCCGCGCGGCCCCGGACGAGGCGGGAGAATTGGTGTGTGAGAAGGTGTTTCCGTGCATGCCGGTGGGGTTTTGGCCGTTGGCTGGATTTGGGGCGAGTGATGAGGAGGTTAGGGGGGCGGAAGGGAGGTTTAGGGATGCGTATTTCCCGGAGATGCGGAGTGAGGGTGAGGGTGGGGAGAAGGGCGAGAGGGGGGTTTGGTGTGAGTTTACGTTTAATGGTTATTTGCATCGCTTGAGGTGGCTATGGGACTGACTTATTGGGTTGGTTGTTTGGTGGTGGGATGGGTAGATCATGGAGATCATGTCGTTATCACGAAATCGAGGATGGATAATGCGGGGGGCGTGATCATGCTTGGACGGTCGGATGGGGTGTTGTACGTTTGTTTCTCATTCCTCTCCACATTCCCTTGAACCTGTTCCGTCATATTATTCTACGAACGCCATCCTTTCTTCTACGCTATCCAACCTTCCACAAACCGTCTCATCTCCATATTCTCCTTCGTTGGATTCACCATATGCTAACATGACGCTCTCGTACACAGAAACCCGGGTGGCGTACGATTCGGCTCTGCGGAGATTTATGAAGTGCTAGAAGTCGAATTCGGTGCTTCGCCTGCTACTCTACCTCCTCCCACGGCCACGACCACTGCGAATGGTTCCGCCACGACCACGACCAACGGTTCCGCCACCACGACAACGGCCAGCGCCACCTCTCCCCACCCACATTCACCCGCCCCTCAGCCTCCGTCTCGCACCCCTCAGCCTCCGTCTCGTACCCCTCATCCTCCGTCTCGCACCCCTCAGCCTCCGTCTCGCACCCCTCAGCCCGCGTCGAGCACTCCGCCAAAGAAACACACAATATCCGACTGTCTCGTCGTCGGGCAAGCTCTCAAAGACGCAACCGGGACAATCGTAGATGAGCGCGTCGTGCTGTTCGTGAAGATGCCGGAGGGGGAGGTTGTGAGTGAGGAGTTTAAGAGGGCTGTGGGGGGAGAGATTAGGAGGATGAGGACGGCGAGGCATGTTCCTGCGGAGGTGATTTTCATTTTCCTTTTAGTTTAAGTGGATGTGGAAGTGAGGAGACGCTGATACGTCCGCCATGATTTTGTTTGCAAAAGATCATTCAAGTCTCGGATATACCACACACGCTGAACGGGAAACGTGTTGAGGTTCCTGTGAAGAAGGTGCGTCTTTTTTCTTTCCTTTTCCTTCCTTTCCTTTTCCCGTTACATGTTCAACAATCGGTTAATAACCTACAACTCACGACCTGCATCGTTCATCCATCTCATCTCGCCCTCGATCTCATCCACGTCCGATGCCAGATAATCAACGGCGCCCCGATCTCGAGCGTCAATCCTGCTACGCTCCGCAATCCGGAATGTTTAGAGGAGTATGCGAGGATTGGGAAGGAGTTGAGGGCGAGGTTTGGTGGGGGTGGGGGTGGGAGTGGGAAATGAGCGGAGATCTTGGGAGGTGTGGGTTGGCGAATGGCAGTTTTAAGTTCGGCGGTGGCGCGTGGAGACGGTGCGAAGGTATAAAGCGTGTATGTATGCTAACGTCGATGTGTGTCGAATTTTCAATGTAGAGATGTGCTGTGGAGGTTTTGCGTCGTCTTCTTGCACCTGAGGTGGGTGGCCCATCCGGAAGCACGCCTATTAGAAGTAAACGGCTGAGTCCTCTTATTTTCGACTCAAAAACTACGTTTGCTGACCTTTTCTGTGGTTTTATTCATTCTAGACTCTCCGCCATCTGTTAGCCTAGTATCTGACGGTCGTTTGTCGAGCGTAGGTGAAGATGACCTTTTTACCGCTGTCACTTTGTTTGATGGGCGCATGCTTTGGCTGTCACGATGCTGCGTGGACGGAGCGACGTTAGCAGAAAGCGCATAGCAGGGCCGACGAGAACGCTGTCGCTCACGATGGCGTATTGGAACGTGATCGTATGGTCGACGTCGACCCTTTTCTTAAGCTTGATAATATTCTCTAACTACCACGATGCTAGGTGGAAGGAGCAACGTTAGCCTTCTCGAAGCAAACGGCTGAGTTCCCTTGTCCACATCCGGAACTACGTCTGCTCATTTCTTGTGGATTTATTCGTTCTAGACTTTGAACGTCGCGCTATTCGAAAGATAGCTTAGTCTTTGATGGTCCGTAGGTGAAGATACATATTTCACCTCTGTCACTATGGTTGACGGGCGCATGCTCTGAGCATCACGATGCTACGTGGAATGAGCTGCGTGAGCAGAAAGTGCATAGACCGCCAATAAAGCTGCAGTTCACGATGGCGTATTGGAGCGTGGTCGTACCGTCGAGCCTTCTCTCATGATTAGTATTTGGCGACCGTTCATCGATTGTAGGCGAAGGCTCATGCTCTAACTACAGTCAGGTCGCCCCAGGTGCGACGGTGCCCCTCAGCGAGACACTGACCATAACGAGCAGACACGTAGTCTTCGTCTTGATGTGCGAATCCGTCTCGCTAGGGGGAACCGTCTACCTTGGGGTGACGTGACTGCATCACCATGCTACGTGGGAGGAGCAACGTTAGCAGAAAGAGCATCGACCGCCAAGAAAGCTGCCACTGACGATGGCGTATTGGGACGTGATCGTACCGTCTCATGCGTACCATGTGCACTACTCATAAAAACACGGTGACAGAGCTCAGAGCAGCGAAAGTGAAACAGTCCGGACCGCTACCAAGCCATACAGCATCGTCCAAAAAGTGGCACGTACATCTAAACTCTACGCCACAAATCGTGCCCACGTCTCGCTCGTTTTTGATGGTTCAGAGACTTCTCTGCTTGCACCTCGTGGTCAATTGGGAGATCGGGGCGATGTCCAGCTTGACACCAACTTTTGGTATGGCGGCGAATATTCCATCTGTTCAAACAGACGGAATGAGCGGACATAAAGCGCTCTAGAAGCGTTGCTCAATACAGTACCTCCTTTCGGAGACATGCTTTGACCGAGAGCATCAGCGCCCGCTCCGAGTCGTTCCACCGCTCTCTTCGCGCCGCACCTCGAGATATCAGTGGGCCTTATATGGCGGTTTAGGTGCTGTTCAGACTTTGTGGCGGGTGCAGGCGCTGTCGACATGGCTCCAAAGGGATGACCCACCTTCCTAGTTTGGTACGCCGTTGTACTATGTGCGTCGTTTGAGCGCGCTCACGAGGGCCCTGTCGACTCGGTACCGACTAGGACACCGTCTATAGACCACGACAACCACTTTCGAATCGTACCATCTTCGGAAGCCCGTTCAAACGACCATATGTGGTTGATCACGTTCTGCGATGATATTGGCATAGCTACTTCCACGACTCTAGACAAGGAGAAATCTGCAGCGCCAAATATTGACACAGATGTATTAAACAAAGCATGCTTCCAACCGTGGAAGGCTTGAAACAGTTAGGTTATTCTTCCACGCAGCTACAATGCACTGCTGATCGTGTGCGCATATGCGCGCCCCAACTCAGAAATCGAAGAGTTCTGTCTGGTCAGCAGAGTTGACATTAGGCGCGCGTGAAAGATTTCGAAGTGCAATTGTGAAAGCAGTTGCAAAACCGCCTCGTTATTCGCTTTTGTCTTCACGCTATGCCATTCGTTGTGCAGATATTCCGAGTCCGAGCAGCGAATGAATGCAGAAGGTGTTTCCTTGGCTCACCGATTTTTTCCCTTGAGGCAAAATATAATCTCATCCTGTCTATAGTTGCGAAAGAGGCAGCAAATGCCTCAGATTAAACGCCACGAATGCTGAGCCCAACCGCAGCGGGCACCTTGGCTGTAGGAATCCAATCGCGTGCGGCGTCTGTACGATATGGGGGTGTGGTGGTGTGCGCCTTTTCATGAGATTTGTATGCCCAACTACCCAGCCTGGTCAACGATTGCGTCTTCTGCGCCTCGGGAGCAGAATTCACCTGATGGAAAGCTGTACGTCTGCACGATGGGTAGCTAGCCTAGGCCGTCGAGGACGGTCTCTGCCAGTGGTGGGACTACTATATAAACTCGAGGGAGTCTGGCCATTGTATCCCTCAAGCTCTTGCTCTACAGCGAGTTCCTTCTCCAGCTACCACATAGCACCACTTTCCTTCCAACTGTCGTCGACATGCTCTCTTCGTCTTTCAAGCGTTTGGCTGCACTTCTAAGCACCCTTGTTGTGATCAACAGTGTCGCGGCAGCTCCGTCCGGGGCTCACGCTGATACACACAATCTCACTCGCCGCTTGGTTACCGGTGCTCCTCGTTTTGTTGCTTATCAGTCAGTCTTTTCTCCTCGCGTCTACAGAGACCCCCAGCTTATGCTCTGACTTCGAATATAGGGATGCATTTATTTCCGGCGAGACTGGCCCTCCACCTACGGCTTCGATCAACGGCTTCAACGTCTTGTAGGTGGAATTTCCTCGCCGTCTTGTGGAGCGGAACCTAACCGTCTTCGTCCATTATAGTGCTATGAGCTTCTTGCTCTCTTCCGGGGGCGCTGATCAGGTCAAGGAGTGGGAGCTTCTCACTCCCGTCCAGCGTAGCACTATCAGGTCGCAGTACAACGCGGCCGGTATCGCTCTTGTTGCGTCTGCTTTTGGGAGCACAGAGCACCGTGAGTTCAGGTTTTGTGTATATTATCTGTCGACACGGCTGACGTGAAACATTCCCAGCGACTACTGGCGGTGAATCTGCGACTTCCCTCGGTAATAGCATGGGCCAATGGGTCTTGGACCACAACGTCGATGGTACATTATGCTCGTTCATATCGTCCATAAAAATCAGACACCTCACGATCCCTTCCTTGATCCAGGTCTCGACATCGACTACGAAGATCTCGATGCCTTCAATGGCGGTACAGGCAGCGCCGAGAACTGGCTGATCACTTTCACCCAGACTGTCCGCTCTAAGCTCCCTCAAGGCAAATACATCGTCACCCATGCGCCTTTGGCACCGTGGTTTGAGCCGAACAGGTGGGGTGGTGGAGGTTTGTGTCGTTTCTGTCCTACTGCGCGAGCATACCTGATTTATTTTCCTCCAAAGGGTACCTAAAAATCGACAAGAGCGTCGGCAACCTGATAGATTGGTACAACGTTCAGGTATGTTCCCTGTTTTGTCTCCATTTATCTCGTTGCTCATATATGAACTTAGTTCTATAACCGTGAGTATAAGGTCAGCTTCGTTTTGTGATCGCGCGACTGATACCGCTCGACTATCTTCCACGCAGAGGGTGCTTCTGAATACACCACGGTATATTTGCTCCTAACCTTGCACCATAATATAGTCTGATCCCATTACTCGACTAGTGCAATGGTCTCTTGACCTCCTCTTCCTCAAGCTGGCCCCAGACTTCCGTCTTCCAGATCGAGGCCAATGGCGTCCCGTTGAACAAGCTTGTCATTGGAAAGCCTGCCACCACTGCTGATGCGACCAACGGTACGTCTCGTCATACTACATATTCCCCTGTTGTACTCTAAACGTTACATTCAGGACAAGGCTACATCAATCCTTCCACGCTCGCCACCTGTGTTGCTCAGGCGAAGAACTCTGGATGGGTAAGTCTCGTTTTTAACCTCCTTTGCCGTCGAGAATATTGTAATCTAAGTTCAAAACCTTACTGGCAGAATGCCGGTGTTAGTGTGTGGCAATACCCACACGCTGACGCGACCTGGATCAAGACCGTCCGTGGCTCAGCGTTCCCCATCAGCGGTGGAGGTGGCGGTGGCGGAGGATCTCCCACCACCAGTTCGCCGACTACCAGTAGCACTGGATCCAGTGGCCATGGCTGCAGTGGGGTGTCCGCTTGGAGTTCCTCCCTTGCATACCCCGGCGGTTCCAAGGTGACTTACAATGGCCACCTCTGGACTGCGAAGTACTATAGCGAGGCCGATGTACCCGGTGAGTGTTCTTTCTTGTGCTCTTATTTTATCTCTTCTCGGATGCTCATTTTGATTTCATTCGATAGGCGGCGCTTCTGGTGACTGGACCGACAACGGTTCATGCGCTTCCGCCGCTGCGACCGGCCTTACCTCAGTCGTTCTTCCCTCTCCCTCCGCCACTCTCACCGGTCCCGTCAATCCTCCTTTCTCCTTCCTCCCCAACGCGGTTGCTGCTCTTTTCATCGACAAGAACTCCGTTAGCCCCATCACGTCCGCTACGGTATCCGCTTCTACCACCGTCCCTGTTTGGAACGCCACCTCCATTACGGCGACGGCGTCTGCTTCTGCTTCCACTACCGTCTCTGTTTGGAACACCACCTCCGTTTGGGCGACGGCCTCGGGCTCTGTGACGATGAACACAGCGGTCCCCGTCACGACTGCTGCTTAGAGTACTCGTGGATCTTTGCGCGGTGCTCAATATTTCTTTGTCTCCCCTTCATTGCGTTAGTCAAATTTATCCCGCTCATTTAAAGACATTCCTTTGGTGTTTTGGGTGATCCTTTCCTTAGGTTTTCAGTGTTGCTTTTGATCCGCGGGTCTGTTCTGTTGAGTATTTATGGTTTGCATGGCATCCTTGTAGCCATTGTTATTATTTATAATTGTTTTAAATCGAGTGTTGTCACTCTCTTATGCTCAGTGATATTCTGCGTGAACCGTAGTCTTGATGAAACGGAAGTACTTATCGGCTTTTCCTGGGAGCAATGGGGCTCCAAAGCCGCTCAAAAATGCGCTTTTGTCCACTACATTCTTTATCATGGACATATTTTATTCTCGGCCTCGTGAGTGTGCTCAAAAACACTACCTTTGCCCAACCTTTTTTTTAGGCTCGAGACCCTTCCCGGGAGGAAGGTTGCCACAAAGTTGCCACCGGCAAAGTCCGCAAACTCTACAGCTGTGACGTCATCGTTCTCGTCGCTCGTGCGACTTGCGCACAACTTCAACTCGACCAGACGAATTTCTTCTACATTTTGGTTCATTTACTACTTACCTCTCTGCTCGACGAACTGTGACGATTGTACCGAACTTGTACGATGCTATAGGCCGCACCTGCTACTTGTTCAGAGCCTGAGAACGTACCAGACCCACCGACACAGCCTTGCTCTCTCATCCCTACTCCAGAGAATATTTTCCGTATACTTGGTCTTAGCTTGCTCGCCCGTTCGACTTCCTTATCTATGATCCCGGTGTCATCACATACTGTGCTCCAGAACGTGATCATTGAATGTCTGTGATCACCTTGGTGGAAGTGAAAGTTCGTGCCTATCGTTGACAGACAGAAGCAAAGCATAGGCACAATTTGACTCTAGGACGGGGCCACAGAGGTAAGTCCTCTAGGAGCACGTTTTCCTTTTTACGACGAATTAAACTTTATTTGGTGCCAGTGGATGTGGGGCTGGCGGAGGGGAGGTTTTGGGAGAAGGGCGAGAGGGACGTTGGATGTAAGTGCTATGCTCTCGCTCCAAGTGGGCAGTCGACAGAGCTGGCCAGTCGACATTGATGCTTGTTGGCCAACCGGCCGTTCGTATTTTAGATCGTGGGTCCACGTCTTTAGTCGAGGTTGAGCAACGCCGGTGGTGTGATCATGCTCGGACAGGTCGGACGGTGTCTTGTACGTCATCCCTTCCTTAGCCATTACCATTCTTCTTTGACATGCTACCTCTAACTCGTTCTATCTTATCTTCCTCTGTCACCTATTATTCTCGTTGGCGTCACTCTGTTATATCTGACAAAGCCCAGGTGATGTACAAATCTGCAGAGGTCTAGGATTTGTTGAATGTCGAGTTTGGCACCTTGCCTGTTACCTACTTACCACTCGTGACAGCACCTCCTCTCACACGATCATGAACGGTTCCGCTATCATGGCTGTCACGACTGTCACAACAACAATGACAGCTAATGCCACCTCTCCTCACTTGCCCCTCCCGAAGAAATACACGATCGTGGGCTGCCTCGTCGTCGGGCAAGCGATCGAAGATTCAGACTGCGCGGTGGTGGAGGAAAACTGCCTATCAAGATGCCGGAGGGCATGTGGTTAATGGAGCAAGTTTTTATAACGAGATATCAAGGAGAACTGGAAGGCGAGGCATGGTCCTGCTCAGGTGAGCCAAGAAGCGTTCATATCGGTCATCGTTGGCCCTTTAGTTTTGCTTGGATGAAGTGTGTCTCGGCATGACTGGGAGAAGCGATGTTTCAGCTCTTGTGATTTGGAGTGGTAATCCGAGTCGTCATCACTCCTCAAACTCGTCGATGTAAACATTCCTCCGCGGTGGCATGGCTGCCCTGCGTTCTTTCCAGATCATTCATGTCTCCTGCATACCGCTTATTTCGACGGTAGATATTTTTGAAGCAGTGAAAAACTATGCTTATTCTCACTGTTATCCCTTACCTTTCACCCATGCGTACCCGTCGCACTCGTCTAGTTTCGATATCAGACATAGAGGTGCTCATGGGCGCTTATTCTCGTGAGGTGGCGGTCATGTAGTGACCAATGGGGCGGGCACCCGCGGGATTGTCGCGATCGGTAGCGGACGGCGCTAGAGCGGAAGCAAAATCGCACCGCCTCGTGCGCCCGATCCCTCCTCCATCCTGTTCCCGATTCAGGTTGTGTCTCGTTTTGCTTCCGCCCGTTGTTGGCAATTAGGCACGCGGAGGTCCAGAAGGCAGGCTAGGAGCCAAGGTACGAGGCTAGCACGGAAGGAAGAAATACTTGGCGTAGTACGCAAAACATTCTCGAGCGTCCATGTCTCGCTAATGTTGATCTCAACAGTGAGGTACAGCTGAGACGATTGGCAGTCATGTGTACGCTGGGGCATGAACGTTTGAAGTACCTCTTTTAGGAAATGCTTTACTGTGTTCTGTGATGGTCGAGTGTCTCGAGGACGTCCGCATTATCCATGCTCGCATTTCCTATGTTCACTATGAGGGCCTTGACCCAAGGCAGCGATGTATCCTTTCCCTCCGACAATTTGTTGATAAAAATATCGATATAACATATTCCACCTTAGAACGAGAGTCTGCAGTCACAACGGGCGCGGAGGTGACTCGGCTGGGCTCTGCTCGACATGTTTACTATTTTCCATAACGGCATGTATGGTGCATATATTAGCTTCCCAGCATAGCGTTGAACGATGAACATATTCTCCCTCTTCATCTTAATTATAAGCGTACGCCTACCCCCCCGCGCGCTTCTCGGATTTCCGTCTCGATAGTATACAATGACAATTAACTGAGAGTACCCAATTCGAAACGTCTTTGATATGGATGCTCATAACCTCTCCAGAGTTCACCTGATGTCAATGGAAGCTGTGACTCGACTGCCAGAGCTAATGTATCCTTTCACAGGCAATAATTCTTATTTGTATGTCTTCCGTCCGCACTCACTCGGCGTGAAGCGTGGATCCGAGACATACATAAGGCACACGACGTACCTGATCTCCGACTCTGAGCCCACCTTTTGCCGCAATTCCAGACTAAGCCCCATCATTTCCGTGTTCGATTTGCTACCTCGGAAGTCCAACACTAAGGTACTACGTTTGCATGCTACGTAGAGGAATTCTCCTTGTTCGGATGCTACCGCACCCGTTCATAAACATCCCCGGATCTTCGCCGACGCCCATCAGGGACCCTACATTACCGCCCTCAGGCAGCCCAGAAAATGTTCTTTACCGTCCGTGGCATGGTGTCAATGGCGAATGTGGCGAACACATGAGAAAGCTTTTTGAATAAATAAGGACCGACCTATAAATACACATACGAGGCTCTGAACGTCCATACGAGTGTCTATCCATGACGTTTATCGTGAACGAGTGACGTGGTAAAATAAATAAGCTACGTTGTATCATGAAGCTCAGTAAGCGAATGACGTAATCTGTAGGACATAATAAATAGAGTCCTTGGGCTGAAGCGCAGGAGTCCGAAACAAAGGTGTCGCCTAACGGGTAAGAGAACTCTTCATTCTCATTTGCTCTCCGTAGTACCATAACCAAATAGGGAAGGGAATGCCGAGAACAATGGCCAAACCAGCGAGGAGCGAATTCCCTCCTCCGTATCCAAGAGCGTCGAACATCTGTTGGCCAAACAGGGGGAAGGCGAACCCGACGAGGGAGCGTGAGACCTGCGAGGGATCGTAGCATTGATGAGCGTTTTGATTATACCAGCCGAGCAAGACCTGATAGAATGTGGATTGTGGGAGCATGTATATAGAACTCACCGCTGCAGCGCTCAGAGCGGATGCACCGTATTGGAAGGCATCTACGAGGTAGAGTTGGATCGGGAGGCTAACGTGACGATGATGAAAGAACTCAGCCCCGACTGCATCACATGTGATAAACGCTCAAAGTAAAGACAACTCACAACGTCGTCATCAACCCTGCACCAAATATTGCCGTCCCAATGATGGGTACAATCCAGTGAGTGTGCGCAGCCGCACTCCAGCCATCTAGTCCATGCAATGAGAGCGCATCAACCTAGAATGTAGTGAAACTCACAAACACTGTGGAGGAGAAATTACACGGTCAGTCTCTGTAGTAGACGGGGAAGATAAATACGCATCGACTTACAAAAGTCCAATCGGCACAAAGAACGATCCAACGATGAGCACAGGAACACGGAATTCAGGCTTCCCTTGTCCATCGTTATGTGCACTCAGCTAGAGTCTCGGATGTGAGCGATGTTCAGTCAATAGTAAAAGAGTTTCGTCGCACATTGGCGTAAATATTGTTGCCGATACGGGCAGCGCCATAGGTCGCGGTCAAGAAGCCAACTCCAAGGCCTATATAGGTAAGACCAGAGATTCCAGCACTGAAGTGGTACACGTCCGAGAAGAGGTCTATACGATACAAAAATAAGCATGAGTGTGAAGACCACCCTATCATAGTCAGGTATGACATACCGGGGAAGGTGGTGAACATCAGATAATATATGCCTAGAGTTTTTAGTGAGATACATTCCAGGAGAAGTATTTATGGCCATACCATAGATCCTATAACCCGTGATGTGCGTCAGTTGTTCAAAAGGTGACGGGGTACGTCTAGACGTACAGTGCCATATAGAGACTCAATACGAAGCAGATGAGGCTCTGAGAGAGCATGACGAACGGCCGCGTAAGGTTGGTCCATAACAAACCCAACTGGTCGCGACGGCTACGAATCAGAGCAGACGAGACGGCATGGGATTCCTCATCACTCTGCTTTTGCAGAATGCGCTGCTGGATGATTGGAGCATATGTCTCGCGGAGGAAAGGTATGCCTACGCAAGCGGCAACGGCCGCGACGCCGACAATGACGATGAATATATACTTGTATCCGATTGTTTCTGCGAGCAGGACCTACTTCAGCATGAGGGTATGGACGGTGAACGGCATGCATACCTGTTATGAAACCTAGAGGACGTCTGATGAGTTGAGCGCGTGTCCTAACAACTGTACAGTGAGAGACGTACCGCCAGCTATCGGACCGACGACTGGGCCGACGAGAGGCCCCATCCTACGAGGAACGGATAAAATAAAATGAATATTACAAGCGAGAATTAGAATGCAACATGGGTCGATTACGAACGTGTACAATCCCATAGCAGTCGATCTATGTTGAGGAGCAAACAGATCTGCGTCTTGTCAGACCACACAATATTGGAAAGCGAGCATTAAGTTATCACCTTGGATGACGCCTCCACCGACGGCAAGGGGCGCGGATCCTACCCAGCCCGCTGCACCATTTATGTCAGTTCGACTCCTCTGTTCCTCGAGACAGGCGTAGCCACTCACCAAGGAAGCGGAATCCTATGAACGATCCCGTATTCTTCGCAAACGCGCAACCGATATTAAAAGCGAGAAAGGCTAAGTTATTCAAGTGCAATACCTAAACGGGAGAATATTCTCGACGATCAGTAAAAACAAACAATAGCACAGAGGACGGAACTGCTTACCCAGACCCTGCCATACATTTCGGACATTGGGGCATAAAACAGCGGGCTGATAGCGAAGGCGAGCAAAAAAATAGATAAGGTGAGGGACAAGATAGTCTCATTTGTGATATTGAAGTGGATGGCAATATCCGGAAGGGCAGGAGACATCATTGAGCTAGCAAGGGGGGTGACAAATGTATATAGAGAGACCTAAGGTGTACATTTTCAGCGAGTTCAGCCTGAAAAATGCATCATATGAACCTTGATTGAAATTGAGCGACTCACAATACAAGTCATGAGCCATTTCTTTGCTGGAGACCAGTTGCGCGGATTGGCAGGATTAGTTGCCCACTCATCCTCCTCCGTCCCCTTCGCCCCCTCTTTGGAGTTCTTCTGCTTTTGCCCACCTTCGTGACCAGAGAGTGTCCGCGTGTCGTCGTTGTCAGGATGAGGCGCAGGTTGGTCTACTGTATGCTGCTCGAAATCATCGTCACGAGCCTCTGACTGAGGGGCTCTGTCTAGCTGAGTGGCGCCCGACATGTTCCTTGCGATGTATGAGAGAGGAACACAAGACAAAAAGAAAGAAGGTAAATCTGATATCCAACGCCAACGGAGACAGTTAAGGTAGGCATGCCGGGCCGCTTAGGTGGGGGGAGCTGATCAAATATCGAGTTGCCAACGATGTCACAGCGCCATATGCGGCTGAACACCGCTCCAGCCCGCAGCGCTTCTCAGCTGGCGGGGCAACGCTCCATCCTTTCTAGCAGCCGAATGCGCCCAAGATGGTGCGCCAAAACCAAGCAGTGCAAACACGTTGCCAGTTTTAGTTCGATTCAGTATGAATACCCAAGCTGCTGGGAAACAGCTCTCGACCGCACGTCATACGCATCCGACACTTCATGTCCGCACGTACCGCACTGGACTTTGATTACCCTAGTTCGACAGGTATGAGAAATTTTCGGCCCATCTACACAGCTCCGAGGAGGTGCGGTTTGAAAATAAATGAGTGTCCATCCTCCGCTTGCTCTTCACTTGCTCCGTTCCCCAACAACGTCGTCGTCCGGCTCAGGACCTTACGCCCTCATGCTCGAGAAGTGTATACATAACATGTATAGCCCTCCTCATCTCAGCCCACCGTCGTCTCAGACGTTATTATGGCATGAGAGCGGGAATGAAGGAAATACCCAAGGCGGCAGGGAAGAGAGATATCATGACAAACAGAGAGGACGAAAGAAAGGATGAGACAGCTCAGGTCAGAGACCCCGTCGCTCGTGACCTAAGAGAGTGTTATGCGGTTACGGTGCTAGGCACAGAAAATTATATGATATTATAGTTATATGGTACGAATTTTGAAAGTCTCAACATCCTGCAATAGTTTGCGAGGCCCGTGAGCTTGCGCCGCTAGTTATAACACCAGTTTCTATGCCTACTTCCTATCTCGCACATCTGGCTATGGTATTCTTGGTGTTTATTGAATCGTATTTCATTGACTCAGTGTTGCTCAAGTGCGGTCTCGCAGTTGTTTGCCTTTCATTGGACCGCGATGAATTGATCGGTGTAGCACATATCCCTGTCTCTGAGAAACGTGTCAACTCATCGTGACGGTAATGGTTTTCTTTTATTTTGTGCATTTAAAACCTTAGTTGACTTCGGACTGTGTATCCGGTCACGTTTTTTGTTCCTGTTCGCGGTGTCCTCCTATATCTACGAGCCCGCTCTCCAATATGATACTACTTGTTCTTTTATTCACGTGTGATCACGACGTATGGTGCCCTGAATTCTCAGTGTGGCGAGCAAGGAAACATCACGCGCAGGAATCGACCATGCTCGGAAAAATAGCTCACCAGCCCCTGGTGAACAATTGGCATCGCCTATCACCGATTTCGATCATTTGTGTGAGCTGTGCATTTTGGCTGATGTGCTTGTCCTCCCGATAGCCGGTAAAGAGATCGCAGTCCTCGGCTGCTTTCTAACAGATGCCATGTTGTTAAGGTGCAATCGGGATTGCCTCCCAGCGCTGTTTGAGCATGCCAGGGAATTCTCTCTATACCTTCGGATCACGCATTCTCATAAGGCTAACAACTTCCATCCCTGTCGATCCGCACAGCTCCGAGGATTTGCGTAGGTATCATCCGCTATCAGCTATACGTTGATGGGATCGCCAAGTGTAGAGATACTGTAGCAAACGTTCATCAAAGTTGGGCGAAGGTAGGAGGATGAATTCAAAAGCGGTGTTGCGAATTCGTGGAAAAGGTACCACCTCTGGAGTTGACGACAAGTAAATGATGACCATTGTATGTATTACTTCTTGCTTCTTTTGTTTTCTTTCCTTCCGGGTTTTCGTCAGTGCACTGAGTACGAGAGGCTCGGAGGAACAGGACTGAGAAACTGATAGGGATAGTCCCTTTCAGCAAGTCCAATTGGCATTTCTTACTCATTCTCCTGGCCAAACAGACGGTTGGGAATGCAGATACGTTGCGGGACTCCGAGGCCACAGACATTCCGTTACAATACTTACCCTGATGCTATAACCGCGATGAAGCATGGCTTGAAGGCAGAAATGTGAGCTGGAAGGACACCAACGAATCCAGTGAATGTCGATCACGGAGATTTATTTAGAGGTTCTAACAAAGAACTTGTTGCACAAGACCGGGAGAAAAAACGCTATTTCACTCCGCAAAAGCCGGATACGACTGAACTCCGAGAGTGTTGCCTTCAGGATGATTATGTGGTCCTGTGGGAAACTGTTCAGCTTCGTGGTAGATTGCTTAGGCCACGCCCTAGATCCATCGGGGGTGACGTTTTCCCTCCTCTTCATACATCGGTCGCTATTCGGCACCTTCTCTAGGCCCTTGGTTATCTCTCCACGTTATCGGCTGCTATTAGCCGTCACAACAAAGCGTTCTGTGCCATAGGCATACAAGCAATACGAATCTTGACTGTTCACCATGTTAGTATCACTTCGAGGATTTCAGTTGACGGGTGAGACAAATTCTCTCAATGGCGTAATGATTTGCGTCGATTCCCACTAGGACCTTTTTGATCGGCCTTACTTGCGCCCGTCTATGACGCTGTGATAGTACATATAGCGCCCATGAGCGCGAATCCTTCTATGGTATCAGCGCTTAGAAGAATGGGCATCCCGCCATTGATTGCCGAACGATCTCAGGGCTCTGTTCTCCTATGTTTCGGGTATGTAGCTAAACAACTCGCTGCAGTGCCTCCTATGTTTAACTTATGCGACCGAGGCTTCCTCACCATAGAAGAGGCTTTGATATCTTTTGAACCCTGATGACTCTCTCTGCATGAAGTGTACGGTACGTCAGTCGAAGTATCAAGCTAGTGGGACCTTATCCGTCGGGACGTTCTGATTTCTGTGTTGCGTACCTACATGGAACGGTATGTTTTCACCTATCGACTCCACTAATACAAGTGTTTTCTTGCGCACCACTTTTCGGGACTCCCAACACCCCGCGTTGCGTAACTGCGGAACGAAAGGCTAGCCTATCAAGCGATCCATCGCGCCGTGTCCGTCTGTCCGATTGCATGTGTACGTAGAACAAACCCAATATGGCTATCATTCCTTGTGCACCTATGAAACATCCGTGATCGCCCTGAACGAAGTTTTCGGTTTATGGTAGCATGAAGAAGTCACCAAACTGAGGCGAATGAGCCCGATGGACGAGCATACAGTCATAGTATATATCTAGTTTCATAACACATAGTATACATGGGCGACTGATACATGTCCGAAAATAATCTAATCATAACTTGGTCATGCGCGAGTGGACGAAGTGGGGCAGCCGTGGAAGTCTAAGGACTTCTGGGACGAGAACGGGCGAGAACATCTTGGACATGACCATGGTGGAATTTCCCCGTGCTGCGTCAACTCGTGTCGTAACCGATCGTGAGTCCGTGAAAACCGAGTTGTACATAGTGGCCAATGTTTGCAGACATACGTCTTCCGTGGTTTCGCAGCATGTGATCCCATATGTACCTACTTACAAAGAAAGGCATCGTTAGTAGACTGCATGGAATCGTGAAGTAGACGGATAGGGACGGTTTAAATCAAATCAAGCGCCGACCTTTCGAGTGTATTCGCTAGTAAACTGTTTAGTGCACCCTTCCTCTAGGCAGGAAAGACGCTTCCTGCGCTTCCGCCCGGCCACAGCGCCCGAGTCGGTGTGGGAGCTTTCCCGCCCGCAAGGAGAACTCTGTGTCGCGTCGCCGGTCTCTTCAGACATAGTGAAGTCTTTATCTGAGGAGGGGGAAGCATCCATTGCAGGTGACGGGAGGCTGAAAAGGTCTAGCGAACTGGTCGGCGTAAACGACTGCGAGTAGTCTATCGGGGCGCTATGAGATGAAGGCGGATTCGAGCCTAGGACATCATCTCTATCAGAAAGTGTTCCCCGTGTAAACATTCAAGGCACCCATACCGGCGAATTCGGTCATGTAGTCCATACAGTCGGAAGGTAACTCGTTTGACGGTCCAAGTGACGAGGATAGGGGTATAACGGAGCCGTTGCCATCGAATGTCCCTGGAATATCTGCTGAAGCTTGCGAATTCTCAACCTGATTGAATCCGAGCAACATGTTCGATAGCTCGCCTAACAGTGCCTACAGTTCAGTATGTACCAAGAGACAGTCAAGAATATTGACGTACCAGAGCTATATCCTCCGAAATCTATGCTGGTAAAGTCTAGTGCAGAGCTGAACGTTTCTAAGTCGTCTGCAAACGCAAATGGACAGAGTCAGAACTTGCTAAGTCGAAGAACGAAATATGAGGATCTTACGATTGTCGTTCGGATTACTTGAGCTTGAGAGTACTATCTCCGAGTGCCCACCTATCATACGAGTTAAAAAAAGTTCAGTTATACGCCTAAGCGGGATATACGTAGTGATTGTTAGGCCATACCTTGGGTGGTGGGCGTAGCTAAGTTCATCGTCGATGCGGCATCCTGCTGGAGTGGAGAATCGATGCTTATATTAGTCGACGTCTCGACTTGTAGACGGCGAGTGTTGTCAGAGCGGGTGAGCTTGAGTGTGATGCATGGTTTAGTGGGAAGGGAGACCGGTTGGATGGGCTGGGCAGTAGCTGATTTGTCTACTGTTTGTAGATCCCAAGAGCAGACGCCATCCTCAGAGGAAAGCAGCGAGATGCAGAGGTCAAAGCGATCTAATACGTCTAGTGTCAGAGTCAGAGGCATAGTATAGAATAGTGGTGTGGAAATGCTGGCAAGTCACCGTTTAAGAGCGATGTCGCCCATGCTAGTAATTTGATGGGACGAGTGCTTTACAGGTTGGTTACGGTAATGGAAAATCAGATACCCCAAGGAGTACAAGCGTGAGTATCGCCATCCAACAATCAAGAGATGAGCGGCGCCCGATGGGTGCAATAGCCAATGATGCTCTTCTGGAAGGTACATGCGACAATGGCACACCCCTGGCTGCTGTGGACAATGTAACATGCCATAAACAGTTGATGAACGGCCACGCAGATGCACACCTTGAGATTTGAGATTGCGCCATCGGTTGTATTCATGATGGTTGGAGGGAGGTGATAAGGCTAAAGATAACAGGCGAATCATCGGGCACGTGGGATACCGCTAAAAGCTGGTGGAGCCCCAACTCGAAGCTGATGAAAGTGGCTGGTTTCATTGTACTTAGTGTTTGAGTGGAATAGCCTTGTTCACTAGCGGAGTCCTCTTGGCATACTCGACCCACAAAGCTCATATGTGCTGCAAGAACGGCGATCCCGGGTTCAATTTGTATTGTAATCCGTCGGTCCTACGGAGTGGAGGTCCATTTTGTGGCATGCAGATCGTCTTTGTTGCTCGACATTGCCTCCTTTTAGAACGAGTGCCCTTCTTTGATGGTAGGTCTTAGATCTTGTGCCGTGGCCAGCCGAGCTCATGAGGCCGGGACTTGCCGTCCCGTGCAGCGCGCAAACTTCGCCCTGCACTTTCTTCTTGTCTCCTAGCCCTCGCTCACCTTTGCTGCTCATATGGTCGTCACCGAAGCGTCTAGGTCCCATACATGGTTATTCCTAATCGATAGTCAGAGTGAGTTTCTCTCTCACAAACAAACAAGTAGATAAATAGGCACTTTGCCGTGGAGTCGGTTGATGCGACCCTAACCTTCCGCGTGGTATGTACACAGAACGGCTCGGGTACCCCGATACGCAGCGCCCAAGGAGCTCGAGACTTTGATTGCCGTACGGTACATTCACTCAGGAGATTGTGCAGCACTATGACTTCTTTACCAGCGAAGCTCCGTCTTCCTCGGATTAGTTACTGAAGCGAGTGCTGTGGCACTCGAAAGCTTGGTCTGCGATAGGAAGATGTACGCAACCAAACAACCCGGGATGCCAAGAAATGTGATGTCTGGACTCGGATTGGACTGGAAGCCGCGGCGAATCATGAGCGACGCTCGGGGTAGCCGGAGCTCAGCGCTCAAGCACCAACTTGCTAGCTTGCTTGCATGATGGAGACCTGATGGACACGACAAACATTGGCATGTAGTATCGGAAGGCCGATCGTGGGTGTGCGGCCAAGGTAGGTTCTTCTCCCACGTCCCCACGTCTGAACCACATCTCAACCTCTTCTAGAAGTGGTTCTGACGCTGCCTTGAGGGTTATGGGTGTGCGGCCGAGGTAGGTTCCACGTCTGATCTACACATCATAACCCCGTTCTAAATCTGGTTCTGACGCCGCCCTGAGGCCTGAGATACAGCCTCTTTCACGCTCAGTCAGCGCTCCACAGATTCTGTATTAGAGCTTTCACGCACTCGATAAGAATACGAGGTACTCTGCTGCAGCGTCACTTACCTCCCGACTTTAACACTCACACATCTCTCTCCCCAGGCCTGTTTCAATGGAGTATACACGTGAAATCAGAAGCCCAGTAAGTTTGAACCGAATATGTCTCGTCCCAAACTGAACTCGCCGTCGCCGTTAGGAATTGGACCTCGATGCCATTCCAACTCTGACGGGAAAGGTTGCTATCGTCACGGGAGCCTAGTTCGTCTGCTTGTCCCTGATCTCTCTGTCCCCTGAGATAATGATCATCCCGCCTTGATATCCAGTGCTCCTTCCTCCATCGGCATCAATGTCGTTGAGCAGCTCGCCTTGAAAGGTGCTAAGGTCTACATCGGTGCTCGCAGCCTCGAAAAGGCACAGAGCGCCATTACTGAACTCACCAAGACCATTCCCTCCGCGAATCTGAAGCCCCTTGTTATGGACCTGAACGACCTCAAGCAAGTCAAGGCTGTGGCCCAGGCGTTCGTGAACGAAGAATCCAGGCTCGATATATTGGTGAACAATGCTGGACTGTGAGTTTTCGGTAATTTTGTACTGATTTTGGGTTGGAGTTGGACATCGCAGAGCAAAGGTAATTGACGAGTGCGATATAGATTAGCTCGGCCACTGGACAAGAACGAGCAAGGCATTTCTGTCTCTTTCAATACCAAGTACGTGTATCCCATAGCCCCTCCGAAGCATTGCAATGTTCTGACGTCCGTGACGGAAACTCAAAGTCACCTTGGCCCATTTCTTTTCACGCTTACACTTCTGCCGCTTTTGAAAAAGACGGCGGAGTCCTACCCAGGCGTGCGAGTCGTCAACGTACGTCGCCCACTATTCGCTATAGTCTCTTCTTCCAGGTCGCTGATCTCTCCTACTCTCGAATCTCAATCTCACCGCAGATGTCCTCAACTACGCACTTCCTTGTACCTGCCGGGTTCAAGTTTGACACTCCCGAGTCGTTCAACGCGGATCTCGGTGGGACGGACGACCCGAAGTCGAACATCGCTCGCTACGGTCTGTCATCCGTGTCCTTTCTCGTATATTATCGCGTGACTGAGATCGAGTGGTTGTTTCACGACTGTTTTCGTCAGGACTATCGAAGCTAGCGAATATCCTTTTCACGAAGGAACTTCAAAGGCGATTTGATGCGGAGGGTGTTGCGGCGGTGGCCATTTCTGTGCATCCCGGCGGAGTCAAAACGCGTTCGTCCATCCATTCATTGTGCTCTGACTACACGGACGACGCTCAATTATCTCCTGGTTTTATTATCTTCTGCAGCTGGATCGATTAATTTCGTTGGTCCCGCTAATGTGGCCATGCTGGACGGGTCTATGACACCCCTCCAGGGCGCGATGACTCCGCTCTTTGCTTCCACGATGCCTGTCGTTTGGGAGAAGAAGACGGAATACGCGGGAAAGCATTTGACGCCGTACGGATACATATCGGAGGATCGGCTGAGCGATAACGCGAAGGATCCGGAGTTGGCGAAGAGCCTGTGGTCTACGAGTGAGACGGTTATCGCGGATGTTTTGGCGAAGTGAGATCTATGTAACGGAAATAGCAGTATGGAGGTAACGAATGTCAAGCTTCTCGCCGAACGACGGTAAGACCGTGCCAAATTTGCATACTTATGAGATGTTCAATGAATGTACTATTTTCCATTTGTCTTTTTTCGTATCGTCCTGATGCAAATTTAGGACGCTTCTCGAACGGCAGTTGAAGCAGCTGTAACAAAGGTATCTGCACGCTAGGTTGCCCCGTAAAAACTCTGATATACCATTGATATACCACAATAAAAGACTCTGTCGGAGTGCCGGACCGGCATGGGTCCCACACGATTCACCAATGACGCTTCGGTGCGCCTGGAACAATAGCACTTCGTGATTATCCCCATCAAGCTTCTCACCAGTGACAGGTTGGTAGGGATGAAATGGTGCGCAAGGCATACACATGGCGCTCGTACGCAGTGCACAAGCAAATCAAAACAGTACGCACACCATAAGCTGAGCGCCGTACGAGATAACGATGAGAATGCAGCAATTTTTCATCAGAGAGCGGCATGGAAGAGACGGTGAGGCGGGCAGCCCTCTCCCCCTGGCGTTGCAGGAACTACATGGAGCTTTAGATATTAGGACTTCTCTTCGAATTGGAAGAATTGATCAGAAGGTAGGTGACCTAGCAGCGCCTTTGTGTCCTGCAGTCTGCGAGTGTGCCTTTACCGCTCGCAACTTCGGCTTCACGTCAAGTATTCTCCTGAGCTCAGCCCGACGCGCGAGTATAGTCCTCCATCAGCGCTCCCCGTCGTCCAAGTCGTTCAATGGCGACCTGTATAAATGATCATGCTCGTGTACCATCGTGAGTATCTCTTTCTACGCCCCTGTATCTTACCCCCTCCGTCTGTTCATCATCTTAGGTGAACGCAGGGTATATTCATCATGACCTCAACTGCCCCACGTACTGCATTCGTAACCGGCGCTGCGTCGCAAGGTATGTTCCCATATCGACAGTTGTTTCATATAACCCAATGTGTATACGCCGTCCTACTCAAATTCTTTTTTTGACTCCGTGCTGCTCCTTATCCCGTAGGTATTGGCCGTTCTATATCCATCCGGCTTGCACAGGACGGCTTTTCCGTAGCTTTAAACGACATCCCATCACAGGAAGAAAAGCTTTCGGAACTGAAGAAGGAGATTGAGAGGATATATGGAGCCAGTAGTGACCAGCGATGCGTGGTCACCTTGGGAGACGTGTCGTCAGAGGGAGATGTCAAACGGATGTTTGAGGAGGTGGTCGATCAACTCGGTGGTCTGGACGTTGTGAGTCTTTCCTGCTATGCAGGAGAAGCCACAGATGTCTTGACACGCCATTGTTTGTTTTCTTATTAGATGGTTGCGAATGCTGGGATCTATATTGCAATGAAGCCCATCCTTGAGAGCAAGCCTCGTCCCCGTCATGATTATTTGACATATCTCAAAATCTAATCCACCATTCCTCTCGCAGCTTCGCTCGACGCTTTTGACAGAGTCATGTCGGTAAATGTCCGGGGCATGTTTTTATGTAGGGTTTCATTCTCTCCTCGCCCATACTCAATCAGCAGTCACCTTTGCAATTCGTTAACCAACTTGATTGGCGCCGATCCAACAGGCTACCAGCATGCGGCCAGCCAGATGATCAAACAAGGCCGTGGAGGAAGGATAATAGGTGCATCGTCCTTGGTCGGAAAGCAAGGCTCACCTTCGGCAACTGCTTACAGTACTAGCAAGTTTGCTATCCGTGGCTTGACACAGTCCGTTGGTAAGTTCCGCATAACGATTATAGACTGGCATGAACTGACTTGTGCTCTATTTGTCTGATCCAGCGCAGGATCTTGGTAAATTTGGCATCACCGTGAACGCTTATGCGCCGTAAGTACCCCAAAGGTCCTACCGCGTGTACAGAGACTGATACTTAGACTGACCCTCTAGCGGCGCCATTTCTTCCGATATGCGTCAGTCTTGCAGGCTCGATGGTTAAGTCGGTAGGAAACATGCTCACAACGCCCTTTCAATACAGTACGGAATATGGCCAATGATACTGACGATCCACCAGCGCTCATAAAATCTGTGCGTACTTCACTTTCCCCCGTTCCGCTCCCAGTTCGTAAAAAACATAGGTTTTTAGTCCTTCTGCTTACGAGTCCATCCTTTAGCAAGCGGAAGTGGCCGCCGTCAAGAGAGTAGGGGAACCTGAAGATGTGGCAGGATTGGTCTCGTTCCTCGCCTCCGACTCATCGAGCTTCATGACCGGTATGTACCCAACTTACTTTGTAGAGGTTCAGTAATGGAACTATTTTGCTATTGGGCTCTTTTTCTCCTCAAATTTGCGTATACTTCGCGATCAGGACAAACTGTGAGTTATATTTTGTCTTCATCATGATTTATCGCAATATTGACGCTTTCGCAGTTGACCATCGACGGTGGGCGGTACTTCGATTGATGTGGCGCAGTTCCCCACAGTGCAGCGTCAGGGGGTTAGTTGTCTCGAGAATGGACATGCAAACAAGAATTTCTGCATGTAGAGCCGAAGAACTATGTACACAGGTATGTGAATTAGCACCGCATGATGCCCTCGCTCGTCCAGTGTACGGACTTTGCGTCTGGACAAGATATCATATAGGAGCATCTAAGTATTGCAAGAACCCATATGTGCGTTCACATGGTGGGGCGGAAAATGCAATAGCGCAAGAATATTTTACATGCATAGTTCTGAATCCCCAGTTCTTCGTCCCCACACTCGGATAGTCTGTAAGAAGGCAAGAAGGCAAGTACTTGGTCTTGGTACTTCGCTTAATTCTTGGGTAAATGAAATGAAGGATGATATGATGGGCGACTGTGAATGGCTGGATAATATGATGCTTGTGTACGTTGGCGCGTCACCATGGTGGATTCTCCCTGCAATCTTGATTCTGTCGTATTCCGTTCTCCTAGTATCGCCAGGAACGTAGCCAGCATAAATGATACAGAGGACGAGTGATGTTCTAACGTCAACAATAACGTTATGTTATCTTCTCGACAAACCTACGTCGCCGCTAGAACATAAGGTCAAATTGTCTGGCATCAATCTCACGCAGTACTTCGCGATTGGCGTAATAATCTAATACAGCTGATTGTGGAGAGACGAAGACGGAAATAATCATTGCGCCACCGACGCAGTACATGGTATCTATTACACAATACGGGGCCAAAGCCACCTCTCGTCATAGCCCATGGAGCTCCGATCTCAACTGCTAATCCTTGCGCACCTCCCCATTGGCATCGCGTTTTATCTGGGAGACGATCATCGGCAGAGAAGGTTTTGACGTTCCAGAGACAACGGGAGAAGACACGGGGCCCATCAGCCATTCGACACGCTTCTCTCCCAAGGAGAAACGGAAGTTAGGGACGAGGAGAAGAAGGACCATTTCTGTGATGGCGCAGGTTATCATGCACGAGGTAGAGGGATAAGTTAGCCATCGTCGCAGTTGAGACAACATGAGTGAAATTAGGCAGAGAACGGAACTTACTCATCTCCATCTGCGAGAACTTGAAGCCACTGTGCACGGTCGCGGAACAAATACATTGTCATTCTCCCGAAAATCGATGATTGGTAACGCTTTTCACTCACATGCAAGACCTCCCACCGCCCAAGAACGTCAACCTGAAGACGTGAGACGTAGATGCATGATTAGTATCTCTCACGATTGGTGCAGTGAGAAATGACTTTACATGTTCGAGTATACCCCTGGGATGCGAGCGTCAGCGACAGTCTCAGGAAGAGGTGACAGCCATCGTTCAGGTTTCCACTCGGCAGCATCGGGGCCCCAGGTGCCGGGGTCAGTGTTGACAGCAGGTATGTTGATGAGGATGGAAGTTCCCTTTGGGACGAAGATCTCGGTGATTGTACGACCGTCGTTGCATTTGACAGGCGATCCCAGTGGTAGGATCGCATCACTGCGCGCACTGAGTGGACAGTGAACAAGCATAAGCAGCGTTCGAACGAAATGTGGACTGGATTGTACATACACTCTAGGGATAATAGGAACCGGTGGGAAGCTGCGAGAATGGAAGTCAGTAACTATAAGGAGCATGAAGATGAGGCGCATAGGACAATAGTGAGTCACCATCGAAGAGTCTCTCTGCATACAGCCTCCAGGTACGGAAGTTCGTGCAAGGCGTCATATTCCAAGTCGCCTCCGGCCTCTTTCCGAGCATTGACGAGTTCCTGGCGTAATTTCTCCTGCACCTCCGGGTTCTTTGCCAAAAGCGAGAATGTGCGAGATAAAGCATTCGAGGTGGTGTCCATGGCGGCAAATACTAGACTCCTGTGTGGGGCCAACAAACCGCCAGTCAGTAAGGCGTGCGAGGTACGCAAGTCATCTGAGACGTACGTTATTTGGCCCAATAGTTCGTGGTCTGGAAGTTTGTCCGCTTCGCTGGCGACCATGTTTGCCTGCACTGGGAGCGATATCAAACCGTCAATCGCAATAACTGTCGCTATTAGAGACGACACAACTCACTCAAAATGCTCAAAATATCCCTTCCTTCTCCGATCTGATGAACTACCGCATCGTCCCCTCTCTTCAGAGCGGCCTTCTTCTCATCGAATATCTTCTTCGAAGACTCGTCCATCGTATCTGCTGCCTCGACCAAAGCTTGGATGTTCTTCGAAGGGATAAGACGTATGATCCAGCGACGGAACGCTGCTGTGCCGATATTGGAGAGGTACGGAAGGATGAGAAGAAGCATCTTGATCTTTCCGGCTGTCGGGCTTTTGAAATGTGCGAATTGGCAGTGAGATGATGGACGTCGATCTCAATAACGGAAAGACGTACAAGAGCATCTTCACCGCCGTCGTATAACGGTTGGTCTTGCCTTCTTCAAGCGTTTCGAATGAATATCCGAGACCGCCTTGGCCGATGAGTTCCAGCGCGACGCGAGTCATCCATTCCAGGATGTCCAACTCCTGCGGACCGTTAGCCAGTCTGGACGACAGGAGGTCGTTAAGCTGGATTTTATGGGTAGGAAAATCAGTTAAGCTCGCGGGGAAACACTTCGAAAAGAGGATGGATATACCTTGTGGGTGATCTTGTAGAAGGTCGGCATCATGTAGCGCATGTGGTTGATGTGGAAGACTGGACTCAGCAACTTCCGCTGACGGCGATGATGACCGCCTGAATAAGATGTTAGCGTCGAGAAATAGGGACATTTACATCACGGGAACTGACCAAGGGTACTCAAGATTCCCATTCCAAAGAACAGTTTATTGGACCTATACGAGTGGAACATGGTTAGGGTGTCGCCCAGAGTATAGCAAGAAACAAGCTCACTCGATAGCCACGTCTGGCTCCTCAAATATTTCCTGGTCCTTGATCAGGATGCTGTACAGCGCCTTTGGATCGCTGATATGCAGCTGCATACCCTGTTGAGGTTGCTTGCATCAGTATCTGCCGCAGAAAAAAACAAGGCAATAAGAGCGGCAACGTACTCCAAAGAAGCCCCAAGATTTGGCAACTCTCCCGTAAGTCTCGGCAAGCTCGACATGAAAGTCCCAGCCTTCGAGTAAGCCGAAGACTTGGGGGAGATTACCTACATGGTGTCGAAGATCAGCAGACGACGCGATGTGGAATACAAAACGCGACGCACCAAGGGCAAACGATTGTGCAGGAGGGCCAGGAATGTTTCGTAGATGCGACTGTTTGTACCAGTACCGCGATTGCCATAGAACAAGAAGCACTACACATCCTAGTACTGCGAAGGAACTCCCAGACAGAAGGAGCGTCTTAAGATTTGTCTCGAACAACATCATGACGAGTGAATACTGCAGCACGCTCAAAAAAGTGACATGGGCGTAGCGGTCTGAGCAGACATATATAATAGCACCCAATGCGCTGTCAAAGCTACATCACCTGCGGCTCTGAAGGAGAGCGAAGCATGGCCAGTTCCGCATGGTATTATACGTACTCGAGCTGTGCGAACGTCGAAGTTCTCAAGTGCTCGGCGGTTCCACGATGCCCAAAGCTGCCTTCACCACTGTTGCGCTGTAGATCAAGGTGCAATACGATAGGTCAGCAGTCTCGTTCAGGTGTACAGCATCACAGTCTCGTGCGGATTACCTGCGGAGGATATACTTGGAATACGATCAAAAAGATTGCCCCGAGAGTCTCGAGCTTCATCATACCGATCTGCAAGATTTTGACGATCTCGTCTAGCTCAGATATCTTAGAGCTACAAGATCAGTCGGAGCCACTACATTCAACATTTGAACAACTTTGAAAAGGTGACTCGTGTAACACCAAGTGTAACACCGTATTCCCAACTCAGCCACGAACACGACCTCTCGAAGCTGGTCTTCACTTTATTGAGCTGACTTCAACGCTACTGTCAATATCCCCGCGGGAGCTTTGGGTGGATGTGGACCAGCGGCGAGAAAGAATTGAAGGGAAGGGAGGAAAGGATATTTGCCAAGACGAAACGGTTGCTGAGTTTGACGTGGAGTGGCGGAGCTTGGCGCGCATGTTTGCCACGTGTCGATTGTTCAAAGCGGTGCTGAAAGAATTCGTGCAGAACGTGACGGTTTCGCGCTCCTCGTTCGACTTGTAGCACGACTCTCTGGCTGTATAGACCTCCATTCAACGTCTCGACGACGTATAGCCTGATGGGAAGCGAACCCAGCGGCAGCAGGATCTTCGAGTCCTTCGATCCCAATCGTCCAAGAATCGACGCAGCATTGGCTCTTGTTCATATTTGGTTCTCGCCGCCGGGGGGTGCCACTGAGCCGCCTTGTATCTCTCGCAAACACTCTAATTGTCTTCACTCGTTTCAACCGCACCTGCCGCTAGTACCTCGAAGCTCCACTGCGCTGCCGCCGCTCTCTGATCGACCCGAGGACGGGGGCCATCGAGATGATACCGACTTCTGACTTCCAGACGTCCTTGCAAAGGTCAGAGAGGGATATGGTCAGGTTTGTGAATGGTGAGAACAAGGCTATGGTGGGAGCGAAGGATATGGGTGGTCTGGCGTTGACGTGGTGGATAGAACTCCAGGTGCGCTTCTGGATCGTTCGACGTGTTGAGTACTGCGATATGTTCTCTTTCAACATCGCTTTCACACACTTCAGATCTTTCGCTTCCTCGTTGAATTCAAGATTGAGATCGCCTTCAGGGTTGACCTTCTATCGACACTGGCGATAGCCACATCCCAGATCCATATAGCAGATAGGTGGAGTGAGCACCCGAACTAAAACCATCTCCTAAGCTAGACCTCACTAGCCCGATGTGACACAAGTCCCTCTAAGTTTCATCGTTACCTGTGTCTATGACGTCGTTCAGACTCAAGTTGGGCATACTTATGCTTCGACTCAATTCGCACGATGGTCAACATAATGCTTGGTTCTCTCATCTTGTGGCGCTATAACTGAGCAAATCAGGTCAGGCGGCCAATGATTGGGCATCTCAAGGATCCAGTGCTGGGACTCGTCTACATTGACAGTAATATATGCAATATCGTTTTTTCGACAAAAAGGTGACTTGCGACGTCGATGCTTAGACCGGAATACTTTCCGAACAAAACTCGGTGGGTACACTGCTCGCTAAGAGAACCTTCTCGCCTGCTACGCCGTCATGACTCGTGAGCATTCAGAGCTTCAGATGCGGATGCTTGATGTGGAGACGCTGAGAGATTATTGTCATTAGTCATTATGATCCACTTGCTCTCCAAACGGGTCAGCCGATTGTCTTTGTTGCACTCCCCATCGGCGCCCACAGAGGACGTACTTAAGTCCTCGACATGCTTTCTTCCTTCCACCCCACATAGGCTTTCCGTTAAACCTCTGCTCGTTCTATTCTACCCACATCGCTTACATATGGTCGAAGTTGCTGTCGCTGGCGGGTCTGGGAACATCGGTGCGAATCTTGTCGCTGCGTACGTCCTTCATAACCTTCATAACACCACTGCTACTTCAAGACTGCCGTACTCGATGCTAATCTAGTTATCGTGCGAGCGCAGCATCCTTGAGGCAGGCAAGCATACGCCCATCATCCTCTCTCGATCATCCAAACCCGTCGACTCAGCAGCCGAAGTTCGAGTAGTAGACTACTCGAGCCACGCCAGTCTCGTCTCTGCATTCGAAGGTGTCCATACCGTCATCATCACCCTTTACACCGCAGATGCCAAGGAGGCGGTCGTAAGTCAGCTCGCGCTTCTCAAGGCTGCAAAGGCAGCAGGCGTGAAGCGATTTGCTCCATCCGAATACGGCGCCAGCGTCCGTCTGATTCCCTCTGTTTTCTCCTCCAAGGAGTAAGAGGCTCATCACGACCTACGTTCTGTGTGCTCTCTCGAAATAGGTCAACACCACGTACCACATATACCCGCCGAAGATCGAAGTATGGGACGCTGTAAAGCAGTCTGGGCTTGAAGCGACGCGATTCATCACTGGGTGAGTTCAAAGTTTGTCACGAAGACTCGGTTCACCACGACATATCCAAGGTCTACACACATGCTAACTCAATACCATCTCACTGGATGGATTCGTATGCAAAGCCTCTACATCAACATGTTTGCCGGAGGATCCCAACGTGAGAGGGAAGCTGTCTCCCATTTCGGAAGCGGGAAACTGCTACTTGATGCCCGCGCTGGGACGATAGACATTCCAGGAGATGGTACGGAGAAGCTGACGTTTACTTCCGCTCAGGATATTGGGAAATTCGTCGCTGCGAGTCTGGATCTCGATGAATGGGAGGACGTGAGTGGCATCGTGGGGGAGTCGACCACGAGTGGTGACGCATTTTGGACAAGCAAAACGAGAATTCCAGCTACACAACAGACTATATTCTTCTGATCCGTACCATGGGTATCACCCATAGACAACGGCAACAGAGCTCAGAGCGAATAAAATGAAACGCTCAGGACTTCTACCAAGTCATGAAGAACGCCACGCATATCTATGCTTTATAGCATAACTCGTCTCTGCCTCTTGCTCCCTTTGATAGCTCAGAACCCTAACTGCTCACACTTCGTGGTCGATTGGGAAGATGTCTGCCTTGTCTCCACGTTGTTGTTGCTGCGAGGCTACTCCTACGCAGTGCACGCGATGTGCCAGAGGACGTATCGAGGCAGAGATTTGATCGTACGCGAGTTATACGCTTGTCGACCTGTCCCTCACCCGCCAAGCATGCATGACCGTGCGTGCATTCATACATTCGTTCACAGTGGCCGAGTGAAGCCTCAGCATCTAGGACAGCGTTGTCGGAGTGATAGCTGAGAATATAGTTGAAACGTGGAAGGAAATTGATGGCCTTGGAGCTAGTGTACCCAATTCTGTCGCTGACTTCCCCAGCTCAAGACAGTCGTGGACTGCTTGACAGTAACATCACCCGGTCATACTCATCTTCGAAGTGCTCTCAGTAGCATCCTACATATAGGTTCTCTACGGCTCAAAGGGAGTTGTACTCCGCCAAAGTTCAGCAAACTGGGGATCAGAGCATATACGCGGTTGGATACAACAGAATTGCGGATGGTATGGTTGCCATCCGCTCGACTGACGGCAGTGAGTACTGGCACAGCAGGAAACAACTATTTCGAGCCTCTTCAGCTGAGTAGTCGAGTCATACAACGTCAATGTTGCAGTTTACACCGGGTAGAACAAAATATTTACCTTCCTTGTAAATCTATGCCGCACCCTGTCCCTCCTCACTCCCCACGAGTTCATCTCTGCTCTTGAACCTCCTCCATATGCCGTCGTCATCCAGATGCTGTTCGAGCTACAGAAACGATGGTAAGCATCACAGAACCACGTCAGAACGCAGTGCGACTCGAACAGAAGGTTCAATCCACTCACGTCATTCAAACTTTGGTTTCCGATCTGTATGTTCAGCGCTGCAGCAGGCACGCGCGCCGCATCAAACCGAATCGCCTTGAAATCGAGCGCTCCCGTCTCATCGTTGAGCACCGGTGCAACCACGAGTACGCTCCCATCGTTAGCGGTACGTGCATCGAGAATGATGATGGGTTTTGCAGCATATTGCGGGACGTGTTGTGATCTGTGGCGAGTGAGGATGTCTTCCGGCGAGAGGGCGATCGCCCATTCCTGCGAGGGTAGTACGGGCTCGATATAGCCTGGGTTGGCGGGGATTTTGTCATAGTCTCGTGCGGTGTCAAATGCGTGTTGTATATCCGTACATTTCTCCTCTCCTACGTTGCGGCTAGAGATGTATAGAGCGACCTTGCGGGACATCACTGCGGGAAGTATCACCAGTAGAAAGTACCGGATCATCCTGTAGGCATCTTACAGGACAATCCTGTACAGAGTACCGGATAACTACCGGATTTTCCTGTAGTAAAGTACTGGATTCTCCTGTATGCAGTACTGGATTCCCCGGTAACTTTTGTCACTTTTCACTGGACAATCCTGTAAGATTGCACAGGGTAACCCAGCACCTTTCACGAGGTTTTCTGGTGTGTTACACACATCACTTTGGGGCCAACAACGGCATGTATTGCTGGAAACTATACACTACTAGTTACATACAGAACTCAAAACACACGGACACTGTACTAGATATGCCTTCACATTCTTCGACCATTCATCAAGTCGCGGACAGACCACTGTCAAGTGGCACAAACAGCGATGAACCTGTAACAATGGACGGCAAGAAGATAACGTACTCACCTCAGTTGTACGACTACTTTCTCGTCCACGGCTGGAAGCCATGAAGCCAAGAACAGTCCAGGTGTGGCTGTCGGAAACAGGTGAGAGGCCGGAGGAGTCGATTGGGTGGGAGTGGCATCTTAGGGGATGGGCTGTGCGAAGAACAAGTCGGTCAGGTACGTGTATACTTCAAGGAGGAAAGAGGACAAGGCGATGATGGACATATCTAGTGTGACGTCAGAGATCCCGGCGTGCTTGTCTGTGGGCGGGGTGGTAGTATGGAACCACAAACCGGTGAGATCCACCAGCCCTCCACTGTTAGCTTGATATCCTCGATGAACATCAATAGATGGACCAGGAAAGAATGTACGTACGTGAGCGACTCCTTACTACCCCTGATATCGAGTGGTTCTATCATCTTGTCCATACCCATACCCACTAGCTTCGTCAGGTCAATCTCAGCTGCCGCCACTAACCCAGCATCCAGCATCTCACGCCTCATCTTGCTCCGCACCGCCGACCACCACATCCAGATGCATTACCAGAGCATTGGGGAAAAACTGGTCACGTACCTATCTGCTTCACATCCAAACCGGCTCCATATGTAGGATGTGAGGTCTGATGGAGGTTTTCAGAGGTACGCGTCATGAACACTGACAGCGTAGTGCGCGACACAATCGAAGTCGTACCGGTCATGGTAGGGGGAAGAGATTTCAAAACTAAGTTTACCCAGATGGACCCAGAGAATATGTGTCGAGGTCTTAAATGGCCATGGCGTCAACAAGATAGAGAAAGGCGACCAATACAATGTCAAGGTCGACGATGCCCTGCATGGAGGCCGTTGGAAGAAAGCGACGAACGGTGCCAAAACAAGGAACAACAACCGCGTCATAATGACGGCAATTTCCGAGGCACGCTCGCCACTCCGTACTCCGGTAACGATGTGGCACCTTCGTTCGCAGCAACAGTCTGCACTGTTATTAACTGCATATATTCTCTCAGACTTGGCACGACCGTTCGAGTGCATCAAACCTTCTTTGATGACATGTTCAGTTACTGGTGGTTTTTGATCAGACTATTGAACTACATGGAGCAGCAGTACCTTTGAGATAAGTATTCGAAAATTACTGGAAAAATACCAGCAGATCAAAGTATTCGTCCGCTAAACTGTTGCAACTTAGCATCCATGGGATCAAGTGTTAGGCTGATTTGAGACAGTCTCCCTGACTGACATGATGTTACTGTGCCTTCATGGTAGCAGGAGTCCAGTGTTTACTGCAGGAGTACTGGATTTTCCGGTGATCTCGCTACAAATGGCAGCAGTGATTGGAATGGGTGCTAGTACTTAAGTAAGGGTAGAATACATCGTAGAAATACTCTCTGCATTGGTCCATCATGGTTACGTGGTCTTTCTCCGGTGCTACAAGAGATACAGGAAAAGCCAGTACTTTTGGGCGGTGACACTTCTACAGGATAATCCGGTACTTTGCGAGCCACTACTGGATTACCCTGTACTTGGTACAGGATTTACTTCCCGCAGTGACATGGTGGCAAGAAACGAACTTTGGCCCCGTGGTTCGAAGTTCTCTGCATCCTTATGAGGGCGTTTAACCAGTCGCAACGTCATGTGAACGTGCTTGAGTTATTGACGTCAAGCTGTACAGATCCACAATGACTTGATCCTGGATTTATCGTGTCTGCATCTACAGCAGGTGTGTAGGCATCGTCCAGGTCTTGCATGTCGCCAGTACACCAGATATACTTGGTCATTATCGCTCACATCAACGTACCTTACGATTTCCATTTAGTACTTGCTCTGAAAGGCTATTGTCTATACTGTTGAGACCAGCGGCTTGACGCAGATGACTGCAGATGATCGCCTTACAACCCAATTCTAACCGATGCTGATAGAATTGGAGCACTTCAATGTTTGAGGGTAGAAGTGTTCCATCTCCGTCCACCTCGACTGGCTGCTAGTGCTACTCATGGCGGTACGCTGGGTGCAGCAGTTCTCAAGCTTGTACATATGCTGTGAATATGGCGAGAGCTCTGTCCAGTACACTGTTTAATTTGGTCGTACCCCTCGCCTCTAATATGCATCATCTACTACCGAGGCCAACACTGGTCCCGATCTGACGCTATTCTCAGTGAATGGAACCAACTTTTGCTAGAGCATGGACGAGACCTCATCGTCTCGAGCAAAACCTGTCGTTCTTTGTCAGCAGCAATGGGATCAATGCGTATTTGGGCTATGGCTTTGTTCGTAATCCTCCGCTCTGTTCGGAATATTGGTAAAGTCGAGGTCAGGTCGCTCATGGGCCTTTCCTTCTTCCTGGTAATTTTTCCACATAGACAGCAGATGTCCTATGACCCATCGTGGTCCATGGCTCGAAGCCAAAACGAGTCGTGGATCAGTGAGGATTTACCCACTTTTACTCCGCCAAGCTCCTCTAAGAGCCACCCTGAGATAAGTAATAGTGATGAAAATCACCGGAGGTGAGTACAGTCAAAAACTACGACACTCGTTTAATCCGGCGCTGAATGACACATCGGAACATTACCAATCTAGCCTCAGGTTCCTACTACGATGTGGAGTTGCCTCGAAATCTATACCATGAACCTATCGCCACAGTTCAGTGCATGAACCATACCATAAGTATATAATCTCCGTCACAAAGAACGAACGAACACATAGCCGTATTCACTCTCTACACCAAGCACCTCAGAACCAACACACCTCTATATCAGATCGAGCACTATGCAAAGGGCAATCCAGCTCACCGCTCCAGGTGCCCCTTTTGTCCTCGGCACCCGCCCTATTCCCCGACCCAAATCCGGAGAACTCCTCGTGAAGATCCTCACCACTGCTATAAATCCTTGCGACTTGTACATGCAGGCCCGTGGATATCCAGGGCCTATTCCCAAGCCATGGCCGAACGTGTGTGGATGGGATGCAGCGGGAGTGGTAGAAGAGATCGGGGAAGGAGTCCAGGGATTCGTGAAGGGAGATCGTGTGTGAGTGCGGCTTAGACTCAAAATTCAAATCCTTTAATCTGACTTTATGTTTCATTTTACCGCACGTTTTCTCCTCCTTCGACAAAGTATGTATTCAGGAGACTTCGATGATGACAGATACACGTTCCAGGAATACGGGATTACCGTTGCGGCCACGACAGCCAAGGTAAGCACCACGTGTTCATTACATCGCCGGTCGTTTACAACTATCATATATTAAAAATTTTCGTACTATTCGTCCGTATGGCGCGTTACATAGATCTCCAGTGGTCTGTCTCTAGAAGAAGCGGCGACGTTTTCTACGGGTCTGTACACCGCCGCGAGCGGACTGTACGGAGAGCGTGCCACCGAGCATCGAAGATGGCATGGTGGGGCAGGCCTCGTCGCTCCTTGGGATGGAGGAGGTAGAGGGATGTACAAGGATGAACCGATCATTATTACAGGCGGTGCAGGTTCTGTTGGGCAATTCGGTGAGCTCACTATGCACATTCTTCACTATATCGCTTCATCGCCCGTGTCTCATATACATGCGTACCTTCTGATGATCGTACTTCATTCTGCACGCATGCCCTCTCCAGCGATCCAACTCGCGAAACTATCTGGCTTCAACCCAATTATAACGACGGCCTCCGCACACAACGAAGCATATTGCAAATCCGCCGGGGCGACGCATGTGATCGATTATCGCACCACGCCCTACTCTTCCCTTTCCTCAGTGGTCTCCTCCATCCTGCTCGACACCTTCGGAGACGCGCACAAACCAATCAAGACGATTTTCGACACTGTCTCCATCGCTGAAACCAATATCGCCTGTTGGTCCATTCTCGCCTCCGGTGGAACGCTCATCATCACTTTGCCGCCCTCGAAGGAAATCGGTAATTATGGATTAGGCGCGGAAAAGAATCAGGATGGAAAAAGGTGGCGTGGACGGTCGGTGTGGTGAGTAACGATACACTGGGGGATGTAAGGCTCGGAGAGAGGTTGTTCGGGGCGTTGGACAAGATGATCAGCGAGGAAGATTTGATGCCGAATAGACTCGAGGTGCTGGAAGGTGGTTTGAGTGCGATTGAGGGTGCAGCGAGGAGGATGGAAGGCGGAGGTGTCAGTGGGCTTAAGTTGGTGGTGAGGGTTCCGGATACTCCGTCGTTGTAGGTTGTTGTTCCGATGATTCCTTGCTCGGAAATGAGACGGCAGAATGCATCTTTTCCATGACAATTTCCAACTAGAACCACTTACTTTCGAATTTCACGTTCGTATCACCGGCGTTTACAGGCCTGATATCAACTCTGTACAGGACATTACCGGGAACATGTTTGAGTGAGGCTCATAAGGAAGACTACTTAGTAGGCGTGTAGAGCGGTGATAGACATGTGTACGAAGTGCGAGTGTTTGAAGGTCAAATAGCTTGGAGTCTACTGTTTTATCACGAACGATAACAAAAAACTAGACCCTGTTGGATAGACAGCGGATAAAAGTATCAGGGCCATGTAAGTATCGATCACCAAGGATGTTCAATGTGGCGAAAAGTAAGTAAAAAGACACGCACATACCGATATTCCATTGCTGCGTAACCAACATCTGTAATCATCTCTATATCGCCTACGCCTGTACCAGTGGTGCCGCACGATCAAACCTTCTCATCCTTCTCATACATTTGACGAGGCGATTGACCATCCGTCCCGGGCGTCTCCTCGCCTGTCTTTTCTTTAGTCGCAACCATTTCCTTAGCGGCCTTCACGAAGCCCATCATTCCTCCGAATCCATTATCCACGCCGCTCAAATCTCTCCTGCTCCCATCGCTTCTAACGCGTCTGACATCTCTCCTGCCTCTCCCACCATCCTGACCCTCTGTCTCTCCTGCCGGCCCATTCCGACTATCAACGCTATGCACAAGACCGAAATTATGAACTTCATTCGTCTCTTGCATTCTCCTTCTCTCCTCCAATATTTCCCAATTCTTCGCTGCCCTGAAATCTCGCTGTTTCTGGGCCTTTCTCCGTCGTCGTTGGTCTGAGTCCCCATCCGCATCCGCAGATTCAGAAGAACTGAGGTCAGGTCGTAGTCGTTCGACAATGTGCGATGAACGGGGTCGAAAGCGTGTTTTGAGGATGAAGCGGCTGCGACGAAGGTAGGATTTGAGTTCGTCCTATGCGTTGGTGGGATGGTAAAGTAGAAGTGTTATCAGTTTGTGGATTTACGATTGAACATTGGAGACGCATGCGACGGGCAAGTTACACGAAGGAATGCCATAAGACGATTAGCCCGGAAGCAAAAATCGGGTCGGTTCTAACCACATGTAACCCTCAGAACGGACTTACGAAGATACATGCTTCGGTATGAGCAGACAACGAGGATGTGGAAGCTCATATGCTTCGCTTTCGGGCTACATCGTGGTATCAATCGGCCATCCCGAGCCACAGAAATGGTTGGATCCCCCTTGACGTCGAGGAACCATACGAACCGTGTGAACGCCACGCCACACCTATAAGTTCGCTCAGATGCAAACGCAACTCGTCTCGCTAGAGTAGCGCTCCTCTACTACCACGTTGCATTCAATTTCAGGACCCACTGAATTTGGGGCTCGGAGAGTTGAGGACTACACACCACTCTTTCGTGAGTTAGAAGTAACAGTAACTCACCGTAATCCGCCAAACCTTCGGGGCAATCTCCACGCATCCCGTAAAGCTCACTAGATTGTCGACAGAATAAGGACGCTCTTGATAGGGATGCTGGCGCTGCTTTGGGTTTCCGAGCCAGATTGCATGGTTGGGCGGAGTGTATTTGCGTTCGGAATTGGACTGAGGTTGGGACGTGGTTGATGATGCGGTATGTGGAGGAGAGGAAGATGAGGCGACCGTGGATCCGGTAGCTAAGGGCGTGGATGCGGCGGAAGGTGGTGAATGCGTGGAAACGACGGGATCCGAAGGTGGCGAGGCTGATGTTACGGTGGATGCGATCGAAGACGGTCGAACGTGGTTCGTTGGTGGAACCATATCACCCGAAGGGGTATCCTTTCTCGATGCATTCGAGAGCGAGTCGTGTATACTATCGCTGTTCGTGCCAGTATCTATACTCGTCTCTCGGCGTAGATATTCCTCAAAAATCTCCTCGGCGACGTATGCCGTTACGAGCTCTCGATATGTCAGGACGGCAATCGGCATAGGCCTCTTGAGCGGTAAGTTCCGAGTGGAATGCGAAGTGATTGAAGACGGGTCAGTTGAAGATGCAGCATGTGTTGAGGAAGTATAGGTGAAGGACTGAGAGGAGGCGGGATGGGGGAGCGTGAGAGGCGATGGGCGACGTGATGTTAGGGAGGAGAGGCGCAATGATAAAATAGAGGGCGAGGGCGATACAATCTCAGCGAGTTGCTGTAAGTTTAATAGACAAGTCAGTGGCAATGATTGTCTTCCTTTGACAGATAGTGGATAGAGCGAAGAAAAACAACGAGGGTGGATAACGAAGACGCACTGAGTGGTGCCCAATCCATTTCGAATCCATAAATCTCTCCCAGAACGCGTTCATGCCTCTCGAAAGAGATTGCTCTCCTTCTAACCCAGCGCACTGAGGCTCGGCCTTGCCACTCGTCTCAATCCTGCCTTCTCTACGATCCGCGTCAATGCGAAACCAAAAGGTTTTCACCAACGCCACGCCTCTCGCCGCCCTCGGCACGTCTTCCGCTTCACCCTTTCGTGTCATACTCTCTGTGTGGTCATCTCTCCTTATTACTCCCCATCCTCTCTTGTACAATCCCTTCCCATATCGTTCTAACTCATAGTTTTCGAGGATCTCTGAGAGTGAGGGATCGTCAGGGCTGTCGAAGGACGGGAGCGGATGAAGTGGATAGAATGGTTGGATAGGTCGAGGGGTTGGGCCTATAGATTTTCCTTCGCGCAAGATGCTCAATTCCGGAGTGTCGGGTAGCCCTTGAGCACCAGAAGTAGACCGCGAGGGGTCAGATGGAAGAGGGTGATCATTTGTGGACAAGAGCTTTCGGAGGATAGGACGACAAAGTGTAGAACGCAAGGAACCGGACCGAGTTAGACATGTTTGTATACGGATACGTCGTGCGAGAAGCATACTAGGATATTTGAAGGGCATGCATAGCTAGCTCATAGTGGTATGTAGACGAGTGAAGGCCTGTGAAGGCGAACATGATTCATTGATTGTTCGGAGCAGGAGTCGCGTAGAGATCTTATCTTATCGCGCTTTTTCTGATCACAGACCCACAGCCACAACTCCGGCTCAACTCCGGTTCCTTTCGAACCACCATCCCACCACGTCCTGGCTCTTTTCGTCTACTTAGGAGTAACTCAAATACTAGACGCTACAAATTGTTTGCTCAATATTCTCCACTAAATCCTACCCGCCTGGCCACGTTCTCACCCGATCCGCTCGACGACGCTTCGCCGAGTGTGGTCATGCTCGGGATTGTTCCCTCTTCCCATGTTGTTGCTGAGGAAGCGACCTATGGCATACGTTCGAGGTCTATGGAGGTCTCAATTATATCCATCCTAACAGAACCAGCCTTGGTGGCGGGTACTCATGTGCGTCGGGAACACCGTCTTCGCCGACAGATAATATCTCACGCGATTCGCGTCGTTCGAAGTCCTTTTGGAATCATCATCCGTTCAGTCGCGTCCTCCTGGTGGTACACATCCTCCAGTCTGGACCACTAATAGCCTCGAAAGCGGTGGGCCCTATTATTCCTGCGGTTCATCGTCGTGTATGACGATTGTATGACATAGCGCGGGACCTATCCTACACCACCGTGCTAGTTTTGCGCGTATAATGTCCCTCTTTTTGGATCGCATTCTATATTGCGTAGATCAAAAGGGCTCACAGATTTCAATCGCAAACAGCCATGCTGGCTGCAGTGTGCCTGCAAACGAAGGCTTGTTCATGGAAGCCTTTCTCGCGGAGAAAGTCTAACCCTGTGTGGGCTATTCTATCATCATCACTGCACCTCATTTCCTTTCGCAACAGTGCCTCTGCGACGTATTTATGCTCTGGGTAGCCGAAGAAAGAATGTTGTCCCTCTTTGTGTGCCACGGGGCCACCGTCACGATATCCGCCTTACACGCCACGCCACTGAATTACCCTCAGCTTCTTTTATAGAAATAATGTTACTCATGATGTAGCGCCCTAGGATCCATGTTATGATAAGCCGCGATCTCTCACCCTAGGTGCGTCCTGGCTCGTTCTCTCTCCCACTGCTCAGTCTTACATCTCGGAAAACATGACCAGTCGAAGAAAGAACACCAGCATTGTGTTCAACGGTACAAACAACCAAATACATCACCTGCCCTTGGATGAAGTGTGGGTGAACGCTGTAGTTGTTGATGGTAAGCATTCCGACCCCGCCATTTTCCAAGTCTTTGCTGTGACAGGGAACCAACGTTCCATGCTATTCGACTGATCTGTATGTCATTCGTATGCAGTATCGGCCAAGATCATCATTACACATATATTTTCCAATCCATCTGAGGACTCCACTGGTCGAGCGAAGTATGTCTTCCCTGTTCCGGCGCGATCGGCCGTATGTGGATTCGCCATGAAGACGTCGGATGGGCGTGAAGTGGTTGGGGTAGCGAAGGAGAGTCAAAAGGCGGAAGACGAATATAGGCAGGCTCTCGAAGAATCCAAGGTAGCGGGGCTAGTACAGTGGGGTGCAGACGACGGTGCGTATCATGATCTCACTATCTTCATCGACTTGTCGCTGACATTTATGGGATGGGTTCAGTGTTCACTATATCTGTAGGGTCGATCCCTGCTCGTGGGGTAGTCGTCACAAAGATAACGGTCTGTCCTACCTTTTATGGAAGCGTTTTGCCCGTTTTTATCGTTGCCTCGTTTCTTTTGCTCCTATTTCCTTGAAGCTCGTGATGCACCTTATGGACGACGACCATCCGAATGAGATTCGCTTCCAGCTTCCAATGTCGGTCGGGACCATGCGATACGGTACCCCGCACCCCAGCACAATGAATTCCCTCCGTGCGCCACCGCATACCAGCCTACGCATCGCCGTAAAAATCCAAACCAGCGGGTTATTAGAGAGCGTCTCCAGTCCTAGTCACACCATCGCCCTCACACCCCATCGTACACACCACGGACAACATTCCAACCGTCGCACTACGGCCTCCCTTCGTTCGTCGGAGTTCCTAAACTCGGATTTCGTGCTGATCATCCGGGCAGAAGGACTCGATGCGCCCAGGTGTTTCGCGGAACTGGACGATCCGGGTTCTGAGACTCGGGCAAGGACGACGGCGGGTGAGGACTCGAAGCCGACGGTCGCGGTACAGTTGACGGTCGTACCGAAGTTTGGAATTCAGCCGTTACCTGCGCAGGAGTATCTCTTCTTGGTGGATAGGAGTGGGAGCATGCAAGGCGGCAGGATAGAGACGGCCAAGGATACGTTGATCATGCTGCTGAAAGCCATTCCGTCGAGCGGCGCGGCCCTCAATATCTTCAGTTTCGGGAGTCAATGTACGGGTCTTTGGCAGAATAGTGAGGCATACAGTCAAACCTCCGTAGATCAAGCTGTGAGTCATCGTCATCATATATCCCACCTCTGTCGACACTACTGACGGCCGTCAATCCGGCAGACGACACATACTCAGAGCATGCAGGCAAACTGTGGCGGAACGGAGACGCGTCTTGCCTTAACACATGTATTTTCCCGACGGAAACGAAGCATGCCTACTGTCATATTCATCCTTACAGATGGAGAGGTAGGCTCAACTCTTCCAAAACTCACGGCTCTATTTAAGTCACGATAACATTGGAAGAGCTGACGAACGGTTATTTTTTGTTTACGTATCTTAGGACCATGACATCGAACAGACGCTCAAGGCTGTTGCTACCGCCGTGGCACAAAGTACTCCATCAGCCCCTCTCCGCATCTTCGTTCTCGGTATTGGGAACACAGTATCCACTGCCATGTGCGAAGGGATTGCTCGCGCCGGGAATGGCCTTTGTCTGATGGCTCTGAACTCCACAGAGATCGTAGGCAAGTGCGCGCAGCTCCTACGTGCAGGTCGCACTCGCCTCCTCAAGGGCGTCACCATCGATTGGGGAGTGACCGAAGAGGCGGACCTAAACACGAATTCTTTCCGGCGTATACAATTCCCACCTCCTCCTTTCATTCGACAGACACCCTCCGTCATCCAGACACTGTATCCCGGCCTACGTCTCGTCGTCTACGCCATCCTCCAGACCGATAAGATTCCGTCCACTGTCACGATCAAAGGAACGCTCGGCGATGGTCAAGAAGTCCTCAACCTCTCTGTACCCGTCGAACCCATCCGTCTTTCCCTGCCCTCCCCCTCTAGTCGAGCTCGTAGCGCTGCCAAGGCGATGCTCATACACACGCTGGCTGCTCATCGCCTCATTCAGGACCTGCAGGAAGGACGAGGACCAATGCCGGGGGGCGCTATTGGAGGCCAGTCGAACACGAAGGCGGCGATAGTAGAGCTGGGAGCGAGATACCAGCTCGCAAGCGAGTATACGTCGTTTGTCGTCGTCGATTCTGGAGTGGTCCGGACTAGACAAGCACAAGAAAGGCATGGAAGAGGTGTAGAGGCGAGTGCACCGGAAAGGCATGGAAGAAGTGGGCTGGCCGGTAGTCGACGGCAACGACGACAAGAACGGGATGATCCAAACGAATGGATCGATGTCCCTGTAAATGAACCTGACGATGCTCAGGACTCGGGTTACGTTTCGTGGGCGCTCGGTGCTGTGTGGAGTCGGCTCTCATGGGTCCTAGGATATGGACAACCCGCAACGACCAATGCCAGACAGCACGCGAGAAGAGAGACTGCGGCTTCTGAGAGAGCTGACGATGACTCTGCAGGTGTGGACCACGATGATGAATCAGACGATTCACATCCGGGGGAGGATTACGATAGTGCAGCCACGTACTCGACGATGAGCTCCTTGGAGAGTTACTCCAGCCGTGAGAGCTCTCCTGGAAGATCCAGACCTCATCGTCGTCGTCCAGTCGTCGAACCTTCTCCACCTCCGTCGCGGCCACCATCCGAAAGCCGTAGTCCATCGCCAGAAATACAACCCAATCGTCCTGCATCGGGCGGCTTGCACGATGCAGGTTCTTCCTCTCAGAACCCCGCTCCACTGCAACGCGATATTCACGTTCCAGTGATTGACCTCGTGAAGCTACAAGCTTTCGATGGATCGTTTGTCCTTGGTCGAGACTTGGAGAGAATCGTAGGCCCAGCGGCAGTGAACGAATGGGGCGACATGGGGGATGTGGAGAGCGAGGTGTGGGCCACCGCACTGGCTGTGGCGTTTCTGGAGAAACACTCGTCTGGGCAAGCAGAGCTCATCGAGTGCTTGAAGGATAAAATCATGGATTATATCGATGGAAAGCCGCAGATGGAGTGGGCTGACTTTCTGGCGTTGGTGCGTCGTGCTGAACGGTTGGTGGTATAGGCGTTGTTCGCCCCAAGGTCGCCCCGATAGGAAATTATAGTTGTACAGAGGCATCCAATTTGTAGCTCCATGTTCTTCGTTACTCATGTAGTTAAACTAAGCTATTATATAGATTTGGTATGCGAATGTCGTCCATGAAACAAGTCCGAACTTGAATCTCGCATCCTTTTGTATGGACGAAAACGTCATTTCGGTGTAAGAACACTAGGCGGGCAAATAATGTCTCCGCTTCTCATGCGTGGTATATAAAGAGAGACGACTCATTCATGACTCTTTTGCTACTACAGACTCTACATAAGTAGCTTCCTGTGTGGGCAACCCAAAGACCGTTGCCACATTGGAGCGAGCCAGTGGCACCGTTTCCGGGTGTACCCGAAAGCGCCTGTAGCCGCGGCCAGCGCAATTTTTGATATTGTTTGCTCTCGCCCACTCCCTTCACTATGACCTACCCTGCTTGACGGGCGTTGACCGTCTCTGTACTCAGTACTCAATTCTGGCTGATATATATTGCTATGAATGTTGTCAAAGGCTATGACTATCGGCGCTTTTGCATGCACACCTGGTCCCACCTCAGCTTATCCCCACAAATCGGTATCCACCCAAACGCCTCGCCCTATCGACCTTGAGCTTGCGTTACTCCCCCGCTTTTCATGCCAGGCCAATCAGAAGAAGACGATGGTCAGAATCGTAGTGGCTCCATGTTCCTCGACGTCTTTGCCTCGGTCTATTCGTTAACTGATAGATAACCCACCACTTCGCCTTCGCCTTCTCCATCGATCTCGCTGCGCTCATTCCGCTCCGCTTCCAGCACGGCGCAACGTCGAAGGCGAAGCCAACTAGTCTTTGTCATCTGGTGACGAGGTTTTGCTGAGCTTTCGTCTTATCGAACCAGATTTCGCGCTCATTGCTCGGCGCTCCGTCCCCCTTCGTGCTCGCCTATATAACCCCTATCCGCACATCCTCTTGACTTCATCCCGAACTCTCCTTCTACAACTACTTGCACCTCATCTCACTCGTACTCTCTGTACCTGAATTACCATGCCTATCTCCCACCACGTCGCTGCCCAATCCACCTTCGGAAAGGTCGAGACCGGAAAATACTCATTCCTCGATGACCTCTATACCACCGACGACACTGAGAAGCCGATGAGCGGTGGAATCTTCATCTACGAGAAGAGCCCCGAGGATTTCGAATGTGCGTGTTTTCGTACTTCGAGGCACTTTTATTCCCTTTTAGTCCTTCACTCGCGACGACGCCACACTCCTCAAATACTCGCCACCCCCTATCGAACTTGTTCTTTTTCACTACCACCCTTCTGTATTTCATCCATTTGGCTTGACAAGAATGTCCTATGAATCGTGTGCTGATGCTGACTTTGGCCTCAAACAGATACCTACAGCTACGACGAGTTGAAGATCATGCTCGAGGGAGAGATGACGTTGAAGGACAAGGCTACGGGGGAGGTCAAGCTCGTGAAGGCTGTGCGTCCTAGTCATTTTCTTTGCGTCTTCACAATTTCTATGTCCGGCTTTCCTCCCCAACCTTATCAACACGCCCCGCCCATCGCATTTCGATGTACCGCCTGTCTTTCACCGGTCCACCTCTCTTTTCGTGCTCCTTTTTCGGCTTTTGCCGTTGTTTTACTCATCTAACTGACATCCCTGCGTTCTTTGATCCTATAGGGTGACGTCGTGAAGATTCCCAAGGGTACCACCGTCCTGTTCAATAGCCCCACATCCGGAAAGGCGTTCTACGTTGGCCAACGGTACGTAACCTGTCCACAACCGCCCACGCTTCTCTTTCCCTTCGAGAGAGGAACGGAGATACTGACGCTGTTGATCTCTATAGGGCATACCGTGCGTTCTGATCCTGCGGAGATGTAAAATACCAAAATTGGGACTTCTGTCTTGCTAGATTGTATGACACGCACGGACTTACGGCTAGTAGTTATAGGCTTACGCCAGGATGTGTACGAGGAAATTACAAGAATATGGCCTTTACACGGTTTTGAACCTCCTGACACAGGGATTATATCCGGAGCATGCTCGACAGAGGTACGAGTAAATGTCCAATCGCGATTGGATATCGAGCGATGTGTTCCGGATAAGTATGCCGCGGGGTGAGGACGGTTCGGTCAGCGCCACCGCCACCTTGAGTAATACATATATCTATGTTCGTTGCCTCCCTGCGTTCTTTCCTTCTGCTTCGCGCAGTGATTTTCCTGGTCCATTCACCGTTATATAAATATAACCTCCCGATTCGTGTATGCTATTGACCTTGCGTCGGCGCGATTTGGCATCCCCATGGATCGTGCTGGAGCGTCATACTTGTCCCTTCACCCGCCAGCTTCATGGTCCGAGGAATGATTGCTTAGTCCGATTGCTCTTCAGCAGATTGTGGACACAGACGTGCATTTGAAGTTATTGGGATTGTACCCGAATACAAGATGCGGGTGAGGTTGTGAGAGAGAGTGCGATACACGGTGACCTGGTCTTGGCACTAATACGACTCGGAGGGAATGCGGTTTACTCAACGTCTGGTTAGAAAGTACTTAGACAGAATATGCTTCCGACGCTGGGAAGTCTCATACTAATGCGACAAAGAACATAGGGCTCTATGCAATTTCACGGGATATGAGTAAAAACGAGCTCCAGACCAGCTGCTACTTTAATAATATAGGGAGCTTCATTTGTGAAGATAGGAAACAAAGGGGAAGACAGATGGATTCTGGATCGAGATGGTACGTAGCAGTAAAGTCCGAACTGGAATGGCGCTGAACTCATGTATGAGTTGTACAAAGACCAGTGAGGACTCTACACTTCCGTTGTGGATGAATTCATCGTACTCATGGCTATCTCATCATGCTTCTGATTGTCCTCTCGTGGAACCCCGCTCCCGTTGATATCAATAACTGAGGACGGAGGTCGACCATCATCGTAAGATGGCTTGATACCCGAGGGCTGTTTGATATAGTGCACGCTGTACCGGTCACAATGGCTTCGGTTCAAACAGACGATAATCATGATAAGAGTGGGGTAGATTCCCTTTAAAGCATAGTCCGATATGAATAAACAGACACAAATATCGCATGTGAACGTGCTTACGGATATCTGACTCATGATAACTTCCATTATAGACAAGCCCAGCACGCCGGAAAGCTGTTGGAAGGAGGAGAGGAGAAATATAATCTGTGAAATATGAGACAAGTTCAATATGTACCCATTTTCGGGACGGGTAAAGTGTACAATACCCATAGAGCGCAGTAGATAAAACCAGATTCGATGAGGAGAGACAGTATTGCTTCAACTCTAGTTGAAACAACACTTTGGCTAGCAATTATATCCGCTGACGAAATTTCTATGCTTCCTAAACATGAAAGATAGACGTCGTGAGATTCTAATATTAGACATAACACAGAGAGAGAAAAATCAAAGCGTACCACGCTGTACAAGCAATTATGGATGTTGCAACAATATTTGTGAAGAGTGTCGGAAGTGCTAGAATCAAGGTTGTTTCTCCACTTTTTACTTCGCTCGCCTCACTATTGTGATGTACGTTCAGCACAATTATGTCAAGTGAAAGATCAACCACCATTGATGCTGATTTTCGCAAAGGTCTCTCAGTATTCATTACCATGTGGTAGTGGAGAAATCACTTATACCGATGGTCGCAACAAGGCATGCGATCAGGGCAATAGCAATCTTCCTCCTACGCATACCTATAACCCAGGCGCGCCAAAGTACAATAGCATCACTGAGAATATACTGTGGTAGGATGAGCACCAATATGAAGTCGGATAAATTGCGATGACATCTTACAAGAACTCTGGCCAATGCTGATTGTATACTGGCGGCGATATTCGCAGTGGTATCATTCGCGATTCCACCAATGGTAGGGTCAATAGCACGGGAGATATTTCGAAGGGTAGTAAATATATCCAGAATGACGCAAACCGTCGCAGCGGCAAACATGATGAATAGGACCGTCAGCATTCCGACTCTTGAACTTCCCGATGGACCGCTTCCGCAGCTATACACCATTAAGCCACTTAGAATAAATCAATATTTACGAGCATACTGACAGGAATATATATATGACTATGGTCATGAGGATCAAATATATCCCTGAGATGTATTATTAATCGTCCATAAGCAAATTCTAGAAAGCATGCTGATGAACATACCATAAAACAAGGCTATGAAGACGGAATCGAGAATAACCTGCTTTGTATCAGCATACAAAGCCTGTGTTGTTGCCGACATGGTCGCGGAGGGTTTGGAAGCGGGTGGTGGTAGTTCAATTCAGGTAATGGGGAAAAGTGGGGAAGATGATAATGCGGACTGATCACTGAAGTTTGGTCCTACTTAAGGGGAAGATATTAATTCGCAGTCGTTTACCGGAATGGAGGCCTGATGCCGATTTTACTTCTGTTTCAACGATACTCTGCTTGCACCCCGTATCACCAAGACTCGGGTATGAGGCCTTGAGGTAGAGCCATTGCCTTTTAGAGGCGCTTACGATGACGTGTTATTCCTGTCTCCCCTCACAGAAACCAAGTGGGCTATTGTTGTGACTTGTCAAGACTTGTCTGGGGGTAGCTCTGTGCAGGACCTGGAGCATCTTTGATATGTACTCAGCAGTATCAGGTCTCTACGATGTTCCGCCTGCAGCGGCTTGCAACTCGCAGGTTCAGCATAATATGAGACAGAACCTTTACCGTTTAGAGACACTGACGTATACGGGAAAGCCTGATCACTCCACGCAGGGACCACACCATTGTCAAGGATTTGTCTGGAAGATACATGTTTGATTGATATCTGGAGCATCTTTGATAGCTTTCCCACCGCCCATGATGGTTTTATCCATCACCCTATAAAATGTGTTCATATATTATCCCAGTACTGCTTACGGCCACATAATATCTATAAGATATCGGTTCGAGCCTTTGTTGGTGATGTATCCCTTCTATGCGCTAGGGACTAGGCACTCAGATACCGATATAAGTCATGTACTCTGAACTGTGATGGGGAACATCAGAGTAAGTATTGTTCCTCTAGACATTCTGATGAATTCTGCGGTAGACGTCATGCACTGAACATGGCGACTAATCATCTACATTTCGATCTTATATGACGGCTATTCCCGCTCTTGCTGGTGCGTTTCATCCTTATAAGCTCTATCTTCTGTGTGGTCTCATGCATCTCACCGCGTCAATAGCAACATGAACACCTCACCCATTACATTCCTCGCCTTATTTGCTGTCATCTTTATGCTAGGAGGCGGCACGAGGGGTCAACTCTTATGGCATGGTGGACAATATGGCCGTATAGACGATTACGAGGGTACTTCAGGTGGATCTGTGACTCCAAAGTATCACCACTCTCAGTTACTGATGGCAGACGTTGCTGCTACCTCCCCTCCCTCAGCCGCAACATCAGACCTCGCTGGACAGACCATAACAGCCGCTTGAAGGGAGAAGTCGCGAACTACTGGTACGTATACGCTTATCCGAAAAGCAATGGTCGAGTATTGATCACTTTTTATCCCTCTCTAGACGAAGAGCACAAGCCGTGTCAATCGTTTCAACACAATTTTTCCCGTTGCTTCGTGGCATGTGATACCGGAAGTTTCTGTAAATTCATGCTGCTCCTAAGAAGGGCCATGCACTGGATAGACGTCGTGTATCTTGAACCTACGGACCAGCTCATTGCTTGACATGAGGCGTTACTGTGATTGATTTGAGCAATTTATGTCAATCTTCACCTTCTCCAACGCGTCAGATCTATAGCATCTACGATTCCGCCATTAGGGGGCGTCGTGTGCTCAATAGCATAAGCCATTATTTGAGGTATAACTCGTCCTTTTCTTGAACTATGAAGTCCAACACGCATAGCGAAACTTCTCCGCAGAAGCGTTCTCGGATGATGAATCCTTATACCTGCGAATCTGAACTGCCCGCTCAAACGCAAGGTGATCCGCCGATTATATCCTTCCTGTTCTAGTTTTGGGGTCAAACAACCTGAAGAATAGGTAGAAAGTGAATATCGTCCATATATCTACTCCCCATGCACGGATGATTGTGACAAAATATCTCCAAAGATATAGAATCAGAATCGGTTGAAGGATAGGGGCTAAAGCGCTGAGGCTGACAACAACCCGAAGACGCACTTCTTAGACTACTTATGTATATCGTCGAGCGGGCCAATATTGGAAGGTAGAGGGACGTCAGTCTGGTCGTATTATAATTCTGTATTAGGGCGCAGTCCAGAAATGACCACGACGTGAGGTCATCGAGGAACGAACAATCCGCGCACCAAAAATATCCCAGAATGGAAGACAAGGGCGTATCAAGTATGACGTCGCCAGGCATGCATATACGGAACGGGCGAGGAATCGAGGACACACGACATGCGGATCTGCAGTGACCTGTCACCTCCTGACGCGGGCTAATGACACGGATTCTCGATAGAAGACAGTCTGAGCAGTGGGCAGCAAGGAGTACGGATGGCACGATGGCTGAAAAGTCTGAAACATGAGTGCCAGAGGCTATGCGAGAACTTGAAACCTAGGGGTGAGTGAAGCGAAACGCTGATCAGAGCAGGGATACTTTGAACAAGCGCAAGGCGCACGCCAGCCAGCCCGAAGCTCGACGATGTATGTTGGTACTCGTGTATTCGCTTCCTTTTGCGAAGATAGAGATAGAGAATGACGCTGTGAAGCTATGACGCGTGACGGTCAAAGCGCAGACATACAGAACGTACGAACACGCATTGACAGACTGGCAGACCGGCACATCAATCAATGACGACAAGCGTTGATCCCGGTATGCATGTATGTATGCTCCCAACAACCCAAATCCGGCCTAACGAACATCACGAGTTGCGTCCCTCCATGACGCAGGTCCAATATTTACGCTCCCTCCCATCCCGTATTTTGGTACGCAGCACTTATAGCACTTATACCGATATGAACTCAAAGCGGCCCCGCGCGCACGCATTTCCAACGAGGCAAAAACTCAAAGAGCCATCTCATCGTGGACGTATACAGCAAGGCTATAGGATATAGAATAGAAGAGCTTCGATTTCTCCTTGTCTCGGAAGAGAGTAGCGAGTGTTCAAAGCGGACTCGAAAGCGGTGTTTGGAAGAACTTCGAGCTAGCCACAGAGCTTGTTCATGATCGTCCGCCGTGCATAGATACTTACGTGGCATGCGAGGGATTGCATTATATCGGTTGGAGACAAGTCACAAAAGTGCTGTGCGTCACTGCGTTTGGCACGGCCGAGGGTATGGGACAAGGTATCACGATAACGCACAAACGAGATCATCAGTCGAGCCGAAGATGCATGCATGAGTGTACTGGCAAGGCATGAATGAGTGTCGAGAATAGGCAGAAGCGCACCGAGACGTTCACCGAAGGCCTATCATCTCTATGATTGTTTCTAAAAGGAGGGTGTTTGACTGGCTGGCACGGGCTGATCGCTGCATGCGAACTGAGACCATATAGGGCGCCTCTCCTACCGCCTACGACCGAGGGCTATGTCTCATTGATGCGACCGAGAAAAACAAGCCCCCAAAAGCGAGCGCAAAGTTGGTCTCGACAACTTCGCCAACGTACACACTGCGGCGTCTATATCTATGTCGCACTGTAGACCAGTACCCCGAATGATCTGAATCAGATGGAACGAGCGACGACGAGCAAGGCGATACCACACTCGTCGTGTAGTCGCCCATACGAATTGTGTTCGCTAGCTGATGACCAGAGTGAAACGGAAGCCCGAGGCAATGATTCGGGAGCCGAAATGGCGCTAAATAGGAGAGAACAAAGGTAGGTCCACTGACGATGCGACAGTACTAGCGGTGATTGTCGTAGCAGACCAACCGAGGCAATACAGATGGGGCACAAATATAATGACGCGGATCAGAACACGACCATGTCGTGGCCAGGGTGGTCAATGATAGCGCGCTAGCAATTGGTGTGAGCAACAGTGAGCTCGGTGGGTGTGAGATAGCCGACTGGTTCGAAGAAGAAAGAGCACATGAGATTGAGTGGCAGAAGTCTGCTAATAGTAACGCTGAACGCTCGTTGACGTGGCATGAAGACACCGACTGCGTTCGAGCTTGTCGGTAACGCAGAGACAGTTTCCTCCCTTGACACTGCTGAACTTGATGTCGTTGAGTTTGGCGAGGAGACTACAAGAGTGTGATGAAGAAGAAAGAGCTGGAAAAGGAAAGCATCTAGAGGCGGAACACATTTGCAAAACGAAGAGAGGGACCGGGAGAACGGCGAGTGACGTAGGGTCTGATGACGACATTGTGTTCCCACGCGCCTTGACGGAAAGTGGCAGGAATATAGGGCCTTGCTCCACAACGACCGCCCACTTCTCTCTCTCGACGCCAACAATCCCAGCCACGAAGTACATCCCGTACACATTCGAATCATACCCACTCCGATAAGTATTAAACGTACATAGAGCAGCTAAGCAAAGCCCAAACCGACGTCGTCGTCGCCGATCCATTGCCCACTGCTGCTTGCCATCGAAGATCTTAGAGCAGACGCCCGCGATAACCGAACGAGCCCCACCGTGTATAGTGGAGCTAGGTGCAACAAAGAACAGTGCGTACCACACAGCTCACTCCTCCAACACCACATCCTCAACTCCAGTACCGGCCCCACCGTTCAAAGCAGAATCAGATCCGCAAAAGTAACGGATTATTAGTTAACATGGCCGGCGATCACAAATGCTCTGTCTGTCAAGCCACTTTCACTCGTCCACAACATGTCGCCCGCCACATGCGCTCCCGTAAGTCCCCTCGTCTTCCGTGATCCCAATGCGGGTGTTCACCGTTTTCCTTCTTCCAGACACGGGCGATCGTCCGTACAAATGCCAACATTGTGGAGATCAGTTCGCGCGAAGGTAACGTTCTCCTTCTCCAGCCCCATTCCACCCCACTTCTCTTCCTTTTCCGGACTTCATCTCAACTAATCTACCGCTCTTTTTGCTGCAGCGATCTTCTCTCCCGCCACATCAACAAATGCCACGCCAACGAGAAACCGCTTGTCACCTCCGCCACGAACCGGCGCAAAGGCACCGCTTCCGCCTCCCGCGCAACAACGTCCAAACAGGCCTGCGACCAATGCGTCCAGTCTTCTCTTCCTTGTGACGGTGCAAACCCTTGTGGTGCGTCATCTCCCGTCTTATTTCCACCTTCTCATCGTCTCACGTGCCCTCTTTCACATCACAGCGAAATGTGTCCACCGTAAATGTCGTTGCACCTACGTCAAATTCCACCGCCAAACCGCACCGCAAGGACCGGGTCATCCTGCCGCGAACGCCCGTGGACCCGGCTCAGATCCCAACGCAGCTCTCCTCCCTCCTAATATCAATGCCTTACCCACATTGCCACCAAACTACCGGTTATCGGATTCGTTCATGATGGGTACCACGCCTGGTATGAACCCTAATATGGGCATGTACACGAATCAGTTCCAATTCCCCAGTGCAGGAGGTGCGCAGGTACAGGGAGGCGCGCCCCATATGTATGCTGCCGTTCCTGGTGGCGTTGGTGGTATGGGCGTAGGAAACGTGAATGGGATGGGGCTAGGGGCCACTGGGATGGGCGCTGGAGATATCAATCCGCAGGAAAGTTTTGAGGGTGCGGCTGAGTATGCGGCGAGGTATAGAGCCCAGGCGGAGATGTTGAGTCGGGCAGGCATGATTCCGTCTGGTACTGCGAATGCTGCCGGTGGGAGGAACGCCTATGGCGGACAACAATGGACGAATGGAATGGATGTGGGTCACATAATTATACCTACCCTCGCACGTTTGACTTCGTTCTGACTTGGTTTTTCGACGTATCTCAGTACACCCGCGATAACGACACATATTCTTATACTAATCCCTCGGACGACCCTAATGGCAACGTCGGCTACCAGCCCTTCGCCTACCTCCTCGACCAAAACACGAACACGAACACCAACCCGACCTCAAACTCGAACCACCGTCGTGGTGCCTCCGGTTCATCTACCAACTCCGCATCTCACGGTCGTTCCCTCTCCCAACCTTCCTCCGCCGCATCGTCGAGCCAACACCTCCCTCTCCCCGCAGACCATTACTCGCAGTACTCCTCGTCCACTTCCGATTCGGATTCGCACCATCGACCGCATTCGTCGGCGAGTTCGCAGAGTCAGGGACAGAGCCAGGGAAGTCATGGCCATGGTGGACAGGGGAGACCCCAGACCGCCGATTCGACGAATCCCGATGGTTTCCATTCTGCGTTCGGGCTCATGTCTCTCGACGATCCTGCCGTTTTGGCCGGATTATCCTCCGGTACTCCCTTCTTCGAGAGCTTGATGAACGCCGCCGCGCAGGCCCAGTCTCCCGGCGGCGGTGGTGGCGGTGGGAATGGTTTAGGTGGAGGTGGCGGGGGTGGTGGTCAGGGTGCCAGTTGGGCGGATGGAGTGACGCCGAGAGGGGAGAATGGGATGCCGTTGAATACGCCGAGTTCGTTGAAGGAGTTGAAGGAGATGTGGAAACAGTATATGCGGACGCCGCTCTCGGGTCCTTCGCTCGCTCCGTTGGCGACACCCTTGGCCCATTCGACGTCGGACCAACAGGGCCAGTTAGGGGAGCTTGGGATGATGCAGAGGACGAGTCCGAAAAGGGAGAGAGGGTTGCCGAGGGTGGCGAGTATGCCGAGCGTGAAGACGCCCGGAGTCGGTGCCGTTGGTGGCTGGGATGGACGGAACAATAACGGCAACAATCCGAACGGCGGTGGATCGCAGCTGAGAGGAACGATCCACAATCCTGAAGACCTCCGCTCGTACGAACAAGCCGTCCTCGCGCGCAAAACCCCCCTCAACCTCAATTTCCCACCGACACGACGCGCGGGGACCGTCTCTGTTTCTTCCGGGTCTGGTGTAGGGACCGGTACGGGGCTCGGCGGCGGTGTAGGCACTGGAGGATCGGGAAGCGTCGGGTCTGGTGGTGGTGGGAGCGGCGGCAGTGGAGACGACAAGAGCTTGAGCTCGAGTCCTCAGCATCCCCCGAGTGGGTTGCCTAGGCATGTCCAGCAGGCGATGGGCATGCACGGTCATGTCCTCGGACATGGACACGGACATCAGGTCGCGGGGATGGAGATGAGCAGGCCAAGTAGTTCAAGCTCGACGACGTCCAGCCTCGCTCATGCGTTTGGACAACATGCCGCTGGGGCTGGAGGAGCTGGAGGATCGGGGAGCGATGGGACTGGATCGCCGGCGCCGTTACCCGCTATCGGTGTTGGTGTTGGTGCTGGTGCTGGTGGACCGTCGGCGTCGCCTGCTATGGCTCATGCTCAACATCAACATCACGATCACCATCCTGCCGCTGGTCTGCTCGATGAAGGCCTGCGACCGTCGTTCAAACGTCTTCCCTCGCAGACTCTGGGCCCAGAGTACTCGAAGAGAGCTGCCGTTGGGTACGGAGGGGGTGGTTATATCGATGACGGGGATGAGTACGATGGTGAGGATGGGGATGGAGGGTCTTATGGAGCAGGAGGCAGGCCGATGGGCCCCCCGGCCGTCCCGAGGAATGTGGTGGGTGGGGGGTATCCCGGTGCGGCGGGAGGGTTTGGGGAGCGGACGAGGAGGATGAGTGCGCCGACGAGTGGGGCGAGTGGGATGGTGTTCGGGGTGGGCGGGCATGGTCAGGAGGGAAAGGTCGTTGGTGCGTGAGCTGATATGGGATTTGAGCTCGTGGTTAAGTAGCGGTGACGGTGGTGGTAAGTAATGGGGTGTGTGTTTCAGTGCTGGACAAGTTTCTTTTTCTTCTTTTGTTCGCTCCAATCTTTTTCGTTCCCTTTGCGTCTCCTTATCCTCTCTACCTTCGATTGTTTCTAGTTGTCGTTATCTTCCGAAATATCCAGTCAATCATGTACCATATGTTCAACACAAATGTTGATTCGTCTCTCCTCGTCTGTCATCCGTCTCTCGCTGCTGCTGGACTGCGTTTCACCGCCCCCCTTCTCTTTCTCTTCAATGCTTCGAAATAAACGCTATTCCTCCCATACGTGTACCCATATCTTATCCCGAACACAATAATCTCCTTCCCCTCAACCCTCCCCGTCCCGCCTCAACCGGTTCGAAGGCCGTGTATTGTAGCTCTTTCTTTCTCTCTCCCTATCCAATTTCAACTTTCGCTCTTCACTCACGCATTAGTTTAGTTTCCTGTTCGGTTTCTCTCTCCTTTTTCGATATTTGCGTACTGTACGAGCTTACGAACTGCACTTTTACTACACATGTCTGCGTAAAACGAACTCGCGCGTCATGAATGCGTACGGACTGTTGTTTGGAGATATGCGCTGTGAATTGGAAAGGTAAACTGTGTATATACTTCGTGCTGGTCGCTTTGTATAGATACTGTATTCGCCATACCGCTACTGAATAATTGAACGCTTTTTCGGTTTTGTGACTTGTCAGTCCTCGTTCGGCTTCGAGTTTGCAGTGAGACTGGTGATCATGTAATGAGAGGACAGGTGGAGGTTGCGAATTCTTTCGAGATTCTTTCTTCCGTTGAATCTTTACTGTGGCGATGTCTGGGTACAAGGTTGCGCTGTTTGGAGGGCTGTGCCACATCGTGTGGCGAGGCCAACCGGAACATGCCGGGACGTTGACTTCTCGGCTGAAAGCGCAACATTTTCAACTTGTACTCAAACGCAGCAGAACTTCATCCCTTGACATCCACATCTTTGACGTCTCCCTGTGTTGCACTGGCAGTTGTCTGAAAGGAATTGATCTATCTGCTCGTACTGTGCAGGCTGTTCATCACTCTGGTGATACGGACGAGCTCTTAGTCTCATGCTCTTCGAAGTTGCTTCGAAGGTCTGTGAACTATCATGATGTCCCTGCGCGTACCACTGCAAATGCAGCTCTTCTCCATATATGGGCCACCTCACCAGTGAGGGCCGTTCTCCCCCAGTGTTCAGAATACACTCGCACTTTGAAGGAGATGCATCATTCTACCGTAGCCTCTGATGAAAGATTTCGTGTCTATTGCTGCCCCTTGGCTTCTCCCTTTCAACCCCATAAGCACGCCTAGCCATCTCTGTCACTGGCACGTTCACACAGCAACGATTGATGGAGGACATAAGTCCTTGATATATATTCTCTGCCAGCGGTCTGGGGAGACCACCACTACCGCCCCCGAACCCTCATCTCTTTTCACTCCTGTATACGTTCTCGCGCGCGCGTCATGTCAGTCTTCGTCATCGTGGACGATTCAGACCAAAACTTGAACTACTTTCCATTAGTATCACACGGCGATACTCATGACGCTACGGAATCCGCTGAAAAGGGATGGTATGTTGCGACTGCGGGTGCGTAGATCCAGTTCCTCCTTCATACTGTTACGTGGCCTTACCTCTGATATTGCTATGCAGGGGTTCAAGTAGAATTTCAGACAACAAGAACTAGATCTGCCTTGGCTTCGTCGACAATGAGCTATGAGTTTTCAGGTAAGAGGTAGCTGCGGCACGTGTAAGATACTCCATATGCGTGCAGCTCGCCAATGTTCTGTATGATTTATGTCGTTTAACTGAGATATTCTGTCGCAGGTTCCTTTATCTCCGTCTATGGAACGGTTTGGGGGTTTCTCGGTACACCGGGAAGTGTCGGTTCAATAATCTCCTTCTCGATCGATGGTACGACCATATCCACGACGAACACCTCTCAAACCCCGGAAGGCCATCGCCATGTTCCATTATTCGTCTCTCCGTCTCTCTCCACGAACTCGACGCATAACCTCACAATGGAAATATTGGCGCCCAATTTCGGAGCGACGAACAACTCGAACGTCTGGATCGACTATCTTATCTATGAAGCGCCTGTGAACTCCTCAATTCCTACCCCCACAGCGCAGACGAGTTGGATTTTTATCGATGATTCGAGCCCTTACCTTGAGTACGGAGATGGTGAATGGAGCGGGACCATACCATACTTTACTTCAAACATGACAGACGTCGCATTCAATTCAAGCGTTACGGGTCCGAAGAACACGTCTTCTACTGTCTCACTCAATTTCACAGGTGCTCCAACTCGAGTCTCCGTTCATCCGTCGACACTGACCTTGAGGGTATTGCGTTATATGCTCAGGTGCCACCATGATCAGAGCATTCGCGTTGCTTACAGGACAGGGTTTTTCAGGCGATCTCGGAACATTCTCCATTGATGGCGGGGTCGAGACAACTCTTTCCTCTCCGTCACCGCTCACCACGGACCTCGTCTCTAATTATATGATTCTTTCATCGCAAGTTGATAACTCCGACGCCCCTCACCAACTCGTGGTCACAGCCGCCGCAGCTGGCTCTTTCTACCTCGACTATATTCTACTTCAATCTCCATCAGCCTTCGTCACTTCCCAATCCTTAACCACTACAGGCGGAAGTCCTGTGAGCAGTCTAAGTGGGACCTCGTCTACAGTCTCAGGATCAGTATCAGTTAGGCCACAAGACCAGTCCAGGAGTGGAGGAGCGAATGTGGGCGACATCGCAGGTGGCGTAGTCGGCGGCGTTGTTGCGTTGATTACGCTGGGAGTGGTAGCTGTCCTTCTTCTTAGACGGAGATGGAAATACACAAAAGTAACACCGGTCCGACCCAGCGCGCTCTCCCATGATAGGTATGCAACGGCGGCCTTGGACAGCCAAAGGCAAGATCGTGCAGAGCCTCCTCGACACGAAGCAGCGATGCGAGAAATAACGCCACAAGCTCCCTCTGAGTCAGGTCTGCACCTCATTCTCCATATGTAGTCGTAGGTTTACCACTGACGCTTTCACTTGTTATTTCACAGGCTATACAGTCACTCCTACGCCATTCAATATACTCAACTCGACAACCACACCCCGCGAAAAGCACACACACCGTGGCTCTACGCGTTCGATGGCTCAAAGCGAGGATTTCTCTCTTTCAACAGCACATAGCAGTAGTGCACCGTCTCCACCCCCGTATGTTCGAGAATGAGGTATCTACGTTATCTTTCCTACGCTTTCCTACCTTTCAATATTGGTGTGTTCCCATGCACGCAAGGTTGAATTGGAACTGTTGACCGTTTTCGGTACATCTTTCGAGAACCTCTCTCTGAACACAATGTATAAATAACACTTTCCTCCTTCTCATGACTCCGGAGAGGCCCAGGAAATCCAATGACCGGCCGCACTATGTGAAACCAAAACTAGTTATAGGCTTCTTCATCCAATCAGTATCGATTCGAGCAGCTCAAGCATAAAGTATATCCCGTTGATTTGGTATGCATGTGAGCGAGGATGCATGCACCACTGAGTGTTTCTCATCGCGCTGTCGTTCATCCGGGGAGGTGGACATACTACGGCTTAGAACGCGATGAGTCGATTATCACTCATCCTTACGCTTCCCATCATCCCAAACACAATCCAGCTCAACAAGGCCTAACAAAACAAGGATGTCACTTGATTACGACTCATTTACCAATACGCGACGTGTCTGGCTCGGTACGACTCCTTCATCTGTTAATCAGTGTCGACTTTTCAGCTCGCTCATCCGTGGATTTGATGATATTATATCGTAGTGACCGGTTCTTCTCAAGGTCTTGGCCATTCCCTAGTTTTGTATATCCTTCGGAAAGGTGACCGCGTCGTGGCCACGTCCCGTTCCCTCTCGTCACTTCACTCTCTTCGATCCGAATCTGCATATTCTCCCTCGCAACTGCTCATTCTTCCTCTCGATGTCACAAGCGTGAACCAGATTGAGGATGTGTTCACGAAAACGAGAGAGAAATTTGGGAGGCTGGATGTGGTGATAAATAATGCCGGGTACGGCGTTAATGGAGAGATGGAGAGTACGCCGGACGATGTGGCGAGGCAGCAGATGGAGGTGTGCTTTTGGGGCGCTGTGAATGTCATGCGGGAGGCGAGCATTATGTCACTGTTCGAGTTGTACGATGATACTGACGATGAAGGTTTTTTTTTTGTCTCGAAAGGCGATCCGGTTCTTCAGGGAGGTTAATCCACCGGGACATGGAGGAAAGATCATCAACATGAGCTCTGTTGGCGGTGCAGCCGGTCTTCCGGGCATAGGTTTCTATGCTGCTTGCAAGTTCGGTACGCCGAAAAACTTCGTCTTTATGATACTAGATCTTGATTTTCCCTCTCCCCCGCTACACCACATCGAATCTCAGCCTTGGAAGGCCTAACCGAATCACTCATCTCCGAACTCCCACCGGCCTGGAATATTCACGCCACAATACTCGAACCCGGCGGCTTCAAGACGAACATGCTGCCCAATTCAATCCTCATGCCCCCTCACCCTGCATATGGACCTGACTCGCCATCGAGGAAGTATATCGGGATGTTGAGGGGCGATGTTCCGTGTACTGGAGATCCGGGGAAAGCTGCTGCTGTAGTTTGGGGACTTGTGGCAGGGTTCGGCCGAAATGAGGCGAACAGTACCGAAAGGGTCGAAATAGATGGGAAGGAAATGAGGGAGTGGCCTGTCAGATTGCCATTGGGCAGCGTGGCGTGGAGAACGTTAGTTGAAAAGGCGAAGAGAACGTTGACGGAGGCGCAGGAGTGGGAGGACATTAGTCACTCGACAAATTTTGACGGGATGGGCAGGGACATCGAAGGGATATAACGACGGACGCTCTTTCCCGTAGTGATAATTCATACGTGTCTATATGATGATATATACATCTCGATTCGTTCACCAGTCCAATAACAGCGCCTTCGTTAAGATGATGAACCCCTGTACACCGAGCCACAATCTTAACGGCCATAGCAGTGTTTCAACAATCGTCGAAGTGCCGGTCCATTGAATGTGTGGCAATCTATATCCTCGAGATACGCCATGAGCGTTTGGGTTCTGAAATCCGTAGCGAGTCGTGATGCTGCCTGTCAAAGCAACAGGTAAGTTTGTCAAGTCACGAATAAAGACGATCCGGCGAGTAGTGCTCCAGAACGTTTAATTGATCGCAGACAAGATGGAAGAGGACATACCCCCACGCATAATTATCCCCAAAAGCCATACAATAAAAAACGCAAGTCTCGAGACTATAACATACACATCCAGCAGGGGATATAGCCCGACGCTGAGGAGGATGTACCCGATAATGTACGGATGCTTAACAGCTAAACGTAGGATGGCACAGTGATGAGCTCATCGTGAGCGACAGGGAGTATTTCTAAACTGTCATACGCACCAAGGCTCGCAATAAAACGAATGACCACTTGGCATGCAACTTGCACTACGGAGAATGAGATATATAGGCAATTAATCGAGATTGATTCGAAGTAACCACTCACATCCTTGCGTTACCGAAAGAGACTGGAATAGACCGGTTGCGTTGGTGATGACCCTCTTCATACCGTCATCAAGAACCACAATGACAGGTACGACGGTGCTCCAGTAGAATTGGAGAGCCTGGACTCTCCCATCGTCGTATGCCACTGCACAGTATCCCCCCATTGACTCCGCCAACTCGGCCGCTCGCTCCTTGAGCACATAGAGATCGATAGCCTGGGCATCAGCATATATCTGGGATATTTTTGCCATTGCTGACTCTGCCAGAATAGCACCTCGTCCCCTGTACCCATTTGCGCTGACGGCCTGAGCATTCTCGTACGCCCATGAAACTTTGTCCTTTACTGACAGCGCCAACGAGGCTGTGTGCTCCTTGTAGTCGTTTATATCGATGTCTTGCACACCAGCGTACGCTTTCAGAGCTTGTTCCTTGGCAGAATCTGCTGCTGTGAAAAGTTTGTTCTTGTAATCATCTAAGGACTGCTGGTCCAGCGGAGGCAAGTCGAAAGGTAGTTGCCAAGTCATGGTGGTCGTTCGAGTTGAAGCGAGTAGGAATGGGGGATTGAGATGAAGGTCAGAGAGGGAACTCCTGGAGTAATTAGTACTCAGAGAACACCTCGTCGTGGTACTCGTGCGCGAACGGCACTACATCAACATGAACAAGGAGGAGTGTGCATGCCCGTGTCAAGGCGTTCGCACGGTTTCTGGCTTTCGCACGCCTCGCCGCTCCGCCGTCTATGGGCCACAAACCCTCTTCGACTTGTGCCACTGATTGCGAACGGCGCTCCCAAAAACGAGGTACCCCAGAGCAAAATTCATTCATCCTGCCTCCATGAGCATTAAAAGCCTCCCATTAAGGCCATTGGGAAACCAACCGTTTCCATAAACGGCCGTGTAGGCGAGAAAGGATGGAGAGGAACCGGGAGTTCTGATCACGGGAGAAGTATGTTTTCAGGAGGTCAGGCTCAACATGAGGGGCTGCGTAGAAAATTCACGAAGACATTGCAACGAAGGCGCTGGGCTGTCGTGAACAAAAATGAGATGGTAAGAGGGAAAGGCGCGAGGAACCCGAAGTTGCCACAGAGTTCTTACACAGGAACGAAGTTTCGGATGTTGACTCGGATGCATTCTTGAAAGTCTGTTAGTTTGTTATGAAAAGAGAGGGAGCTATATAACACAAAAGGTTAGTCGTCAAAACCAAGCGAAGGGCGGTTTCGGGCGCACGAACGCGGCTGCATTACTGTGTTCTTCTCATCACTGGTCATCAGCCCCGGGACCGCTATGAGCTCTCCGTCAATTTCGTATGCAGCTCCTAGTTTCCAGATGGATACCTCGAAAGCTACCACCGAATGCTGGATGGGTAGCGGTGTTAATGGAGTAGAGGCGTAGAGAAAGTGCTCTGTGTGCATTGCTCCCAGTGTGGTCTACGGCGGAAGTTGGCGAAGTGGAACTCTCCAACTTATCGTAACGAAGAAACCTCTAATAAGGGAAAACGCACATTTTACTGTCATATCAGCCGTGAAAGAGAAAAGGCAGTAACAAAGACGAGACGAAGATGCAGGATGCGGTCAAGGTGGAAGTGTCATGTAGTGTGGCGACCGCTCTCGGATTACGCCGCAACGCCACCTTACGCTGAAAAACTCCAACCGTCGCACGACCGCAACCCTCCGCAACCACAACATCGAGCAGCTTTCGGTTGTTGACGTCGCTTGCTTCTCAGTATCTCTGTTCTCCTCTTCAATGCCAGTGGCCCAATATAATCCACGTCTTGCTCAAATGTTCAGACCTTTCAGGAAATGACGGTCTACTTATAAGTCTCGGCTTCTCACATCTAGAGTACCGTGGATGTATACTCGAAGTTACAATCGTTTATCCTAGGTGCTTGTTGGGTGCTTGACACCGGGGCAGCGGGATCCGTGAGTCCTTTCTCATCGCGTGGTTGATTAGGCGGTATAGTATGAAGGTATATAGCAGAACGCTGCACGGCTACTGGCCCAACATCTCTCTTTACCTCGGCGATAATAATCTTGAGGCGAGCAGTTCACGAGTACATCATGGCATCCCAGCCCAATTCTTTCGAGCACACGCGTGTGTGGCTTGGTGCGCTGTTTTTTCCTCTTCGTATTTTTCCTCTCCTCCTGATAGCCACAACTTTCGCCCTACAGTCACGGGATCATCTACAGGGCTTGGCCACTCCATCGTCTCTCACATTCTCCGTCAAGGCGAACGCGTGGTTGCCACCTCCCGCTCACTCTCCTCACTTCTCGCCTTGCAACCCTCCTATCCTGCCGCCCAACTTCTCATTCTACCTCTCGACGTGACAAAGCCTGATCAAGTCGAAGAGGTTTTCGAGCACACGAAGAAGGAATTCGGAAGGTTAGACGTGGTCGTGAATAATGCTGGGTATGGAATCAATGGAGAGTTCGAGAGCACGCCTGATGAACCGGCGAGGCGCCAGATGGAGGTATGCTTCTGGGGGCCCGTGAATGTTATGCGGGAGGTAAGTATCTTTCGATCTCCCTTAGTTTGTATAGCGAGGTTGATAGTATTGTGCGATATTGACTCATGTGGTAGGCAATCAGATTCTTCAGAGAAGTAAACCCGCCTGGGCATGGAGGCAAGATTATCAACATGAGCTCGCTCTTTGGTGCCGCTGGTTTGCCGGCCGTCAGTTTCTATGCGGCCTCCAAGTTTGGTGCGTCGCATCATTCCTTCCTGCGACTTTTATCTTCGTCTACATATAGCAATCAATCTGAATGTTGATCTTGATCTGCCACATCGTAGCACTTGAGGGTCTGACCGAGTCTCTCATCTCCGAACTTCCTCCTGAATGGAACATCCACGCCATAATCCTAGAACCCGGAGGATTCCAGACAAACATGCTTTCCAACTCAGTTCTTATGCCGCCCCACCCTGCGTACGGTCCCGAATCGCCCTCGAGGAAGTATCTCGCGATGTTGAGGGACATTCCGTATTCAGGGGACCCGGAGAAGGCGGCGAGAGTTATATGGGATCTTGTAGCAGGCTTTGGTGAGAAAGAGGGCGCTGATGCGACGGCGAACATGAACGGGAATGGGCAGGGGAATGGGAGGCGGATGACGGACTGGCCGATCAGGCTACCGTTGGGGAGTGTGGCATGGAGAATCCTGGTCGAAAAGGTGAAAAATACCCTTCAGCAAGCCGAAGAATGGGAGGAAGTTAGTGACTCGACTAACTTCGATGGCATAGGAAGGGATGTTGAAGGGATATGATACCCCAGTTGTGACGTTGAGTTTCCCGCTTTCCTTCGGTTGTCACTTATTTCTGCACCCGCCTATCCGCAGGAAGTGAAAGATTTGCTGTGGTCTTCACAAACGTGCGCACTGGCACAATACAACGACTTTGTTCCCAGCTGTCCTGCGCGATGCTTCGACTTTTTTGCTGAGTGCTCGTCAAGGGATCGACCAAGTGACCGTTAGGAAAGAAGTTAATAACACGTGTCTCGGCGAACAAGCCGCGACACCACGTCTCGATTCATCATTACCCTTCCGAGTGCGGATGCGCTTTACTACATACCTCAGTTCCATGCATGAGGGCTTGAGTCTAGCACCTCCCCATCACCCTTGATCACCGTTAGGCGCTCTGTTGATTATGTACACAACACGGCCGAGTCACTACACGTCTTGCACGGCCAAGGGGCGTATTACTCGTATATAAGTCTTTTCCAACAGACTCGCTTGACTTTCTCACATCGCTATCTACTTCACCTGCGCTCCCCATCGCAATACGCTCTTCGGTTTGATTGAGACACTGTCCTTGATTTGTTCCCACTCCTTACCATGACGCAGCCACAAGTCTTGATTGTGAGCTCATGTTTACGATGCTTCAAAGCGATACACCACTCACTCTCCTTGAATCTCTCCATGCAGATCGGTGCTGGTCCCACTGCATCGATTCTTGCGCTAACTCTAGCTCAGAACGATATCCCGGTCCGCATCATCGAGAAGCTCGAGAAACCGTCCGAAGCCCAGCGTGGTATCGGTGTGCAGGTGAGCTGAAGATCCAAAGGCGTTCGCAACTCGCCCTCCCTTTGTTCGGTTTTCCTTCTGTTTCCCTTTCCCTGATAGATGCTATCTCTAGGCCAGAAGCCTCGAGATATATAAGTTCTTAGGGGTTCTCGATGATGTTCTTGCAGACGCAAGGTCGCTACCGGGAGTCAAGCAATACGACGACGACGGGAGGCTGGTATCTACAAAGCCTGGGCGGGATTTCATGAATAGCAAGCTTACACCAGATAAACCCCTCGTACGTCGTCTTTCAAGTAGATTTAAACGAGCTGCAGTTCATGACATTAATTTGTTTAGGACGTAGGTCATGCGATCGGACAAGACCGGCTGTGCCGTATCTTCGCAAAACATGCCAGCAAGTTCAATATCAACGTTGAATACTCTTCAGAACTTGTCTCGTTGGAAGAACAGGAGGGCCATGTCACTGCGACTATCAGGAAAGGCGACCGCACCGAGACCGTCGACGCGGCTTTCGTCGTCGGTGCAGATGGGGGCAAAAGTACGTACCCTTCCTTCCACCCATCTCTCACCTCGTCTGAGTTTCATTTGGCGCGGTTAGGTACCGTACGCAAGTTGTTGGATCTGGAGTTCGTTGGGAAGACCGGCGGAGACGATCGTCGCATGGTCATCGGGGACATTCAGATGACCGGTAGCATCGACAAAGAGGTGGGTATCATCCCTCATTCACCTTCTCCCTCCATCTCATCTAACACTCTTCACATAGCACTGGTGTTTCTATGGAAGTCCACCAGGCGACATGTACGTCGCATCGCTCGTCTCAAGGCGTTCTATGCACCATAACTGAAACTCGCATCACACTTCAGGCTCTCGATCATAGCCACCAAACGTGCCTTTGAAGAAGACGTTTATCTCTTCTTCGCAACAGGTCCAGGGATTGACGTCGAAAGGGCTGTCGCAGATCGGGAATACCTACTCGATCTCATCCGCAAAAAGACCAGGATACCGGATCTGCAATTTGGTGAGATCAAGACATTGGCTACTTATAGGTCTGTATCTATCGTTTCCTCGTGGTCTCCATCATGTTCGCTTAACAAACCGTGGATGCTTGCAGGCCAAACAACTTCCGTGTGGTAGATACCTTCAGGAAGGGTCGAGTGTTCGTTGCCGGAGGTATATTGTCCCCTTATCGAACATCATAGTAATTACTGAGCTTTCATACTTCGGCCTGACAGATGCTGCTCACGTCCATAGCGCCACCGGAGTACAAGGACTTAACTCTGGGGTGATGGACTCGGTAAGTCTCTACTGAAAGACCTCGACGATCACGGGAATCAACTCATGATGAATGGTCACAGTTTAACCTTGCCTGGAAGCTAAGCCTCATCATGAAGGGTCTATCTCCTCCGTCGCTCCTGGATACATATACCGAAGAACGGCTCCCCGTCATTCAGGACATGCTCCGTCTCACAGAAGGCCTCCTAAAACAGTTGCACGACCCTAACCGGAAGGGTGGCATGATGGACCGACCGGCGATCATGAACCAACTCGGTGTGAATTATAGATCAAGCTCTATCCACGGGGGCGGCGGCTGCTTTTGGGAGCTTCGAAACCGAATACAAAACCGAATACCGTACGCTAAGTGCTAGTAACGGGTTGAGAGGTGGCGAAAGCCTTTGTATGTGGCCCACTGAATGCGGTACGGGTGTTTTTTGTTCAGCGAGAACAAAAGATTGTCTTTCGAGAGTACGAAACCGAAACACGTGACTCAGAATTACCATAGCAGGCAACGCCGAGATGCCCGATTCGGTTTAGTGACCACGAAACTTTTTCTTTCGTGCTCACGGCGCATTAACACACAGGATTGCATCCAGTGCCGTCTAAAGAAAACAAAGGGCGCACGCTGAAGCCATCCCGAAGCCTTTTGTCTCCGAATCCGGTTCTGGATTCTGTTTAGTTCCTTTCAAAAGCAGCCGCCTCCCCCGTGATCGTGCTGGACGAGTTTCAGGGAGCGGATGTGGCGAAGGAGACGGTGACTAGTGCGTATGAGTCGGATGGTGTCCTCCGAGCGGGGGCGCGTGCTCCCGAGGCGCCACAGCTTTTGGATCTCAAGGGGACTGCGAAGACACTCTCGCTTTTCGATATCTTTAAGCCATACATCCACACGGTCCTCATATGCTCCTCCGGCAGCGGCGACGACAGCCTCGCTGTCGCGAAATATCTCTGTGGCCTTCCGACAGGAACCATACGAACTGTCATGATTTTACCGAAAGGAAGTTCTACGCAGACGCATTCGGTGCACACCGATTTCATCTTGGGAGACACCGAAGGTCACGCTTTTCGTGCTTACGGTGCTGTAGAAGGCGAGGGTAGAGTTGTTGTGGTCCGGCCGGATGGGTACGTAGGAGCCATCGTGCGAAGTGTTGAAGGTGTTCGGAAATACTTCTCTATGATCTTCAACGCTTGATCACAAAGGATAATTCTTATATACCCCTTGTAAATATCTTAACTCGAACGCATGCGTTCAGGACAGACGTTATATCACATCCATCTCCACTCTCTCATCAGGACCCGGATTCCCCAGCAACCCAGATATAACCTGACGGGCCACATTACGACTCCTGTAAGCGTTGTCGGTCCTCTAAGTCCAAGTGCGCCCTTTGACTGAAAGTATGACCAAATATTACCCTGGGGGCGTCCATCACTGCTACGTCCTTCTTGATGCTTGACGGCTATGTTACGTGTAGCTGTGGCACATTATCAGTGCATGACAGTGGCATGTACGATGACCAGAAGAGAGGGTATAAGGCGCGCAGGAAACTGACCGCTTCTGTCCTCAATACCTCCGAGCCTTGTCACGGCGAAAAGAAGCTTCGAGGTCATGAAAGATATGTCGATGAGTGGTCCGAGTCCGAGACCGAGGAGACTACACCCGATAATATACGGATGCTCTAGAGCTTTGACAGAGGAAGGAGGGAACCATAAACACACAATTATGAATGCATAACCTAGTCCGGTAGTTATTGAAGTAGTGAGTTACAAAAAAGACGTACTGAACGTTTCGATAGAGCGGACTACGGCTCTACATGCAGCCTTCACTAAAGAAATGATTGCTAGCTCAGAGAAAGTGATGGAGAATACAAGCACGATATTGACACTTACGAGCTTTCCTTGCTTTGCTCATGGATATTGACTTCAAGGAGCTAATAACGCTTTCCTTAAGTCTCCGGGAGCCATCCCAATAGACATGAAGTAAGTTCTGAGCTCTTCGTGTACCTGCGTCTTGCACGGATTCGGCCACGGCCACCACTCGTCCTTTGTACTCATCCCATTTAATGCCAGCATCGCGAGCCTCTGCGTACGCTTTCGAAGCAGACTGCTTGGCATAATCTGCCAGCGAGCTCAGTCCATCCTTGGACCCTTCTACCCTGACCGTCTGAGTGTTCTCGTACGCCTTGGAAACCCTCTCCTTCACTGACTCTGTAACGGAACCTTGTTTTGTTTTGTATACGTCAAAAGAGTTCTGATCAAGAGAGGAGGGTCCGTGAATCGTGTATCCTGCGTCCGATGGAGGATTGCGAGACATATGATCCTCGTGCTAGATAGAAGTTTGAAGTTCGACGTTGAGGCTGATAACAAGTAACGTGTGAGGCCGTCGCAAAACAAAACGAAGAGGCAAATGCCGATGCCGAAATGCAGCTAAGGACACGTAAGGCTAGTTGCCACACTTGTGCCACACAGTTTGGCACAGCTCGCCATACATGCCCCCCCGCAGATCACATCCGTTCTCAAGCACGACCATTGATGCAAACAACCACCAGCTGCATTTTTCGTCACTATTTCTTCACTATTTCTAAGGTAAGAGGTCATCGCCTTCTCGCCGCCCACTCCTTGAACAATATCTTAACCCCCTACCACCCCATGCGCCCTAGACACACATTTACCATCGCCACCACTCCCGCCCCAGAATGAAAAACCCCCACATAAATAACATCAAACCTCCGACCGTCCATGTTGCGGTCCATGGTGCCATAAGCCTCTCGCGTTGCGCCTTCGAGGGCCAACCCTCCGGATTCCCCATCAAACGCTCGAGAAATGGACGACGAAGGTCAGAATAGGGGAGTCCACGATGGCCGTTTAGGTTTGCGTTTAAGCCCGCGTTTACGACCGCGGCGCGGCTTTGGGGCTTAAACGCACGCTTAAACTTGGCTTAAACGTCCGTTTAAACGCTATCGTGGACTCCCCTAATCAAACGCCACGATGATCGCCTCCGCTCTGACCTGGGCAAACGCACGGTTCCTGCGTGGACGAATGCGCCAAGCGACGCTGCCTGAAAAATGGGAGTGGTTGATGGATATGTCAGTGCCAACATAGCTTGAGGTGCGGTAAAGTGACTGTTTAGAGCAATGAAGAGACAAAGACCTCACCTGGTCTGAACGTCAGCGGGTGGCATCCTAAATGGTACATGAGGCCTTCCCATAGTGTCTTTGTGCAGAAGAGAACGGGCTCGAGACCAATCAAGACGATTATAATGGCGCTCAGGTAAGGATACTCCTCGGCTTCATCGAGAAGAGACATATATTAATATGTGTGTAAGTTGGACAAGTTATTTGATGGGACATACTGAAAGCGTGGACGAGACTGGGTACACGTAAGAGAAAGTCGAGCAAGTCAAAGAACGTAGGGGCTAAAGGCAAAGAAGAGGTCAAGGTAAGTATAGTGACGGAATAAAAACTATGTCGCACAAGGTACGTACTACATTCCTCCGCTAAGCATACATCGTCAAATAAGTGTGTGTTGTTGACTTTTGGAGAATTTTGAATAGCGGGCATGGACCAGTCCAACCTATGTCTTTGATGGGAAGCTGCAGAGGTGTTGTAAGGGGTCAGTCACAGGCGTATTACTGAGAGCAAGGCGGACGCACCGAGGGCACGCTCCCAGGGCTTGTGATCAGAACATAGAGTGTGAAGCCCTTCTTCGTGTTACCGTATGGCCAGAACACCTCTGCCGAGCTTAGCATCGATCTCATTGAAGTGTGTTGAACGCATTCAATGATCTGAGCACAAAACCGTGATCACTGTTGCATAGATCGCAGGACATGCGTGTGCTCCGACTGAAAACCCGAATACGACGGAATCGTGGAGCGCAGTACGGCTAAAACAAGCGGGCAGTTTGTTTCCATTTCCACGGACATACTCAAACAGTTTGCCAAATGAGTGATCAAGTTTCTCATGGTAGGCAGACGAGAACGCTATGCATCCTGTATCTTGCCCATGGGAATTGAGGTGCACTGGTCCACACTTAAAACACTGTCTCCACGAGCCTCTACAACAGGACACCAACTTCAAGCTGCGAATTTTACCACCATCCCCACTCCCTTCCCAGTACGTACCCTCCCCATATCTGGAATGCCACGCTAATAAACGTCGCAATAAAGTCACCGACGGACCTCTTCTCTTCATCTTCTTCAGCTTCGGGGTATCGTGTGCCGGCAGACTGTAAGTAGGCGAAGTAGGAATCTTCATCGATGTTGAGCCCAGTGGAGCCATAGTAACGGCGTTGATAATCCGACGCAAGGCTATCTGTGGCCCCGACCCATGTCGAAAGAGAGGAAACCAAAATTAGTATAAGTCGGATGTGACATGGAGAACACTGAGCATGCAGGCTAGATATAGTACAGCGGGGAAGTCAAAAGGTCGAAAGGAACGCACCGCGTCTAACGCCAGACTGTTCAAAGCCAAACATGTAGAGAAAAACTCCCCAGATCGTACGAACAAGGAACAGGAGAGGTCTTGCTCCGAATATGACGACCGGTATGCCTGTAAGGTATGGATGGTATATGGCTGAAATGGAACATGTGGTAATAAGCCATGCTTTTAGCGGAACCAGTAACAGGGTGCCACTGTAACGTACTGAAAACATTGATCTTGTCCGCTATCAGGTATACGGCGTTGATGAGCCCATCTGTGTATATCAGTAAGTGTACTGCTTGGTAGCACGCAACGAAAACGGACCTATGGTCTTTTGTGGGATGGGTGCCATTGTAACTCGATATTTGGTGGAAGTGAACGCAGAAAAGAGGATGAGAACGCTTGTGGGGGGAATGGGGGGAGGGCGAGAGGAGGAAGAGAACTAGTCCCACGAAGTTCCTATAGACTCGAGGTTATAAGCAGGCTTCCACGCCGGCGCTTGCAGCGTGGAAGCGTAGCGTAGCGCCACACTTATGATAAACCTTACAATGTATGTATGTACTCGGGCTTGTGTTCGTGCTGTCAAACTCACACGGAAAGATCGAGTAAGTTAGCTGTGTTACACTTGACTTCTTCGAGGCGATGCTCCGATACAAATATCTCAGAGCCAGGACGGTCACGTATGATGGGTGAAATCATCGACGTCTTTCCAGAAAAAAAACACGCGTCCGAACGGACACCTCGCGATTCCCGGAAAAACAAAAACCATCTTGATGGGGCTTCATTGAGCATGGCGAATATCCTAGTGGATAGTTTCCTCTGGATACAAGGATAATGAGTTGTCAGCGAAAGGACTAAGACAGTGATAAACTCAGTGAGAACCCGTATGCACCTTCTCACACCGATCCGACCTGGGTGTAAGACATTTGAACATGTCCCAACGCTTCCACTGCGACCCTCTGTCCAGCGACCTCACCGTCAAATTCGAACCTTCACCACCATCCCCATTCCCTACCCAGAACATAGATTCCCCACACCCTAAACATCACGCCCATAATCACGCGAACTACAAATTGCTTCACTGCTCCGTCTTCATTGATATTCGATGGATATTGCGCACCGGCGGCCTCCAGATAGGCGAAGTAAGAAGAATTTTCCTGGGTGTCGGAAACGGTAGCACCGTAATTGCGCTGTGATTGAGACATGAGGCCATCTGTATGCGAAAACCGTGTTCGTGAGCCAAGTTGAATGAGAGGAAGGTGTGGATGAATTGCGAGCCGGCTACAACTTAAATGGTATACAATCTACGGCAATAGGTGGGTGCGAATGCAGGATATAAGGGATTGAAAAGGCACGAACCGCGGTTGACCCTTGGCTTCTCGAACCCAAACAGATAGAGAAAGCTTCCCCAGATTACGAAAATCCCTTTGAGAAAGCAGAAGAGAAGAGGCTCCGCTCCGAAGTAGAGCAGTAATAGGCCCGTTGTGTATGGATAATCTATGGCTTGAACGAGTGCGAGAGCGAGATCAATGAAAGGCTGGGAATGGTTCGAGAGTTCTGCCGTGAAATGTCGGAGAGAAGACGTACTGAAGCAGTTGATAATCTCCGCTATGCGACGTTCTACGCTGGTCTTAGCAGCTATCGACACAGACGGGAATCAGCAAACTCCTCGACTGAAGGGAACAGGTTTAGCGCGACATACTTGATACCACGAACCAGGGAGGCATCGTGCTCACTTGAGGAGTTGCAAGGGTAATGGCAGGCGGATCGATGAGGACGCTGTCGCAGACCAACAGAGAGGGGGAAGCGGAATGAAATCTGTCTGATGTGAGTTCAGTTATAAGGAGACGCGGGTGAAGTTACTCGGTAGAGGGAATGGTAGGTACCGGCATACTTGCGCCGATAGCAGACGCAAAGACAAGTGATGATCATCTTCAGCTGATAAGTAGCTATTGAATGGAGCTATCATTCAGCGTCTAGTCGACACATATTTAATTGCTAGCGCCTGCTGAATGCAACTGCGCCGCTCGCAACTATATCCGTGAAGTGATTGGTACTTTCCACTCTTCTGTGGTTTCAGCCTCGTCCCGTTTATCTCCTTTGTATTACAGACGGATCTCGCATGCCATAGACGCCACGCGGAAAGGCAGACAACAATCCAAATCTCTCCACTGTCGGTCACTTTCACGCCCCACCACGAGCAGCAAACGATTGCGCCCACGAGGCCAAACTTCCTGCGGGACGGTTGAATGGGTACGAGAGTAAAAAGTCAGCACGGTATACGTAACACGCAAGGATTGAACGCGAACAGAAATAAGGATATTGGACTTGGGCGCGATGGTTGTACTCAAGAATAGAACAAACGTATGAAATGGAGTAACAAGGCATTGGCATACCTGCTCTAATCACACGCCTTCCCCAGCCAAGACAACTGAAAAACACCCTGAGGACGTACTTCAGGATTATCCAGATCACTTCCAGAAGGATGTTCAGGATGAAGACGATAACTTTGAAGATCACGGAGAATATGCTGGAGACAAGGGCACGAACTTGCGATATCAATAGGAGGAGGACAACCAGGACGAGGACGAGGAACATGAGGATAAGGCAGAGACTCTTTTTCGCTGTAGATAGACTCGACGATTAATTGCTTTGAAACAGGTGGATGTGGGTTTAAATATATGTACTGACCAAACGTCTTCACAGCGTCTGAAACATCCCCAGCTACGTAGTCCAGCGGAAACTATAAACATCGAAGTCAGACAACCTGAAAGGACAACAAATGACATACGGTGTTCACCCGCGAACGTCCACGTCCCGCTTGCCCTTTTGAGTGACTTATCCTTCCACGAACTCCAATCGCCAGAATGACAGGTAAAATCTTCATCGATCAGGTTCAAAACGAACAATATCGGAGTAAGGAATGCGCCAAATGTAGGATTGCATAGTATCGTCCTCAAAGGTAACTCTGTTGGGCTAATACTGGGCATCGAGACTGGCGTGATGATCTGTCTTTGTGTCTTCCAGTTGACAGTTCCGCGTATCGACGTGAATGAACAGGATGTTGAGGTGCTAGAGAGCGCGAAGGTTGGAAGAGCGTGAAGCGGGGAGAGGGAAGAGGGAAGAGAGGAAAATCGAGATGGTTCTCATCTGGACATAGTGCGGAGGGAAGTTGGAGGGAATTGCAGTCGCTAAAAATAGACAAAATTTCACAGCACTCGCCACAACAATTCTCTATCGCAAAATACGCACCTCAAAACGAGCAATCGAGACGGCCGTTTCTGGATTCCCAGATGGATCTGACAAGAACAAACACCCGTGGTTTGGCGCGAAATCATAAATTCAACGTCATCCACGTATGGGACTGGCAAGGCATCAGTACATATTCGTAGCGATGCAAGCGTTTGCATTCCCCGCCAGATTTTATTGAAATGAAGCTGTCATTGAGGAGCCTCGTCGACCCATCGTTCCACAGATTTCACTGGTAGCGAATACTCAATGAAACTGCCCCATTCGTGAGTGTATCCGCACAATGATGGATAGTGTCCGCTTCGTACATGCCATGTAACAGGCTTCTCTCCTTTGCGTATTCCAAGGAACCCCGCACGTCATGCACGCCACGCCGAAAGGCAGACCTCAGTCCAAACCCTCCTACCGTCGATCACTTTCTCACCCCGCCACGAGCGCCAAACGACTGTGCTCTCGAGAACGCGGATCCACCGGGAGTGACACCGCCGTAGTTTCTGGATTGATGGGCGGACGCAAGACTTCCTGCGTGACGGGTGGATAAGAGCGAGAAGGCGAAGTCAGCACAGTATGTGGCGCGCAAGGGTTGCAAGTCAACATAAATGAAGGAGATTGGATTCGGGCGCGATGGTTGTATTCGAGTATTGGTGCGACGTGGCGCAAAGGGTCGAACGACACAAGGATAGGATGGACGGACAGAGGAGACGTCGACGAATTGACATACCTCCTCTAATGCCACGCATTCCACAACCAAGACAGTTGAAGAAGCCCTTGAGGACGTACTTCATGACTGCCCAGATCCCTCTGAGAAGGTTGACCGGCAACCACAGGATGAAGACGACAAGTCTGTAGATTGCGGAGAATATACTGGCGATAAGGGCACGAAATGGCGGTGCCAAGAGGAGGACGACGACGAGGAACGTGATGCCGATGGCAAGGCCGTTTTCCTTCACTGCGGGTAGAACCGATAGTCAGTCACTATGAAATAAGTGGAGGTGGGTTTCAATGTATGTGCTGACCGAACGCCTCAACTGCCTTTAGCCAGTCTCCAGCTACGTGAACCAACGGAGACTCGGACGATCAATATCGAAGTCATACAGTCCGCAAAGGACAATAAAGAACATACCGTGTTCGCCTGCGAACGTCCACGCCCCGCTCAGCCACTTGAGTGCTTTATCCTTCCACAAACCCCAGTCGACGGAATCAACGCTGGAACCTTCATCGTTCACGTTGAAGACGGTCCAAACCGCACCAGGACCAACATTGCCTGATGTCCTGGAAAATGGCTCTGCTGGGGCAATAGAAGGGATCGAGACCGGCGCCATGATATGTATTAGTGTCTGCTGATAGATGCTTCGGCGTATCAGTGTGGATGAACAGGACGTTGAGAGGCTGGAGAGGGTGAAGAGTGGAAGAATGTGGGGTGAGGGAGAAGGGAAAGGAGGATCGAGATGGGCTCTTCTGTATATGATGCTGGGGAAGGGCAAACGCTAAAGTTGGAAAAGTTTCACGGCGCTTGCCACACGAATTCTCGATGAATACACATACCTCAAAATGAGCAATCGATAAGGTCGGAATAGTTGTATCTCCGATGCGTACAGTTATATAGCAAGAACAATCATTGTTTACCACCTAATCACGAATGCACGACCGGCCATGTATTGATTTGACAAGATATTGCAGGCGTGTAAGTTATTTCGCGACACAAGTCTTCTTGAACTTGACAGGCAATGGACCAGCATGTCGCGGGAGCTGAGAGCGAAGGGACGCCTAGCTTGAGCTTTCACCGGGGCTCAGCAGGAGTACATTGGCTCTACGCCACACATCAGTTGCGACACATAATATGAACAGTGCGACCGCTCGCCCACAAGAAATATAAACATCCACATCTTACTCTGTGAAGGACGTTGCGTCACCGTTGTATCACCTACCACGCAAGCACGATCAATATGCACGATTTTTCGCCACACCACCCAGCCAAATACACGATCGACCCCACACGCTCTCGACGACGAAACCGAATCTCTATTGAACCTCTCATCACCACGTGCTAGCCTGCTATTGGACAGTTACATCGCATCGCATCGTATCGTCCTGGTATGGTAGGGAAATGTTATATGCAGGGATCGGAACTCAAAGCGACGGTGAGTAAGGAGGAGTGCCGGAAGAGAGGAAGGTGGATGGAATAGAACGATGGGTGTAGAGTGAGGGGGGGTAGGACGAAAGACTAGTGCTCTTTGAGGGTGTAGCCCACGAGCGATCGACGACCGAGGATCTCGCCAATCTGGATTTAGAAGGAATGATAAGTCAGTAAACGGTCTATCGAGCGAGCTCAATTGGACAGGGTGGAAAGGGAAGACTGTAGTCATATGCATATGCGCACGCTACAGAGAACAAATCCGCTGCCGTCACGTTCATACCAGGAGTGGCTCCGCATTCGTGATGGCCCAGTGGTCGAACAGTCCCACATGTCGGCTATCCGCTCATGGTTTTACATCGTTCAAAGGTTCGTACCTCATGAACTCGCATGTATGACGAGTACTATACTGTTTGGTAGCTGCTGGGCCAGTATAGGTGGGAACGCCATCGGAAGAGCCAGATTTCTGCCGCCGTACGAGCTGAGCACAATACGTGCATTCTCCCCGCTTTCGTGAGTTCCGCGGGAGACCAATATAAAGAAAAAAAAAGTCCCTCCGGCCGTGACACTTCAGAATGGGTTTGAGGGCTTCTCTCAGTAACCCTACACTCTTCATATACCCCATCTTTGCGAGAAGCGGACATAAGTCATGTCTTAACCCAAATCCGACACCAGCAGATGGGAAGAGAGGTGGCAGCGATTATCTGGCAAATGTGTTCTACCCATGACATTGAGCTCTGCACGTTCACAACTGGTAGGCATCAGGACGAAGCGCAATCGAGCGAACTGGACCAACATTGACTGCCGAACAACCCGCCGATTGCATGGAGACCATCTCCCACTCCAATCCAGTGGAGCATTCGAACGCATACCAAACGAGAATTGAGAATTTAGGCGAGACAAGGACTCGAAAACGCACCTTATAAATCCCATACGCCTCAACCGCGTACACCCCAACCTTCGCCCAATCACCACTCTGGGCAAGTTGACGCCAGTAAGGCAGGCTGATCGCACGAGAGTAAAGCGTGGAATAAGCTGCGCGGACTTCTGCGATGGAAGGGGGCTGGAGACGTTCTGCTTGGTAGACGTGTTTGAGGATCTCGCGGGCGACGGAGAGGTTGTAGGTGACTGGTTGGCGGTAAGCTGGCGGTTTTGGTTAGCAGAAGTCAATACATGGTTCATAATCACGGATTAGAAGACAATGAATGATAATAAAAGAATAGAAAAAGAAACAGAAGGTGACGAGGAACCGAAGCAAAGGAAAACGGGAACGCACAACCAAGCATCGACGCCGCCTTCTCTCCTGCAGGACCCATATAACCCTTCGCGCTCTCAAGCACCTTCTCAGCCGTCTTCTGCGCATTCGCGAGGGCTTCCTGCGCCTTTTTCTGTGCGGCCTCGGTCTGCTCGCTGATGTTCGACGCGAACCGTTTTCCGGTCGGTGCGCGGGCCTGACGTGCGACGCGGAGAGTATTCGAGAAGACCGTACGCATGGCTGATTTATTATATGTTTTTGTCGGAGAGGATGGGTGGAAGGAAGAGAAGGAAGGGCGTCGGCGTCGGCGAAGACGATGAGCGGAACGGATGATAAGGTGGAGAGCGACGACAGCGACGACGAGGAGGAAACGGAGCCCCGGATTTGCCCGAGAGGACGCGTGGCACACGTGGGACGATTGGATGTGGCGAGATGGCTCTGGAAGGAAGATCTAGATCTATTTTAATTCACGGAACGATCTTATCATCTCGCCACACCTCCTTTTATATACTGTACCGACAGTGCCGCTGGACGGAACACCACCTCCTCTTCCTCTCCGTCTCTCCTGTTCTCTCCTCGTTTGCTCGAGTCTTACGCTTGCTTCGTTGCACATCCTACTACACGACTGAAAGAAAAAAATGTCTGAGGCTGGGTTTTTGTCTGCTGCTCGTTACGGAAAGGATAAGGTGCGCGTGCTCAGGGTGGTCAGAGAACCAGAGTCCAAGGTGCACCATATCGTCGAGTACAATGTCACCGTTCTCCTCGAGGGTGATATCGAGACTAGGTAGGAATGTCTCAGAACGCTTAGACTTGCGTCGCGGCTAACGAAGATGCAGCTACACCCAAGCGGACAACAAGGTTGTCGTCGCCACAGACTCTAGTACGTTTTCGCCGATCTTGCCCTCTTCCGATGTGACCAATTTTGCCCGTTCGACGCACAGTGAAGAATATTACATACTGTACGTACTTTGCTGTCTTTCACCATAGCTTTTGACCCCCGCCTGTTTACTAACCATCCTCCTACAGACCTCGCGAAGATCTCCCCTCACATTCTCTCTCCTACCCGATTCGCCCTCCACCTGGCCACTCACCTCGTCTCCAAATATCCCCACATCCACAAATCTTTCGTCACCGTCGACCAACTCCGCTGGACCCGGATCGTCACCTCATCCAAAGAGGGCGTCGCTGACCTCGAGGGTGGACACACGCATGCGTTCTGGAGGGATGGGGACGAGAAGAAGTTTGCGAAGGTTGAGGTGGCGGAGAAGGAGGGGAAGGCGAAGTTGAGTGCGAAGGTTGAGGGTGGGTTGAGGGACTTGCTGGGTGCGTCTGTTCCTTGTCCGCCTGATTCTTGGAGAATGTCTCACTGACATGGTGTGGCCGTGTAGTCCTTAAATCCACCGGCTCTGCTTTCGAAGACTTCGTCCGTGACGAATACACGACTCTCGTCGAAGTCAAAGACCGTATTCTCAGCACGTCCATTGATCTCACCTACGCATTCGTGCCGTTCACGATCACGGCGCCGACCGATGAGAAGAAGTTGGAGTTTGGCGAGGCAAACTGTTGTGTGGCTTCCAAGGTTTGTCTAACCTCTGATTCTTCCCTTCAGTCGTTCCATTGTGTAGATGCTGATATCGTCGTACAGGAGGGTGGTGCGTGGGATGCGGACAAGGTCGCGAAGATAAGCAGGGATATTACTCTCGATGTGTTCGCTCATGATGAGAGCGCTTCCGTTCAGGTTAGTCTTTCAATCTTCAAACCAGTTTTCTCGTGTCTTCGTCCCATTCTTTCCCCTTGTCTTCATCCTTCCTTCACACACGTTTGCATCAACCTTGACTAGTCTGTCAACGCATCCGTACCTGTATACCTATCTCGTCGAACGCCGTACTGACCATACTTCTAGGCCACCCTCTACAAAATCGCTCAAACCATCCTCGCGCCCGCCTCTGATCCGTCAAAGCGCGTCAGCGACGTCCGCATCGCGCTGCCCAATAAGCACTACATCCCTGTGAACATGTCGTATATCGGAGTGGACAACATGACGCCGTATGTATACCTTATCGTGTTTTACTCTGTTCCCACTCTGTCCACCGTTTCGTTTCGTTCGTGGTTGCTGTGTTCATTCGACGGAGTGTCTCGTTCGCGCAGATAGGAGAAATATTTACGTGGCGGAATATGCCTGCCGCATCGTCTCTGCACTCACTTGGTCCTTTCTTGTTGTCACCGGTTTACTTACGCATGGGCCCTTTTTCTTTGTCTTAGAAATGTCGCCGAAGTGTTCCAGCCCGTCGATGCTCCTAGGTATGCCCCCGTCTGTCCCTCGTGTACGACGTTTTGGTGCTAACGCCTACTGTTATCATAGCGGCCTCATCACTGCCACCATCTCCCGGACATAATCTGGTCTTGGCCCCCAAGTTAGTTCGTGCTCAGGTAGGTCAGAAATGCAGTTCGATATCGCGGGAACGAAGGTGTGGTTTGTGAGGTCTGCGGCATGGTCGAGGCAGAGATGACACGGAAAGAGCAAAAGAAAATGGAATCGTCGTCTGTATGTAAATCTTTCAATGTTCAATATACAATCTATCAGGAGCCTCGTTCAAAAACCTCGTTCAAAGTTGAAGCTCAAGTGGACGGTCGGATAACTAATAAATAGGAGTCTAAGAGCATTTGATGGAGGCTCAAGGCGCACGCTTGAGATGCCGAGCGAGTTATCGAGCTGTTTTTCGGCATCTCTTTGGAAAACGCTCTTGAGCTCCCATCAAACGCTCTTCGAAAGTTATCCAACAGTCAAAGTTGAGATCGAGGACATCATCAAACGAAAGAGGATATACTTCGGACTATGAGCGAAGAGTCCTGCAGCGATTAAATGTCAGTAATGGATGGATGTGTCTGTTTGTCCTGAGACCTTCCTCTACCAATATCGCGGAAGAGACTTGCGAGCAAGTACTGGCCCAATGGCCGCTTTCGGTCTCTACTTTGTCTTTCTTGTGAAGTCTATACTGGGAGATGGCGACTCATGAACGTTCCCAAAGCCATTTTCGAACAACGAACTTGAGCTCGCCATTCCGGGCTCCTATATTTAATTCTACATCTGGATTTAGAGGGTGTCTTTATCGCCGTCGCCTTCGACGACCAATACCCTTGACCGTGGTACATAGCACGAAGCCATATCGTCCCTCAAGCCTTTGTTCCCGAAACACTTGGTGAAAAGGCTAAAGCCCCCTTATAACGCTGATCGTCATTCCGCCTGCTTCGTAGATCAAGGTTCCTGGCAGGTTGATGCTGGAATATCATGAATTTCATTTATGAGGTATTTTCTTGCGCACGAAGATGGCGCATGGAATCGGAACTCCGACATCCACAAAATTTTGTCCGTGTTGACAACGCTGTCAATGGACAATATGGCTTCTAGTTTGGTGACCGCACCAGCAATATAAAGCAGCCTGTAAATCCACCACCGCACTGAAGTCCCGAATCCTATCTACTTACACAACCATCTACCGACCTTCCGACCTTCACAAGCCGTCGGAATGAAAATATCTAAAATTTATATCGTCGCTTTTATTTTCACGCTCGCAACTGTCTTCACGACTGTCTCCGCCAGCTCTGTCCCTGCTCTGGTCGGAACTATTGTTGAAGAGGTGGTGAGTATCATTTACCTCGTTTGAGATGCCTCGCATTGACTCACCGCCGGCTCTACGCGACCGTAGATCGAACGTGAGATTGAGTGTCCAAGAATGTTGTGCAAGAAGGGTACACCGGAGGCCTAATCATCAGGAGTGCGTCGTGATATAAATGTGGGCTCTGCACCCTAAGATCAGTTCTGATTGGGACTCATGGCATGGTTCCAAAAGGCGGGCCTATTTTTAGTCGACCAGGGGAGGGGATCTCAAGTAGAAATTAGATTTACAGACTGGGCGAGATATTAATTAGAGATGATATTATTGTTCGTTCGGAATCTAGTTCGTTCTCGACGAAAACTCGATGTGACGAGAGGATTTTACACTCTCCTCACAGCGGTACGAGTATCGAACGGTATGGCCTCAGGATTGCCTCAGGATCTGAGACGCTTGGAGTGTTATCCACAAGAGTACATAAGCTGGAAAAGCTGTGATACCGTCCCGGATAAATCTCTGAGTCCAGCGCGAACTTGAAGACAGGAAGTCGAGTCGTAAAAGTTGTAAGACTCTGACAACTGGTACTGAGCATTATTAACAGCAAGAGGTATGTTGTAATTATCTACTGTAGACGCCCACAAGAAGGCCGTAAATCAAACCAGCTGTGAAGGCCTTCAAGAAGCAAAGTTGGCCATGGTTGGCCAAGACTTGGCTAAGACCAGAAATTTAAAAAGAGATGCCTCTTCCCGGCGCTCCCGGGCCGCAAAGCTATTGGCTTCCGGTGCATTTCCAATTTGCCCTCTACCAAACACCTTTGACCAACGTTTACATCAAGTCTTGCTTGCAAAATAAACCGTCATTTAGAACTCCTATGCACATCTAATATGTTGCCTTCTCCGAATACTGCTTCCAAACGTCGCGACTCGAGAGCATTCCATGCCCAACATCCCACACGCTCCTTCGACCTTTCACTAGCCAACCTTCGCCGCCCCGCACGCATAACGAACCTAGGATTCTTCCTCCTCTCATCTACTCTCGCACTCTCGTTAACAATTCACATATTTCATTCATTCTTTCCGAATCATACGTACTGTCCACTCGAGCGCTTCGCCGAGCCGTGGTCGACCCTCCGGGAGAATGTCCCGAAAAGCATAGCAGCTACGTTACCGAGGTTGGGATATGAGCATGGGAGGTCGGGCGGGGGATTGAAGCATTTGGTCATGGTTCCGGGACATGGGATATGGGAGGGATCGAGGGAGGAAGACGTGTTGGATGAGAGGCGGTGGGTGCTGAAAGAGTATCAGCGCGGCAGGGGAAGGGTCGAGGTATTGGTGGAGCATATCAGGAAAGGGTGCGCAATTTGTAGTATATCTCGTATTTAAATCTTGAATAATCGGATGCCAGTGCTCATATAGCTCTCGATGACCCTGCGGCGTTACTCGTGTTCAGTGGGTGCGTCCGTACTATATATTTTGAGACTCTGATTTCTTACTTTGGTACTCCCGCATACTACTACAGTGGCCAGACATCGCCATTCAGCACAACATCCGAGGCCGAATCATACCATCGACTCGCACACGTTTCCGGACTGATCCCTTCGTCGTCGACGGACGAGAAGGCAGTCTTCACTCGCGCCACAACAGAACCGTTCGCGCTGGACTCATATCAGAACTTGTTATTCTCTATTGCAAGGTTCAAAGAGTATACAGGTGAGCATCTAAAATTTATACCTCGTTTCCCTCACGCGTTTCTTTCTATGTCTCCTGAGACGAGAGCGAGAGAGAGGGCTTCACTGAAGCTGTTCGCTGAGTGTGGCACCGTCGTGATACCGTGTCGCCACATCTATGTTCGCAGCGCTGCAGCCAATCATAGCCCGCCCTCGGCCCTCGGCCCTCCGTGCATCTTTCTCGACTTCATCCGCTCCAATACTTACATGTATACATTGCTTTTACGTCGCTGCAGGTTCCTATCCATCCAAAATCACCGTTGTAGGCTACGAGTTCAAACGCCGCCGTTTCGAACAACTCCACCGTGCCGCCCTCCGATATGCTTCTCCTCCCTCTTCAAACCCGCACCGACTACATCCGCCGTCGCCGCCACCGCAGCGAGGCCGTGTTAGCGTCGCGAAGGATGATGGTAGAAATGTGAATTTAATCGCGAATGACCGGGTGGACAAGGGCGATGGTGCGCGAGGTAATGGGATGACGGATGTGGAGTTCGAATATGTGGGCTTAGGACTGGGGCCTGGTAGGGAAGAGGAGGAGGTTGAGGCGAAAAAGGGTGAAGTAGGTCGCCTACTCTCCCACACCTGTCTTCCCATTTCTACCGCCCACTATCGAAACATCATACTAACAACCTACGTCTCGCCCTCGGCTCATCCCTCTGCACCTCCTTCTTCTCGCCCTCGTACCCTCCCGCGTTTTCCTCCCATGTCATCATAGCTGGCAAATTCCTTCCTACCCTACCTCTCCGATCCATACGGATGTCACCCCCCGCTATCTACCAAACGCCTCCAACGTAATCCATGGTCCCGAATCCACGCCTACCACCTCTCCGCCCCCGAACTGGCGGACCTGTTCGAGTGGTGTCCCACGCTCAGTGGTCACGATCCTGACGTCGTGATGGGCGATCTGGAGCAGAAGGGTGACGTGGAGGAGATGTGGAGGTATGAGGGGAAGGTTTTTGGTGGGAGGCTGCCTTGGGTGTAGGGCGTTGGATGTGGGATGTGGAGGGTAGGTCGTGAGTGACGGAAGCTGTGTGGCGTGGTTTGGTGGAGGTTAATTTATTCGGGTTTTTGGACGGACAGCTTCGATAGAATGCATCGTTTCCGTGTTTAGAGATTCATGCAGTTGGATGAGTTAGTGGACTCGCAGTTTTCGTCCTCGCCCTCGTGCGTTCCGTGATGTCTTGGAGCTGTCTTTACATCTACTGGTGCATTGAAAGAACCGTCAAGGCCCAGACTGTTTACAGAGAGTCTACAAAAAATGTCGCTACTACTATGGTTCAGGCCAGGAATAATTGGACATCACCTTCGCGCAAGGGTATAAACGATCGCAGGCTATGTACAATTCAGCCAGAGACGGTGGAAACGAAAGTGAAGTGTTCGTTTGCTCTGAGTACGGGGATTTTCTCTAACGAAACTCTGGTCAACGTGGTAGGTATCCTGTCAAGGTTCAATAATAATCTCCCATACACCACTTTCACCACGATCGCTCAACCTTTCTTCTTTGATGTCGATCTCCAAAGGATGCCCATAGTTGTCGTAGTAGAGCACAGGCCTCGAACTGAACGTCGATGAGAGAGTTCGGTGCTTTGTAGACTTGTCGAAGGGATCGGGTGAATGGAGATCAGCCATCGTAATCTCTTCGGGGTGGTCATCGGAATTGGGATATGATGACTGCGTGGCACGTATGTGTAGTAGGAAGCGGTTGAGCGTGAGCATGGCCATCGCCCAAACAAACCTGAACATACGAGGATATGAGTGAATACGATGACCGGAGTAGACGGGGACAGTGAGATTGAACGGCAGACGAGAAGTAATACTTACGCAGCAATAGTTGTGGATTGCGAAGGATCGCCGAACGCGGTGAAGGTGAAGTTGAGTAACTCGAGGAGGAACAGCATCTGTGCGAAGTCGTAAATATCATAGGTGAGTATATAGGACACATGTAGGATGGTGTGTAATATCGTCAAATCTCACCAGAAAGAACATTATGCCGTCTCGGTGCAGAGTGTGTGTGAGTGCGACATCTGTTGTGCGGGGTCTCGAGAGGGCACCGTAGATAGTCAAACACAGAATTATGATTCCGAAGGGAAGCTACACGTGTATCGTTGTCGGTGCGTTGCTAAGATAAGGAGGAACAAATTATTCGGTACGCACAGGGGCAGCCCAGACAGCTAACAGAACAGGGGATCCTTTTGTCGACGTACATTTCCCTAGCGATGCAGACCATTCACTTTTTGCTGGAAAATATGGTCTTATTAGTGAAAACTCCAAGGTACGGGAAAGAATTTTCTCACTGGTGGCGACGGTGACGATCACAAGGATAAGTTCTGTCAGTAGGGTGATCGCAAATGAAACGATGAGAGTGTTCATGATTTTCTGTGTAATGAGGTCAATCGACAAAGGCTCGCAGCAAAATTGGGATGTACTCGCTCGATGTCTATCCCAAAGTACGACAACTCGCAAAACAACGAGAAGGTGTCCCATTGCTGTGGAATACACCGCCAAAATGAATGTGATGCTCATGAGACCGTAGCATCTGCGTGTAAGATTTGAGGTCGTAGTCACTACAGAGGAAAGACGGATAGTCCGTACGCCTGTCATTCATTGTCAAGATCTAGTCATGAGACACGGATACTATGGTACATACGGAATTGGACGAGGCAGAACTTCCGGACGCATTTGATACTGGAAGAATGCGGCGAAAACACAGAACAAGTTCAGCACAACTTAAATAATGAGGCAGCTGAGGCGTACGGTATGCATCAACCAAAAGGCATACGATGGCCAGATACTTGTTGAGCAAGAAGCCGTTCCTACTGAACGAAGAAGGTGCTTTCCACACAAATGCAACTTCTGCGGGGAGCAGCAGGGCGTGATCGTAGAGCATGAGCACCAGGCCGACGACTGTTAAATAATATGGATGGTTAGTCAGATTGTAATGACGAGATGCAAGTAGGTGTTCCGTCTTTTGATACGTACTCTTTAGATAGCGCGCTACGATAGAAATCTGAAGTGGTCCATCCTGAAGACCCATCAGTTGAAAGAGATCAACTCAAATATAATATAAAATGAGGCAAAGTCCAGCAAGCCGACTGAAGAAGGGGAAAAGGTCCTGAGGAAAAGGTCCTGAGGAAAACGTTCGAGGGCGGGCTGTGCCCGAGACGCGTCGATGGCCATATATACTCATCGAAATGTTATTCATTGTTCCAAAAATGTGTTGCTAGAGGCTCGGATTGTGCGGATATGTAGACGCAATTTCTGACTGTGGTTCTTCTTATCAGATCTTCTATGCTAGAGTTTCCATGGCATCACCTCATTTTCAGTTCTCATCAACGGCATCCTGTTTTCATGTATATGCATCCTCCACGGGTGAGACGAGTCACGAAAGGCTTGATTTGATGAATCCTCGTTCTCGTCATGTCAATGAATTAGCCATACTAGGACCACACGAACGAGCACTATTTCGCGTTTCGCGATGGGGAACCTTCAAGCTTCAGAAAAATGATGATCATCTCCTGAAGTGCCTGAGAGTCAAGTACATCATACCTTGATCTGTTTGAAGAGTACTCCCGAGAGCGCCATGAGTGTTCCAAATTGAAGACGTAGACGCGTCGAAGGCGGGAGTACGTAGGAGTACGTCTCGTTCTGTGGAGGTCCGAAAAAATAGAAGCGCTGACCGTGTAAGAAATGATGGCCTCACGGAGAAGGAGCAAGGGCGCGTGTCTGAAAAAAGACGAGCCAGAGTCTGATATGGCTTGGCTGGAAGAGCAATGTCCGAAATGGCCGAGATACCTCCAGAAAAATTGCTCCAATCATCGCATGTCTATGAGTCGTTGCCTGCGTGGGACCATACGTGCATGCGTGTCTCTTCAATGATAGACGTTCTGGTCGAAATATGTATATGTCACGAAGGTAAGACCTGGAGATGCAGTCTACGAGGAGGTAAACATTGCAGAAGCTCGTAGCATAGCAGGCTGATAAATTCATATACCCTCCGGATTCAGAAAGTGGTGGGTAGCCGACTAGAAATGACTGTAGGTCTCTACACGTATGATGCAGTGGGTTCGGAAGGGCTAAATGAGATGCTGGGATATAAAGGGTACTTTCCCAGCCTGGTGGAATAACGGGATTGTATCACGACATAAGGCCCCCGAGGAAGATGTATCAGTGCGATATTTGACGAGAGATCAAAGCAATAGATACACCCGCTGCCACGTACCACTAGGGAATCGTACGCATCCGTCTTACCGCTTTTTGATTGAGAACCTATGGAGCAAACGTATGTTAGGTGTGCGATAACTATTCTGTTTATAAGACAAGACCAGAATGACCTACGCACGCATTGGACCTCCATTTATCCTTGCCCTTGCTCGACTCATATCCATAACGTTGAAATGGACCCTCCACAAGTTCTCGGATCCTATGCACCCATCCACCATCCCAATTCGCCCATTTCATCTCCGTATCATCCTCTCTCAGTACCACTCGTACTTTCTTCCTCTTCTCCGCGTGTCGTTTACCGTCGCCTGCCCCAATTTCATCGTCACTGCCGCTCGAACGATCCGATGCTGTGATACTCCGACTCGCCGATGACCTCTCGTCCGCTTGGTCGTTGTCTGTCTCGTGATCCTTGCGCAAAGCCTCAGCAGATGTCGAGTCGAGTACCCTACAAAACAGCCTCGTCATACTATCACATACGGCTTCTTCTAAGACCTTCTTCATCTTCCGCTTGACGATCGCTACAGCAATGAACTTGAACGTTCTTCTAAGAACGCTCTTCCCTCTTGCACGAATGAATGAGGTATGGGGATGTGGTTTGTTTGTGTTCGTTAGGTTAGCTTCAAGGAGGATCGGTCCGGGCGGGGGGAGATCTCGCAATGCAAGCTTCACGTCAGGGATTGAGACATGTACGTCCTTGACGGAGAACTTCGTTCGCGAATCGGTGGCTCTGCGGTTGAAAACAACGTGGGCCATGATCTGTCATGAAGCAGCGATAGAAATCGCGCTGAGTCTTCGCTACGAGAATCTGATGAAAAGGGAGATGGATCGAAACTCACCGTGATTCCTTCATCATCAACCGCCAGATCCACTAAGCTTTCCTCAATGACTCTGTTTCTGACTTCCTTCGGAATGGGCAGTGTAATGACTTTCTCCTTCCGCTTCTTCCGCATGAACACTCCGACATTCTTGACATCAATATTGATCCCTTCTAATGTAACCTTGAACTCATGCTTGCGTTCGTCGTAGTGAGTATATCGGTGTGTCGGCTGTGAGGACGTCGAGGAGTGCTCCGGCGCTGTAGACCAGGGTGACAAGGAGAGAGAGTTGTGAGCTTCGATGGCGACGGAGCGAGGAAGGAGTGCGTCTGTTTTGAGTAGTATGTTCTCCAGTACGAGGTCGAAAGTCTGCGTCGAAAGCTCTACTCGTGGAATTAGAACTGCATCTACCTGTACCAGCAATAGATTCATGAGTATTAGGGTTCGACCGCGCCAATGCATGGGACGAAACGCACCTGTGCAACGAGAATCGGAACGATTGCCTTAACCACTCCCGCCCACATCTGCCTCTTGAACGTCAACTCCGCGCCCTGCCCAGTTTCCTCATCGCCACCCGAATAGAATATATCCTTCCATATCGTCCTCCAAGCCTCCCAAAGCCTATCATTCACCTCATCCTCTATAAATCCCGCTATCCAATCCACTACCCCCTTCCTGAGTGCTGAAAACTGCTGGAAATACCGATCGCCGTAAAACTTGAACCCGACCTCCCGTACACGGTGTCCATCTTCTTTTGCTTCGGTACTCATGGCCGCGCCACTAGACTTTGCGCTTGGTACTCCGGGGGACAGAGAATTTGTATCGTCTGAGGGTCGAAGGAGGTAACCCGGTTGAAGTAAGAGTTTGCGTATGTAGGGGAATAGATCTTGCGAGAACCACGTCCAGAAGTCGTTATCACCGTGCGCTTCGATAAAAAGGGTGTCAATGGCAATGAAGATAGGACCGATGCGTTTGCCGGAAGCAATACGTTCGCAGAAGGTAGTTAAATTCAAGAGGACTTCTTGGAGAGCTGGGTCCTGCCAATGTGCATGCCACCGCCACACAGGTGAGTTTGCCGCTTAGATTTGACAAATATATGTGAAAGAGCGTACCGAAGTCAGATTGTGCTCCCCAAAGCCTGTTTCTAAGGCATCTGCATTTACCTCAGCGGACCCTGGAGCTCGTAGGCCGTTTCGTGCGTAATCGTCGATGCGATCGAGGCAGTACCCCATGCTTTCCTGATATTCCTTGATATTCTGGCATTCTGCGAGCACCTGGCAGGGCCGAAGTGGTTAAAGAAACAGTTGGCCCACGAGTCAGTTGATAGATATAAAAGAAGAGTATAGATTGATACATAAGATGACATTGACCTTCTTCACCCGATGAGTGAGCTCCTCTCCGCGTGCTTCGGGGACCTTATCCGTTCGTGGCTTCGCCGTACCCGACCTAGAGTGAGCGGAGGTACGATAATGTTTTCTACTGTCGTCGTTAGTGTGCCTTGGAACGCGTTCGTGCATCTCGTGCTGAGCCAAGCGTATCAGAAGAGGAACGTAAGATATGAGAAAGTTTGGACTGACTTGCATCGTCTTGAGGCCCTCATCGACTTTCCTACGCTTCTCAGCGAAATCGATATCTTTTCGTGCGAGCTCTCTGGAATCATCGAGTGTATGTGCATATAGTCATCAGCGAAGATTACGAGAAAATAGGCGTGAGCTAGGAATTTACCGCTTGATGTCCACACCCCTTGCCTTCTTTTTCGCCCCACCCACTCCGAGTACATCCGCACTAGTGATTCTTCTCTCCATCAAGATCCTTCTCCTCCCTTCGTTCTCCCTCATGCGCTGGGCTGCATCTCCGTTGCCTCGTCCTTGAGTATCCCAGCCCGCGCCATGCTCATCGATAACAGCCATCTCGTATGGCTTGGGACGAATTGCATCAGCTTCGTGCTGGATGACGTTGGCAAGCATCTCGCGGGCGAGGTACCGAATGTCGAGGAGGAGCTTACGAGCTTCTGCGTTCGTGGTGAGGATGTTGAGAACAGTTCGGGCATGGGCCATGGCTGTGTATTGAGAACCGAACACCACGCGACCATCAGCACTCTTGTTTCGAAAGCGAAGGAAGGAGTATACACCAAGGTCAGCAACGTACTTTCTTTGCTCCTGTTCTCCCCCGCACCCGCACTTTCGCCACCCTTCTTCGGTAGGTTGAGAGATGAAAACTGGGAGAGGAGATCTTGGATGAGATCATCATGATTCTTGTCAGTGAGCCATGCTTTCTGCGATGCAAGGAGTTCGTGTATGGAAGAAACGAGGCGGGCGAGGTCCTTCTCGCCTGACATAGGTGTACTATTCGAAGACGAAGCGCCTGACGTGATCGGAAGGAGGTATGCAAGACGGTCGATGATAGCAATAATTTGGTCGTTTGAGGGGTATTTCCCGGAGAAGACGGATTCAAGTGCTGCAAAAAGGTGCAGCTGTCAAGAAAGAAAAGATATCAGTACGTGCCGACAGCTAACATCAAGAGAATAGACGGAACGGTCACAACCGTAAGCGCTATACTATACGGCAACTCCTACGCCTTCTCCATCGTAGATTCCGCCACAAATGCGTCCACCCCCAAACTCGACTCATCCAAACCGACTGTCAGCGTTAGCGGTGGCCCAAATCCCACGGCAGTGTTCGCGACGACGTTCCCGGCCAGTGCGAGTAGTGCGCTGGGTACTTACGTGATAGGGACGGGCGTGGTGGGGATGGCGGGCTTGGCGGTGGTGAGCATGATGGGCGGAGATTGGGCGATGTTGTGAGGAGACATCTGAGATGCATAGCGCTGGATAGATGGACGGGTAGACGTCGGTGTATCAGACAAATGGGTACGAGAGGTGAGCGGACGGCTCTTTTGTGGTTATGGGACACTGGAGACGACACGATAAGGCCTTGCATATGTTCACGAGATCCTTGTTATACGTTCGTTTGGCCATTGTCACCTCCCTCGTTTACACATTAATATCTCCTTTCGCTGGGATTCTCGTTCGTGCATCGTTGTCACTGGCCGTGTTGTTATGGGCTGTACCATCCTTCCGAGTCCTTTTTGTCCCTTTCTATCTCTCCACATAAGCCTCTTTCAGAGTTGGGGTCGAAACAGTGTTGAAACACTCTTTCGACGGTCGTTGAACGTATCCGAGTCTTGGCGGTCGAAACACTCCTTTGTGAGCCAATCAGGAGAGATGCCGAATGAATACTCTCTCTCGGCCATCAGAGTTTTCGACGCCAAGAGTCGAGAACCCGCTCAACGACTGTTGAAAGAGTGTTTAAACACTCTTTGCTCATGTCTCGAAATCGAACTCTGAACGAGGCTATAGTTTACATACCTCAGCATAACAATTTGCATGGACTATTTCCTCGTCGTCAGCTCTGTCTCGTGCCAGTCCTCTCGAAGTGCGCAAATGTGGCTGTACTGTTCCACCCCTCGATGACATCGATAGTCAATTATTGATGGTTGATACGGCGAGGGGAAACATAATAAACCTCCGACAGCATATGCGAATTCAATGAGCACCGGCACCAGGGTTGGGACTCGTAGCTCCTATAGTACTATTGGGCGCCACAGTTTTTGCCATACGCCACTCTCGGATCTCGCCGAGAGTTTCCGGGTTTCTGCGATTGCGGTCGAGGATTTTTCCCCAACATTGCCTCCAACCTCGACCGCGAACTGCCCTCCAACAACTATGACTAGTACTGCCCTCCTTCGTCCAACAGCCTGGTGTTCTCTCTTTTCAGCCATCTCAATTTCACAGTGCGATAACCCCAATCTGCACATACGGACCTACCAAGTCTCTCGACTGAGCCGCTATGACGGCGTTCCCTCCTGCGATTGTCCAGTGATCCTCTCGTCCTTCTCTGATCTTGTTCTGCCCGCTCGAATGATGTTGTCTCTGCATACTCAGATGGCGTGCTCGCCATCGCAGTCGACATGAGACAAGGAGAACTCAATGGGGATGTGTCCTGCATGTCTCCTGCATGCCGAATCCCCATCACGGGAGTACCATTCATGGGCAGAGGCGTCTCTACTCGATTCAGAGTTGAATGTGGAGCCCCTGCTAGTGGACGCGTTTTCTGTTTTTGTGATACGTGCATTTCTTGCATTTCTTATAGTCGCAAAACTCGCGTTCGAGAAGTGGGGGACATTGCTGGACAAGTGCGTGTTATCCGGGTTACATGTGATCTCTTCGGTGTTTGGACGGTGTACTTCCAGTGGACTTTGACCAGACGAACACGCTCAAATGTCTATATACGCCAATGTGTTCCATCGCTGGGGGACACCGTAGCGTCCTACAATGATTTTGTCGCGCAATGAAATGACACCGTCGGCTTCGTCATAACCGCGGGTTTCCCCCCTAATATACGCGCATATAATCTCTCAGCGACATTTGGGTCATCCTTATCGTTCACAGGTAATCTACCGTTCTTTGGAACTCGAAGAACAACAACACAGTAGACTAGCGCCTTCGTCTGACGTGTACTGCTCCCCTGCTGTACTGTGATAAGCCTCTTCGAAGGCCAGCGTGGCGTTGAGCTCCGATGGTACAAAGTATGGTGAGGCCTCCTTCATGAACTTTGAATGTTGATAGGAAAGGTTGCGTCGAATGAAGCATCCCATGATACTAAGCTAAATGGATCCGTAGGAGCGCAGTGCATCTCCACGAAAAACGTTGACCGATTCTTTGAGGACCTCATTATTGGTCAGTTGTGCCTCGAAGAGACGATAGCGAAGATTTATATGGCGGAACGAGGGTTTCGGGAGAGGCTTTGACCTCCCTTATTGTAATCACTAACCGCAGGGATAGATATCCCTGTCAGCCTCTGGTCGTACACTACCATAGACAGTTCGCCGTTGTATTCTTCCGACACCGATTGTGACCCGTCATTTGGTATGCAGGCCAGTACTATTTGACTTTACGATATACAAGTGACTGACGAAAGTCTTGAATTAGGTGCTTTGCCTAAGCCCCACGTTTTCGTCAAACGAGGAGGAAGGGGCGGCGGGAGAGGATGCCGTCTCTTTCTCACCAAATCGCCTAATCCAGTATAGTCGTTGTCGCAGGGCAGCGGTCCCGATCGCGAAAGTGATCGGTCAGCAACGGAATGGGGTGCAGCGTTGAACACCACTCCAGTTTATACCCGCACCCCTAATGTGACACCCGCCGCGGATGTTCCACTTTCGATGATAGTATATATTCATCATCATGTCCTCGTCCCAGCACAACTTGATCCTCATCATCTTGTTTTTTGTTCTGCAACCTCAGCTCTTTTAGCTAGACATCTCACCTTCTTTGCTTCAATCATGGCCGACTCACTGCGGGCCCCCGAGCCCTCGTATTTCATGTCGCCCATGTGGAAGAGTCAAACGCGTCTCGATTCGCCAAACAACTCCGTCCCGGGCACTCCTATCACCCTTAGTACGCCTGGAACACCGAACGAAGGCAGCTCGCTCCAACGAGAGAAGACATTCGAGCCGCGCGATCTCAAACGCTCGTTATTCAAGTTAAACAAACCGCCCCAAGTATGTTGTCGTTGCTCATGTATTGCCCATATTATATTCATTTTTGAGGTAGCGAAACCCACGATCGTCTTCATGATCACACAACGGTCTCGATCATCAGTCTACGCCGTCTGCAGAATACCAGCATTCTAGGGAAACGTCTGGATCCTTCTACCTAACCACTCGGGGGTGGGATAGCCACTCGACGGCGGACAGTGATATTGCTCCCACTTTGGTTCGAACCGAGCTCGAGCCAATCGAGGAGCCTTACGACTGGGGCCCTTCTACTGAGGATAAGATTCGCGGCGACACCGTCTCTGGCACATCTTCTTACCCATCCGGCAGCAGCTCGAATTTCAGTGCTGCCGCGCATCCCCAAAATCGTACTTCTGACTCCTTCTATTCATTCGATGAGGCTGTCGTCTTTGACGAGGACGGTGACGAGGTACCACAAGTGCCAGCACTCTGGGACAAAGTCGACCCGCAGATCCCCACCGGTATCTCGAATCCGTCGATGGTCACACTCCCGAGAGGTACCGGTCCTACTACGCATCCGTGGGTCGACGCACCTCCGTTCAATGTCATAGACCGCCCGACTCCCGTGGATCACAAATTCCGAGCGACCTTCAAGATCACAGTATCCTTGGCGGTCGTCATATCTTTGGTCATCGGATACGCAGTCAAGTTGAAGATCGTCACGATTGGTTTTTGGTCTTTCGGGATGTACGGCGTTCTTCTTTGCATTGGTGAATATTTCATTCGTCTGATTTTAGATTACCTAATTGACGCTCTATTTAGATTTCGCCGTTCAGGCAACGGTGGCTTCCGTCAATCGTGCTCGGGTGAACAAAATCTCGAAGACTTCCGATGTCGTTGCAGAAGTCGAAAGGCCCAAGGCGCTCAAAGCTCCCGGTGCGGATATCACAGAGCAGGTGGCCAGAATGCGACAGGTCTTCATAGCTGTGGTTGGGTACAGAGAGGACGAGGAGGCTTGGATCAAGGTCAGTTTCCACGTCGATCCTGTTATGCTCGCCGCATATGCTAATTGGTCATCGCGCAGTGTCTGCAAAGTCTTCAAGCTCAGGATTATCCCATCAAACACATCATCGGTGTCGTGGACGAAAACGACGGTCCCGACTTGGACATGGCGACTGCATTCGGCAAAGCCTTCCCCGAGGACGAATGCCTCATTGTTCATCTTCCCGCCCTCTTTCCGTCATGTACACGGAGACGTATTGGGAGACGATCAAGGAGATGGGCTGTCGTACGCCCACACGCTGGGAGTTCCTCAAGATGTGGTTCACCCAGGCGCCGCGCGAGGGACAGGAGGAGGCTCATGTCGTCGCTTGGAACCACATCCTCGCGTACGTTCACGAGGCCGCTACTGCAGGGGGATGGGCCAACTAGAATGGAATCTGCTTTTCGCAGCCGCACGGACACAAGCGCCACGCCACGCCATGTTCACCTCATTCGTCGTCGGCACCTATGCACTCGGTACTAGGGATGCGATGCTTACTACGGACAGCGACACATACGTCCATCCTGATGCGGTCACCCATCTTCTCGCCCTTCTCATGAGCGATGTAAGGATGGCTGGTGTTACCGGAGATGTCCGTATTTGGAACAAAGACGACTCCTTCCTGGCCCTTATGTCGTCACTGCGGTACTGGTTCGCGTTCAAGTAAGTGTTTGCTTTTTACTAGGCCGTTTCGGGGTGTTCTGAACGCTTCTTTCTCAGCGTCGAGAGAGCTGTTTCCATTGCGTCGGATTTTGTCTGGTCCCCTTGGCCTCTACAAGACTAGCGACCTCATGAGCGTCTTGGGCCCATGGATCTTACAATCATTCCTCGGCAAGGAGACTACCTTCGGCGACGATCGCCATCTCACCAACCGCATCCTATCTCTCGGTCATTGGACCGGCTATTTGCATCTCGCCAAGTGCGAGAGCGATACGCCCGCTGGTTTTGTACGCTGGGTCAAACAACAGACACGCTGGTCCAAGAGCTTCTTCCGTGAGGCGTTGGTTCCCGAAGAGTTTTGCGTATGCCCAGTTCTGGCTCATCGTCGAGACGACCAAACAGTTCATGTATCCCGTCTACCGTCTTGAAGCTGGTTTACCTCCCGAGGGACTGGATCTACCCCCTTCTCTGGTTGGGGACCATGTTTGGCGTCGCCCTCATCAAGAGCACTTACGGCGTCATTTGTATGCGCGATCCGACGTACTTCTTGTTCAGTATATATGGGTTCATGGTAAGCTCGTTCGTACCCTCTATCATTTTCCACGCTCACCACCCGGTTCCAGTACTTCTTTGGTCTTTTGCCGTCGAAAATATTCGCGGGCTTGACCGTGGGAATCACGACATGGGGCACATCCGCACGATCAAAAACCGAGTTCCAGCGTCCTGAGAGCCTCTATTCACGCACAACGCACATAGGACAGTGAGTATGCCCCGCCAGCCATACACCCCCACGCCCTGACTTTCGCATCGCAGTTTGGTCCTTTGGTATAGTTCCCTGGCCGTTGGCCTCGCATACTTCCTTTCGTCGATCTTCCAGATCCGCGCAATCTGGTGCTTATCGTTGCTCTGTTTCCCTCCCATCGTGCATCTCTACCAGGACGTGATCATCGGCGAAACTCGCTATGCCTTCTACCTGCTGAAGAAGTGGTACAAGAAACGCTCAGCTCATCGTACGACGGCCCCCACCACCGACCTCGAAAAATCACAACTTCCAGGGAAATTTCGTGCAGGAAACCGTGTCCGTTTCCGAATGCCGACTTTCAGACGGACAGCGCCTGCGCCAGCTGCCTCCTCGACCTCTGCGCCATCATTGGAGTCGTCCTCTTCGCAACAATTAACGTCGCGGTCGGCGTCTACCTCGTCTATGTCCCATTCGTCGTTGTCGGCGCATGTCGACATTCCAACTACGATCATCGACGGTCTGGAGGTCCCTTCAGCCTCGGGACGTAGACGCTCTATCGCCGTGTGCACTGGTATAGATGAACATCATTCCATCGCTCCGCGGACGTGATCGCGTGGAACGACGCCTCGGGGATAACTGGCAAGAATGTTTCGAATAGCGCCAGATCAGCTGCGTCCCCTGTCAACTCTCTCAACCCACGCCGATCATCGATCTTCTCCAGGCGGGAACGATTCATCTAGAGAGAGCGGTATATCTGTGCATGGGTTCGAGGCAATAGTAACGAAGCTTTTTTTAGTTCTCAGGACATTATTATCGATCATGGAGTACGTCATGTATGACTCCTTCCTTGACCGCTATCATCACTGCAATGTATGTACATCTCTCATATGCAATGAAGAAAGATGAAGAAAGATAGGCTACCGCCAGAATGACAGAGTAACATACAGTATAGAGAAAGTTTTGTGGACCGCAAATATGTTATCTGACGATCTCCGCATACAAATTATCATCGATGACCTTCCCCTCCTCAAAGTGTTCTGCAAGCCGCGCAGATGCAAGCATATGGGCGATATACTCTCGAGCATCCGAGCATCCGACGTCCCAAGACCACATGGTACAATGCGTCACAAACAATCGCGGCCAAATCTCTCTCCACGTCGGTGCATCAAGGTCGAGCACATTCGAGGGTTGGCTATTCAGGATTTTCTGCATCTTTTCATTTTCGCCGTAAGCGAAAACATTAACCATTGTGCGGGCAGGATGACCAAGATCTTGGAAATCGAGGAGGTGCAGAATCCTACGGATCGCCTTGAGACATTCCTGGCGTGTAGCTTGACAGTCGGGAGAGATGAAGGACTATGAAACCCCGGAACGGTATCGCACAGATAAGCATCAAGGAATGCGATGCATAGATAATATCGTATACTCACTTCGACTGTCTGTGCCCGGGAAACGCAAGACTTCAATATTGCTACCTCTTCGGCAATGGAATCATATCGGTCCCTAGCTTCTGGGAGCGTTTGAAGACCCTCTTTCCTCAAATGCTCAACATCTTTGCGATCGCCGTAAACGGTACGGGCAGAGAGAAGGGCCTCAACACGGACGTGACCCCACATCCATGATCCCATGGCTGGTGCACGCCAGATGGGAAGGTAGGATACGTCGCGTCCGCAAGCATCTTTCAAATCTGAGGAAAGCAAGATGTCAGTTGAATGTAAGACTGAGACGGAATACGGTGAATTTGTGCTGACCTTGCTCAAGCTCGATTGGCTCGCCTTTGAACCCCTCCGTCATCACCATAACGATATCGACATCGGAGTCCTTGTGGGCACGCCCTCGTCCAACAGAACCGAAAATTCCGGCCCAGACGATCTTACTTCGGTTTTCTTCCTTCTCCCAGACGGGCTGGAGGCGGACGCGCATTTCTTCAAACGTTGGAATCGACATTGCGGGTAGGTGAGAAGTGCTGTATCGCAAAGATGGTTGAATGCGCGATAAAGCAGAGGATAGAACGATAAGCGATTTGGACGACGCAGGCATCATGAGAGAAGAGAATTGCCGCTCGTGTGCGAAACAAATCCCGGATTCTGTTTAAATACCGGCTATGTCCGGTCGTCCTCGCACACAATAATCCCGGGCCTTGGCCAGTCAGGCGGTAAGGCCGCACGTTAGTATGCGGCAAATTTCCCGCTACCTCGGCGATGAGGGAGCGACCTTATGTATATATACTGATGCATTCGGAGAACGTTGCGGCACACTAGTAATAGCCAGTACAGGTAACATGTACAAGTCACGGCGGTGCTCAGGATATCATACTGATAAAAGTCAAGAAAGGGCAACTTGCTAACACTAGCAATGTTGCACAGTAACTGACAGTTATCTTGTGGTTATTTTCCTGCTTACCCTAGGGTCGTACTCGGTGAGCCCAATATTCAACACGCCCCGTGCTAGTTTACGCGGCCGAAGAGATCCCCTCGCTGTGCTTCTGTGTGAATCAGCCAATAACACGACAGGCCCAAAGTTGAAAGGACCGGTAGACACCGAAAAGCGAGAATGCCGAAAAATCAGAAGAGTTGTCGTCCTCACATAAATGCTAGTGATTTGACCTTTCGATGGTGTAGAAGTATAAAATTAATTTTATTTGTTTATCCTCCTCGCATTTGGAGAGAGAGGTTGCCAACGATCGTGGCCAAAAGACTGGGAGAGCACTGTAGTAAGGCTTATACTGTGCCTCCTAGCGCCACACTCTTCTCTTTTGTGTGCCCGAATTTTACACTTCGAGGCTCGGTTCCGCTCGGTAGTTCTTCTGTTTCAGTAATCAAACCGATGCTCTCAAATGATCAGCATCAGGCCATATCTGCAACCGTTGGAAACGACTTCAAACCGATGATCGGCGTCCCGTGAGGCGTTAGCGAGGTCAAAAATTCCCTCGCAGATATAATCTATTGTGGTTACTATCCATGGTACAATAAGAATGATATCAGAAGCATCCTCGTGTGCAGCGAGCAAGAGGCCGATTGATCACATCTCACAAACACAGGGTGTACCATGATTTTGTTCTCCGCAGAAGCAGCCACCTCTCACCTGTTGACCGAGCCTTGGAACCCGAGATCTGGTCACGGAACCCAGCGAACAGGCCGTATCAGAAGCGTTCCAGTGTGGAACAAGTGCGAGGCCGTTTGATCTTATCTCTGGGAAAAAAACAAACAAACAGGGTGTATCATGAGTTTGTTCTCAGCGCGAGCAACCGCCACGCACCTACTGACCGAGCCCTGAAACCCGCAATCTGGTCAGGAAACTCACCGAATGGGCCGTAGAACAGGGCTTCCAAGACTATCGTCTTGTATAAGAAGGTTGAGTGTCTCGCCAACTCGGTCAATACCAATTGCTTTCCTCTCGCAAGATGGCACTTCAGTCTTCCGTGAAATCTGCCCTGTCATTGGCCTTCGTTAGGTTATGAGAAGAAAACACTACTTCCTAGGTTTCCTAGGTCCAACCCTACCTTAGGGTTACAAATAACAGCAAGGCGAGCAGAGGGCACAGGGGTGACCGAGAACAGTGCTGGAGATGAGCCACGCCAGTGTATCGCCTGTGGCGATATGGCACGGCACGGCATAGCAGCCTTCCTGCCAGCCATGCACTGTATTGCCTTTGGCGATATAACATGGCGTCGCAGCCCTCCCGCCAGTTGTGCACAAGCATATTGCCTGGGGCGATGCTGCACAGCGCTGCATCCTTCCTGGCAACTGTGCACTGGGGTATCGTCTGTGGTAGTACTACATGGGTTGCCGGAAGGCTGCAGTGCTGTTCCACATCGCCATAGGCGATACACCACTGCACAACCACTAGGAGGCTACCCCGCTGTGTCGTATCGCCACAGGCGATACTATGGCAGCACACTGCTGCTACTAGGCAGGCTGCAGCACCCGTGCCAGTGTATCGCCTGTGGCGACACAGCGCAGCCCTGCAGCGTTCCCACCAGCCATGTGTGGGTGCATCGCCTATGGCAATATCACATGGCACCGCTT